GAATCTAATACTGACATCAATTTAAAAAAAAAAAAAAAACTGGAATTTGAGTTTCGTGAAAGGTAACTGTCAAGTGTTTCAGGCAACTGAAAAATAAAATGTACTGATATAGTCATATAGATATATATATATATAGACCATGTACAGTGAGCTTTTAGTGTTTTTTCCCTCCTTCAGAAGAGTAAAGTAAATAAAAAAACTTGCGTTGCTTTTTGTGGTACATGCAGAAGTGAAAAAGTGTAACCATTGCCTTCAGTGCACCCGTTCTGTTAATCAATCCGGCTTATCCCGAAGTTGAAGACTTAAATGTTTATTCGTTCTATAACATATCTGATGCAAACACAGAGAGAATCATTACTTTTTTGGACTTGTGCTTGAAGGAAGTAGAAAACAGAGAACTTACCGGAACCATCCAAGACTAATTCCACAGCAAGAATAGTTGGCACTGCATCACATAGTCAAAGTTACATGTCTGACAATAGAAAACAATAAGACATGACAAACATAAGAGTAGATGAGCAAACATCGATTCATACTCTTGCCTAGGACTTGAACAAGAAGAAGGGAGAAGAGAACGAGACATGACACAACTTACCTATCAGATTATAGTACAAACCGAAACAACCAAACTGTTGCTACAACTCAAAGCTCCAAACTTTAAAATCTATTTCGCTGGAAATTATGCCATCAAATATTGCTCTTTTTACTTCACAGGTAAGTTGTTATCCAGCTCTTGAGTATCAAATCAATTTTTCCAGTTACTCCACCTCATTTTGTTATTTTCAATGTATGCAAAAGAAGTTAAACTTACACGCATGCACATAACTTTGTGCCATAAGAAATCACCGCCTTAGAGTTTATATTTATTTTCTTGATTTTGACACCCACATTAGAGAACTCTCGTATGAGGTTCTTTAGAAAAAACAAATATTGTTCTAAATTTATAGAAATGAATTGAAATAAAAATATTATTAATAAATAATCTACAATCTGAATAAGCCATACATTTTATAGTTTGAGGAAGAAGAACGATATTTTAACATTTTATACATGTAAACTATACATTTATACCAAGCTAAGCCTTTATCTATATATATAATCTGAATAAGCCATACATTATCATTGCAGCAAACTCTTCAAACAGAACAGCGAAAGCAGGAAACAAGGCAAATCTAACTTACAGGAGGAGTATAACCAGGAAGAACTTGAGAGTGTGCGTCCAAGAAATCTCCGGTTTCTACAGGACAGCTTGTCTCAGAGCAGAGGTCATGTGTCTCAGAGTGGATATGCCATCCAAAATATGAAACATCAATCACCAAATTCCCACCAGAAATCCTACGATCTTTACCAATACCACAAATCACCCCAAACACAGAAACAAATTAGTTCCCAATATAACAAACACTGATCATCATCCACATGACAGGCCTTAGCAACTTGGCGACACATATTGCAATTAAAGTTGTCATGAATACAGAGACTAGTCCATCTCTGCAATCAAGAACAGCAAGTAACATAATCTCAGAACCAATAGTGTTACAAACAGAACAAAAACAGATGGAGAAAAACAGACCTACATTACATAGTCTCCCATGAAGAGGTAGTTGGTATTAGGGGCGTTACCGCCGATTCGAAAGAGCTCGATGAGGTCATAAAACTGGCATAAATTGGGTGTAAGTGAAGGCCCTTTGAAATTGGTGTCAATGTATTTAACATTGTCAAGGGTCTCTCCTATTACTCGGTTATTGTGCTTTAGTGCAGCAACTATGGAGTTTGGCTTTAACAATCATCAGATCATGAAGCAAAATAGCAAAAGGCCCGGTGGTTGCAGAGACTTTCTGCTCGGTCACGGTTGTTCCTACACAAAGAATTTGAATCCCATTAAGTCCAAAACACGGTCCATAAGCTTTTGCACATCCATGATCAGACTCAGTTTAGGGAAAATTAACCAATGACAATTTCATAAAAAAGATTCTAGTTATTGAATCAAGCAATATACTTTACTTGGAAGAAGAACGAGAAGATCATATAGTTGTAACAAGGATAACTACGTCTACATCATCTTCAGCAATCAGCATAACAAACTCGCAAATCCTAATTTCTACCACAGAGGTGACTACTACCACTGAATCCATCTATTTCAGTCTGAATAAAGTAACCAAAACAATCAGTTCAAGTATGACAAGAAAAACCCAATTCGCATTCCATTTCCCAAAAATGAGAGAAGGATTGCGTAAATTTCGAAATTTACCAAATACCCAGATAGAGACTTACCAAAATTTCATTAAAAATAAAGCAAAAAAACAAAGAAATTAAGGCTAGACGCCTAGACCGTAGAAACACGTACCCTCGACGGAACAACAAATCATCCGGGAAGACTTGGGAGACGAGAGAGATGGAGAGAATAGTAGAGGAAGAAAGAGATGAGCTAGAGCGTTGAAGGATCGAAACTTGTCGCCGGATCGGAGCAATTTTGTCGCCGGATTGAAGAGAAAAAAAAACATTAATCGTGGCGACAAAATTCAACATATAAGTATGCTTAACTTTTTTTTTTTTTTTGTCAAAGTGTCATTATATTCATCAAGGTAAAATTACAAAGTCATCATACAATAAATCCTTCAGCCACAAAGGCGGATTCAAACGTGAAGAATAAAAAACACCATTTTCTGGCAAAGTTGAAGCTAATGCATGTGCAACAGAATGAGTGATTTACACTCATAGGCACTTATGAGTTTCATCTTACAATAAAGGCACTTTGTGTTCCATGGTGACTTTGGGCTAATAGAAAGACCAAAAACTCTTCTCTTTACTTTTAATGTGAATTCCACCGTTTCACCTTCTTCCACATTTTACCTTTTTTTCTACAAATCAGAAACTTAAATAGCCAAAACAGAATAACCCTAAAATTTACCGTCGTAATTTCTCGCCGTTCACGCTGCCGGTACCACCATCGTATCCATTGTTGAGTTTTCAACCACTCTAACCAAAGATTTCTTCCGACGAGGTTTCTCTATTCGAAGGACAGCTATCCCATAGGAATCCCGTCGTCTCTTTGTGTGTTTTGAAAGAAGAGGATACAAGAAAAGCTATAGAAGGTGATTCTAATCTGTCGCTCTATTTACTATTGGAATTATCATAAGTTTAGAAGGAAAAATGGTGTAGATGTCTTTAATTTTTTTCTGGTTTCTCATAGGAATTGAAGTTTCTGTCAAAGATTCGATAATCGATAAGCTGACGGAGAAAGATGGGTGGAAAACTTATTTTAGCCACGTTCAGCTGTCCATGTAATCTTGGCCACATGTGGTTGGCCATCCGTCAGGTGCAGAATAGGATGGCAACCGTTTTTGTATGTTGTAATGGTTATCATCTGTATCCATTTATAACATGTATATTCATGACATACATTCGGATATCCACGCTTAAACCACTTGGTCAGGTTGATGGGGATAAGATTGGTGATTTAAGTGTACAACAGTCCATGGACGAGGACCTCAAACTTTCGAAGGAATCTTGCGTGGATAAGACTTCTTGTACAGAGTCCCCGGTCCAACTAGCAGCAAAAGTGGGACTCCTTCTCTGAATTAAGCAGTTGTGCCCTCCCGTCATTTCCTTGTCCATGTGAAGCCGTTCATATGGACATCCACCCTAAGAACTGCCTTATGGGTGTTTTTACAAAAAGTAACTAATATGATGTGACATCTATATAATCAAGACTCAGTTGTCTATAGTATGATGACCATCTCATAGTACAATGAAGAACAACATATCGTGGATTAAGTTTTCTTTCATCAACATTATACGTTTTATTGAACGCACAAATGCACATCGATGAAAATTTTGTCATGGCTATGTCATTGTATTTGAAAGTTTTTATGTTGCTAGCTTTAGCTTTGGCGTTTTACATCGCTTCTCAATTTCATGTCTACTTTAACCTGTCAATACATTAATTAGTGTTTTTGGTGAGCCACCCCTCATTTTCATTTTTGTTTACAATTTTAATTGTTTGGAATGTTTGAAAAACTGTTAGTTGGATTAACCGATCTCTTATGCTAGTATATTTTCACTTTTCTATCCATTGTACACCATACTTGTAAGATTAGTTATGTGTATTAACTGATGAAGCTCGTCCATATATTATCGTCCATATAAGAGCTAAATATGTACATGTTATCTTGTCCACGACTTCATATCCACAGTATTATGTCCACGACTTCATGTGGCTATTGGTCTTTCCTGTAAAGTTTGTGTGTTGAGTTTTGGATATACTGAGAACTAATTTCAGAACTATATTTACACTTTGATATGGACACATGTGTTATATCCATATGGATATTGATGTATGGACACAATCATATGGATACGGTTCTATGGAATAGTCTAGGCGATAAACAACAACTCAACAAACACTCGTCAATGTTAATTATCTTCGTGTCCACAAAATCATGTACACGCAAACAAGTATACACAGACATCTCACTTGTCGCAAACAAAATCATGTACACACAAAATCATTATCGGAATAGGCAAGATGTACTAAAAAATACAAAACAGTGTCTGGCTAACTTTGCATCGTGTAGGCTGATAACCTCGCCTGTCCATTCTTATGTCCATTCAATTAATTCCAAATATGTCCACGAGCTTATGAACAAGAACGTGACCATTTAAAATCAAAAACAGCCTCTCACTTCAATAATTTAAGATAACATGTGGTCGTGACAAAAAGTGCCTTATCTTGTTATCAGATGTCTGTTGCACATCCCTTCGTAAATGATCGCGTAAATACGTATGGATACTACGTATCCACGCTTGTTTGTCCACAACTGTAAATTCATAAACAATACGCAATCTGTACTCAATGTACACTGACCCATCCCCACATTCAAATATACATGCATGTTCATTACCCTCTATCCATCCGAATTAGAGAGTCTCTGACATTCATTCTCTGTGTCTATGACTAATTGTCCATACCTTATTGTAACGTTTGCAGAGGATTGAGATCATCGATACACCGCTGGTTCGGCATGCAGAATCCCAATCCCATTTAAATCAATGAATCTGACAAAGACGAGATTGGTAGTTTTCTACACCATGAACATAAATTTTTCAAGATCTATAATTTTCTTCTATTTAGATTTACTATGTTTTTTTCTATTGTGTTGGGCAAAGTAACGCTAGCAAGTTCTTCCGGTGATGGTAAAAAGTTTCTCAGAAACACAAAGAAGACTAAAAACAAAAAGAAGGGCAATTTTGGAATTTTTATTTTTTGAAAGGGAAGAAGAAGTGGGCAAAGTCACCTTGGAGTGGAAAGTGCCTAAGACTCTTGGAAAGTGTCTTTGTATGTAATTTTCTCCAACATAATTATGTTCTCTCTTGGTAAATTTGAATAAGCATTCCTTGAACTTTTGTTTCCAGAAATTAATATCCCAAGAGATATTTTCAATATTGTAATCTTTCTGTTTACACTCTAATACATCAATAAGAATCTTACAATCTCCTTCAAAAATAACATGATCCAAACCCAAACTCCATGCTTGTTGCATTGCAATGAGAAGAGCCTTTGCTTCTGCCTCTAAAGATGAAGATGACAAACCTAAATTAGTTGTTCCCCAAGAGAGAGCTACGCCTGCATGATCTCTCACTATCCATCCGGCCATCGAAAGATTTGAATGCAGATTAAAACTTGCATCGAAATTACACTTATGAAAACCCAGAGTAGGCCGTTGCCATGTTAGATTCCTTGTCAATGATCCACTTCCATTATTTCCAGATCCCGCAGCTTGAGAATGTAAAGTATCTCGTGATTTTAACCATTCCAAGACATCTCCCTGAGCTTGTTGAACAATAAGATGTGGTAGCGTAACCTCTTTTCTGAAAATTAAACGACAACGTGATTTCCATATGCGCCAAGCCAGCCACAATGGGAAGAGTTTCTGAAAATCAGTTAAGCCTCTCATATTTTGTAATTCTAGCAGCTTAGATACTTGTTCATCACAATTATCATCATGCAGATTCAGAGGTTGCCAGGGAAGATTGCATATTCTCCAAACCATTACCGAGTGTGGACATGAGAAAAGTGTATGATTAATTGTTTCATCTGCAGCACAACACCGTTGACAGGTTCTATCAATGTTCATTCCACGCGAGATCAATCTAGTAGCTGTAGGTATTGCTTGTGACAGAACTCTCCAGTAAAAGTGTTTTATCTTTGGCATGATCTGTAGTCTCCAAATTTTCTCCTTTAACACCGGGTCACCGTGAGGAATAAGAATGTTAGGATTATCTTGAAGATGCTTCCTAAATGCAAGCCAATAACCGCTTTTAACTGTATAAACGCCAGATTTATCATAGCCCCACACCGTGCAATCTTGTTTCTTATTTTGTGGCAAGTATATTCTCTGAAGTAAATTTTGGTCTGCAGGAGTAAGAGTCTCTTCCACCATCTGCATATTCCACTTTCTTGAGCTTCCAAAATCCACAATCAAATCTTTAACGAAGATATCTTCTTGTCCTGCATGACGAGTTGCTGTTTTGGGTGGATGACACGGTAGCCAATTATCTCCAAACACTCTCGTTGTTTCTCCATCTCCGATCACTTTTTTAAGTCCTTTTTTTAACAACGTTAAGCCTGTCACTATAGAGCTCCATCCATATGATTCATTTGTCCGATGTTTTGCTTCGAGAATCGTAGTGTCTTTGTAATAACGCGCTTTCATCAATCTAGCAAATAGAGTATGTGGATGCTTTAATAATCTCCATGCCTGTTTAGCTAAAAGAGCATCATTAAATCTTGGAAGATCTCTGAAACCTAAACCACCATCTCTTTTTGAAAACTGAAGTCTTTTCCAAGCTACCCAAGGGATGCCTCTATTCTTATCTCCTTTATCCCACCAGAAACGCATTAGGAGAGAGCTAATTTCATCAGTGATGTTCGCTGGAAGTTTAAAGCATGACATAGAGAAAACTGGCATTGCCACTCCCACCGATTTGATCATCACTTCTTTCCCTGCATATGATAAGAACTTCCCACTCCAATCCGATGTTTTTTGTCCCACTTTATTGATGATAGATTGAAACATCTCTTTCTTTTTTCTACCAAATTGCTCTGGTAATCCAAGATATTTGCCACCTCCTCCTTGCTTGTTGATGCCAAGAATGCCTTTTAACCGGTTCTGTAGATCCCCAGGGATTCGTGAACCAAACGTGATTGTCGACTTCATTGGGTTGATTTGTTGACCAGACCACTCCTCATAAACTCTAAACGTATCTTTGAGTGCTTTGCAGTTTCTGTTATTAGCCTGACAGAAAAACAGAGAATCATCTGCAAATAATAGATGAGAAACCGCCGGAACTCCATTGCCAATTCTGATTCCACGAATGTCCCCACGTCGAGTTTTTGTATCAATCATGTGACTTAGAACGTCTGCGCATAAGATGTAGAGATAAGGGGATAACGGATCTCCTTGACGTAATCCACGTTCAGGCTTAATACGTCCTTGTGGGTTTCCATTGACGAGAACAGAGTATTCTACCGTTGTGACCGTTGCCATAATCCAACTAATCCACTTTTCATCAAAGCCAAAAGCTTTTAGGGTTCGTTCCAAGAAACTCCATTCAATACGATCATAAGCTTTTGAAATATCTGTTTTGATCGCCATATATGTTTTTGATACTCGTTTCCTTGACTTTAGAGAATGCATTAATTCATGTTCAATGAGTATATTATCAGTGATCATACGTCCAGGGATGAAAGCTGATTGAGAATCAGACACGATTCTATCCAAAAATAACTTAAGACGTCTCACTAAGATTTTTGAAATAATTTTATACAAAACATTGCACAAGCCTATAGGTCTAAAATCAGATAATGTATCTGGTTTATCTATTTTTGGGATCATACAAATATTTGTATGGTTAATGCTTCGCTTCATATAAGATGTATGAAAGAAAGCTTTCACCTCATTTGTTACATCCTTTCCAACTGTTTCCCAGCAGCTCTAGAAAAACCTTGCTGTAAGTCCGCCTGGTCCAGGAGCTCTATCAGCACCGATAGAAAGAAGTGCTTCTTTAATTTCAGCTTCTGAGACTTCGCCTATCAATCTTGCATTCATCTCTGCATTTACCGTCGGAACAAAATCTGCAAATATGTTGTGTTGACTTGTTTGTTGTTGAGATGTGTAAACGCCTTTGAAAAACTCCTCTGCGTGATCTCCTACTTCAATATCTCCCCTGTACAGATTTCCATTGCTGTCTTTGATTGACATAATTCTATTCCTCGAGAACCTTGTTTTTGTGCAGGCTTGAAAATTTTTTGTGTTGCGATCTCCTTCTTCTAACCAAGTGTTCCTGCTCTTCTGCTTCCAATATGTTTCTTCATCTTTGTATGCCTGTGAAAGATCTCTTTGTATCTCGCTAATGGTGTTGTAGCTAGAGCTAGGATTTACCAAGGCAAACTCTAACTCTATCTGAAGCTCCTCTATGCGTTTTGCCGCATTTAATTTTGTATTTCGCCTACAGTTTGACATCGCCTTTCTACATTCTCGAATTCTTTCTGATATTGCTGGATTTTGTCTCAGACTTGGAGAGTTCCATCCTTCAGTTACATAGTTTGGAAATTCTTTTATTTGTAGGAGACGTTTATCAAATCGGAAACACTTTTTCCTATTATTCTCTGCAAAGCCTACAGCCGTGATGACTGGCCTATGATCTGAAGCATAGAGACCTAGAAACTGCTTCTGAAGCTGGAAAGGAAGCAATCCATTCCGAGTTTCCAATGACTCTATCTAAACAGCATTTAACAGTATGGTTTCTTCTTTTTCCAACCCAAGAGAATCGATTTCCTTTTGATCTGATGTCTTGAAAGTCACAAACACTAAACAAACGCCTAAAGTCCATAAAGCTCCTCTCATCTCTTATAAGTCCACCACTTTTTTCGTTACTTGAAAGAATCTCATTGAAATCTCCAACAAGTAACCATGGACCTTGCCTTGTGTAATTGATATCTTCAATTCTTTTCCATAGATCATTTCTATCTTGTTGGTTTGGATATCCATATACACACGACAAGTAATAAAACATTCGATTAAAACAAACTGAAACATCAATCATCCTTACATCATTACAACATCTTACTACATCTACTTCCTTTTTCCAAAATAAAGCTAAACCTCCACTCCTACCAACAGGAGGGATTGAAATTACATGATCAAACTGAAGCAACACACACAAATCCCTAATAATGTCACACTTATGCATAGTTTCACAAAGAAAAAACAAATCTGGATTAAACTATTTCCTTAAGTCTACTTTCAGTAAGAGACCCCTCAGGTCCGAGGCCTCTGCAGTTCCAGGAGGCGATCTTCATGGACACCTTGGGGGAACCGGGCCCCCCGCGTGTAACACCCCCGACTCAATCTATACACATAGACAAAGCCGGTGAGAGTCACAATTTGCCGAGGTTTGCTGGATAGGCCGTCCCGGACGAAGAACACATCACAGTCCAGGTCAGCCCGTCCCGCGAGCTCGACCCTCTCGGCCAAGGCCTAAGGCTTTTCAACCCGTACCAAAGCCGAGAGTTGTGTTAGCCCGGACAAAGCTAATATCAGATGAAACCAGTTGATATAGAAAATAAACTTTATTAATCTATATAAGGTTTCACAAAACATCGGAAATACATCACATTCGAGCCTAATGCCCAAAACCCACACTACATAAATTCAAAAGCATTTATTTTACAAAGGCAAGACAAACTACGCTGGCGGCCTAACGTCCTTGCTCCAACTACTGGTTTCCTGCAAAAGAGAGTGGGGGGTGAGCGCTAATCGCTCAGTGAGTTGTAGCTCCCACTAACAAGCAATAATAATCCCAACCCAAAAACCCAAAATAACACACAACAAGCAATGTTGCTATAACCCCTAGACTGACCGCACAACAATCAAACAAGAACATGCACGATCAATCAGAGATTATAAACAACAACAATCAATCAATGCTTAATAAATAAACTTAACATCACACTCAACCACTTTCTCTTTTGCGCGTTCGGTACTTCCCGTGAACACCTATCTCACAGCCACACAGGCACGCGAGATAGAACATCACTACCCGAGTTCCATCTCCCAGACAGTCACATCCCGTTGGATCGCCGTTTCCACGGTTCACAACCCAACGAGTTCTGTCTCCCAGATGGTCACGTCCCGGGCTGTCTATTCCATACTCGGCCATAGGCAGCAACCCCGTCTCTCCGAGTATTCTCATTAGTCAATACATTGACTACATGAGGTGGAATAGTACTCGGCCATAGGCTGCTATCCCGTCTCTCCGAGTCTTCCCACCTAGCCAGTCCATTTGCTAGGAAGGGGTACCAAAGAAGACCGAACCGCCAACATCAACATCAAACAAGTAACCAGGTAACCTCACATGCAATATGATAACAATATACAAGATCTAACAAACAAGCATCATAACAAAGAACCACACAACCAAAGCAATCAATCAAACAAGTAAACAATCAAGCAATCAATCAATCAATCACGCAATCTAGCATTCCCTAGCAAGCAATCAAACATCACCACAACTCACAATCAAACTATCAATCAAGCACGCAATCTAGCATTCCCTAGCAAGCAATCAAACATCACCACAACTCACAGTGCTTTCGGCTGAACAGTTTCTAGCCTAGGTTTACTACTCTGGGTTTACCGTTGAACCGCCGGTTTACCCTAAGCTTCTGCCCGAACGCTCCCGCTCTTCTTCTTCTTCTTCTTCTCTTTCTTCTTCTTCTCCTCCTCCTCTTTCTTCTTCTTCTGGGCGTCCTCCCTCTCACTGTCTTTCTCTCTCTTTCTTTCTGATTTTGGTGTGGTTTGGAAATGAGAAGAGAGGGGGGTATTTATAGGTGTTGGAAGAAGCAGCTGGTGGCGCCTGTGCTCCAGAACGATGACACCTCCTCCTCCGCATGCATCCAATGGCAGCATGACACTCCTCCAGCAGCTTAGACCAATCCTATCTCTTTAAAGCAATGGCGTTGTCCCATTGGCCGATTTTGGATAATGACTGCAAGCAGCTGGGTGTCATGGCCAGATTGGTGCCTTGGTGGCCAAGGATCATCCTTGATCTTATCCCCTTTGCTTTGTCGTGCTTTGTCCTTCCCCCGACGTCCTAGATATTTCCCTCTCCGGAGGGTTTCGTCCCCGTCGTGCTTGAGAATTAAAATTTCCTATTTTAATCCTTTCGTCAGTTCCATGCTTTTAAACTTTCACTTAGCTGCTCGGAAATGTCCGGAAATTCCTTATCCCGGTCATACCGTTCTTGAAGCAGCTTGATCTTTTCTTCGTCTTCAGAGTTGATCATCCCATCCGGACCATTGGGATTGGGATTGTGCAGGGAAAAATTCGGCTCTGATGCGGGATATTACACCGCGCCTCCGTTTATGGTGTGATAAGCAGAGCAAGAGTCTTGGGACTCCTCATAACCGGTCCTCACGTCAAAACCGGGCTCAAACCTTCTTATGGGACTCAGGGCCATCCCATAAGCATCATCGAAAGGAAGATTCTGCAATCCTGGATCAACACATCGACGCTTACGCTTGAGCGATCCTGGGGACTCCTCCTGTCTTGTGTATGCCCAACGGACGGAAACCGCCGTGTTTGACCCGGAGAAAACGGAAGACAACGGTCGGAAAGACGCTCTCTCGAAGACAAAAAGGACAGTTAATGGAATCGCCCAAAAAATCGCCCTCAGAGAAAAAAAAACATTTTTATATATATGTAAACTCTTCACTAACATAAGTATGCTTAACTATATCTATAATAAATAATAGAATTACTAACCAAAATCTACATAACTAATAAGGCTTGGACAATCTCCAGCTTTGACACGTGGCACTTTTTTTTTTTTTTTCGCCTAACACCAAAACGACGTCGTTTTGCGCTTTATTTTTTTTTTTTCGTCTTACACCAAAACGACGTCGTTTTCGTTTATCTTTTTTGTCTTACACCAAAACGACGTCGTTCGTTTTGATGGGCTTGATTATTTATCGGACCTCTTCGTTTCCATGGTAGCTTTAAATGGGCTTACTGGCTAATTAGCTCATTTCATTTCCTTTTAAAAAGGATTGCAATTATTATTATCTATGAGTCTGTAGGATAATAATCAATCTATAATGATTGTTAGTATAAGGAAAATTAGAAGAACTCAACTCCAGTCGATAAATTATTGTATAAAAGAACAAAAAACATATGAAACTATTCACTATGAGTCTATATAAGATTTCACGTAAATAACAACTAAATTTTAAAACTATATGAAAAAAAACAAAATGCAAAACTTACAGAATCTAATATATTCGAGTAAAAAACAAATGATATATTCGAATCTAATGTTCTGAATAATTAAATTAAAAATATTTGGTTTAATAAACCCGCGCATTGCGCGGGTTCTCTCCTAGTTTCATTTAAATGAAGAAATCAGTTGACCCTATATGATTCTAAAATACAATTTGATTGGTACATATCATTATTATTATTATTATTATTTCATTATTGATTAATTAATTTCTTAATTTCCTTTTTATTCTTATTAGCAAATACCTAGGACAATTTCTCTAATTTTGTAATTACCACTTCTCTAATTTCCTTATAATATAGTGATTCTTTATATCATTAGACATACAATGACGATCTTATTCTTTTTACCATTAGGAATACAATTATCGTACATCTTATATATACATGGTGCTTATTGCCTCATGAAACCAAGTTTAAAATAAAGACATTCACAATCTCTCAATCGATTTTTAAAAACAACTCCTAATTCATTCACTTCTTTATCTGATCAGCCAATTATTTTTTCATTAAATAATTAATTTCCTTATTTCATTTTTATTTTTATTAGCAAATTTATATTTCTTTAATATCCATATATTTTATTTTATTCCACGTCAGTATTAGTACTTTAATATATTAATTTTAGTAAATTTTCTAATAAAATTACATCTTCACTCATGTTATACATGTTTACACCATAACATGTATAACATGAGTGAAGATGAATAAGAAACCAAATAAAAACAAAAAAGAACTCAAACCAAAAGAGAGTGACTAATAATAAATAAAAGAAAATTAAAATCTATTACTAATAAATAAGAATGAAAAACAACGATGTGCGTCGATTAACTTATCTTCAAATAAGTTTTATACCCTTAGAAATTCAACATAAGTATTAACTTATCTACAATAATATTAGCTTTATTGGTATAAGTTTGTTGAGATGTACATATAGGTGCATCACATAGTGTAAAATTTGTTCTGATTAAAAATGTTTATACTAAGCATATTTACAAAAGTTATAGTATGAAAAATTTAAAGGGAACACATAAAAGAAGAAGAGCTGGAAGAAACAAAATCTAGCAAAACCAAGAAGAGCAAAAATAAAAAGAAGTAAATGAAGAAAAACTAAAACGAAGATATAGCAAAGAACAAAAACATAAAAGAAACCAAAGAAGATAAAGTTAAATCAGGAAGCCAATATAAAATTGAAAGCTATGCTTAACTATATCTTTATGATCACTTAAATATTGAAATATTTATATTATTGTTAAATATTGCTCATTACATGTGTGAATATGTAGTTGTATCATCTCTACCTTATTTATTCTTACGAATCTTTTTCATTTTTTAAGTTTGATCAATTGTTTGAGACGGACTGCTCTGATGTGGTAAAGATGGTGTCTACGCCAGAGGAGTGGCTGGCGTTCGCAATACTTCTTGATGAGGTTAACCAGTGTAAGAGGAGTTTTATCTCTTTTTCCATTGCTCACATACCTAGGACGAAAAACACGAAGGCAGACAAGTTAGCACGGAGTGCTCAAGCTCTACTTACTGATGTGTATTATGTAAACTCTGTTTCACCAACTTGGATCCCCGAGTTGTTATAGAAATAGAGGCTGTCGACAAATAAAAAAAAAGTTTGATCAATTGTATAAGATAGTGAAAATTTTATTCTACGTAAGATTAAATTAAAGAAATTACAAGAAAATTATTGATAAAATAGATAAATTCGTGAAACAATTCCAGCGGAGAATAATTTAGAAAAAAAAAGCTACAAAAAAAATATTATATATATATAGCAATATTCTAGCAACTTTGACTGTCTAAGCTAATTATAAAAGAAATAGAAGAACAATAACCGAGCATAAAGAATAAGAAGAAACATTGAAAGAAAAAAAGTGAAGACAAAGATATCAAAGAATGAAAACAAAAAAATAAATAAATCAAAGATGAAGAATCATACAGAATAATAGAATAATAAACTGCAAGAACGAAGAAACTAAAGAGGAAGAGTACAAATGAAGAAGAAACCAAAGAAGAAAAAAACGAATAAAATGAGAATAGATCGAAGAAAAATAAACAAAAGAAGAAGAATAAGAACATCTGTTTACTATAATCACCGTGATGATTCTATGAAGATCAACTTTAAGAACTAATATAAATACTCCAATGACTGGGCCTCTATGCCTTACGAGAAAATGTGAAAAAAGTTTGTAATATGTTTTTAATCAGAAATTATCATAATCAAATTTCTTTTATTATCGTGACTGATTATACAAGAATTAAATTAATTCATTGAAATTGAAATTTAAAAAAAATAATAATAATAAGAAACTATAATTATAATTATTATTTTTAAATATTAAAAATAAAATAAAAATAAAAATTGTAACATATTTGTATCAATGAAATTTTTAAAGAACTAAAAATTAGAAAATGCATAAGTGTTTTATAAAAAAATATAAAAAGGAAACCCGCGCGTAGCGTGGGTAAAATACCTAGTCATTTAGAAAGATTAGGAAAACCAATTGCAAGAGGACACGTGTCCGGAACAGTCCGAAACAAGTGATTCTATCGTCTCTTCCAACACGACGACTCAAAGATAATTTCATGCCATATCATTTTTTTTTCTTCTTCAGGTTAGAACATTTGAAAATGTTGCAATATTTATGTGTGTTAAAAACTACACTCAAAAATTATTTGTGTTTGCAAGAAAGAAACTATATAAGATGTAGGACTAGATATTTTTGTAAGTGGAATGGATCTTAAATAAGTATTTAACGAAAAAGATTTGTATTAATTGAAAAATGATTACAAAAAAACTCTGAATAGAGAAGTAAACAAACTCAAAGGAAAAATACAAAAAATGAATCTAAAAGAGTAATAGTGTTAGGAAACTAAATCTGGCCTCGAAGGGGTTCACCTATTTTATCTTCTCTCCCAACTTTTTAACTTCGATTTACCTTCTTTGTGACCAGCGCTCCTTGCTGCCGCCGGGGAGGGCTCCTCTCCCTTTTTCTCTTCTTCGGCCTCCTCTCGTCTCATCTTAATTTGTTTAGTTTTCAGCGGGGAATTAGTTTGGTCAGTTCGAGTTCTGGTGGTAGTGGTCTCTTCCGGCACGGTAATAGGGGATGAGCGTGGCTAATCGGCTCGTCCTCTGACTTCGAGCTTCTGCTCTTTGTCGTCCTCGGTGCTTGTGGTGGAGGAACTTCCTGATCTGGTTGGCGAAGTGGTTGTGGAGCTATTGAGGACTTGGTTTCGGCGACATCAGTTAGTCTCGGTGGTTTCCCTCCATTTGGGTGAGTTGGATTTTTTGTCCATCATCTTCTCTCGTCTTTCCCTTCGGTTTGGTAGGTTTTAGTGGCAATGGCTTTCTTGCGGTGACTCGGAGGAGGAGGATTTCTTTGGCGGTTCATCTGTGTTTGTTTCAGTCTTTGTCAAGGGAAAACTTTGTGGTCGATGGGTTCATCGGTGCATTGTTTTCGGTTTGTCACTTGTCTTTTGCCATCGGTGGCTCCTCTTCTTCCTTTTCCTTTGTATGGTGTTGTGTTTTCTTCTTGTTTTTTTTGGCATTGTTACGTGAGGTTCCACATATGCGTTTTTCTCTACGAAGCATGGCAGCGTCGGCCGTGAGATGTTTCTCGCTCCAGAAGCCGGCAGCGGAAGAGCTCGGAAGCTTCCGGAAGCGCCTTGGATTCACGACTCCGAGAATGATGTGGTTGGAAGCTTGGCGGAAGCGCACAATTCGGAGGTGAAAGCGTGATACCGTTGATCCGAAGCGTGGAGATGAATTATGTTTGACTTCTTGAACAAGTTACTCTTTTTCTTTGGGCTTGTAAATTTTCTTTTGACCAGCCCAAATCACCAACGAGGGTATTGACATGTGATTTCAAATGTTATTTCTATTTTCAAATAAGTTTTAATATTTAAGTTATGTATTGGATTTTTTTTCTTAAAAATATTTTTAATATAATATAAGTTTTATGATAAGTATTTTATGATATATATATATATGTATTTATTTATTTATTTATATATTAATATATAACGCTTCCTACACGTACCCTCTTCCTAATATTTTGAAAAAAATCGCTTCTACGCTTCCTAACGCTTCCGCTTCCACGTACCCGTTTTCGATTGCATGCAACATAGGCTTTTTCTTAGGTTGAATCATTTAAAAAAAAATCATGTGTTGTCGCTTTCTAAGCTCGAGAGTGGCGGTGTGAGGTGGCTTCTCTATGTATCTATGTGTTAAGCTCGACCAGACGGAGATTGAGGTTATCACAAAATGGCCTCGTCCGACGACGACAAGAGCAGTTCACGGGTTTTTCGGCTTATCTAGCTACTATCGTAAATTCATCAAGGGTTATGGGTTATTGCTGCTCCATCAACACAGTTACTGAAGAAAACAAGGTTTCATTGCTCTGAAAAGAACGCTTTCGACAACACATAACTGTTGGAAGTTATCTACATATTTTAGTGTAAAACTCTTCACCACATATTTTTCCTCATTTTTCAGATGACCATAGCAATCTAATATCTCTTTTCCTTTCTAAATTATGGGTAGGGGGCACAACTCTTTTGTTTTCGTGTGGGGTTACATGGACATTTTTTTCTGAATGTAGCTCAATATTATTCTTTAATCTAGCCCAAGCAACATTCAGAGTGGAATTAGACATGCAGTTTTCCACACGACCAAAATAATATATTGGAAAATTACATATATCTTACAACACATTAGTTTATTCAAATTACGTCGTAATTTTGTTATAAATTGGCGAAGAAACAATAAGTCCTTAAATTATTGTAAACAAACATATTATTTACGATCGACGAAATAATATATCATTGTGAAATTGTCGTCAATTAACGACGATTGTACCTAAAAGTAATTTGTTATAAAATAATGTTGGATTTGAGATTATTTGCATACTGCATATTTTACGATGAGTTTATAACATGTAATTTTGTTGGGAGTTATATACATATTTTAGTGTAAAACTGTTCACCAAATATTCTTCCTCATTTTCCTGATGGCCATCTTCATCTCTATTCCTATTCCTGTAGCAATCTAATTTCTCTTTTCCTTTCTAAATTATGGGTAGGGTGAATGACTCTTTTGTTTCCGTGTGGAGGTTACATGGACAACTTTTTTTCTTCTTCTTCTGAATGTAGCTCAATGTCATTCTTTAATTTAGCCCAAGCAACATTCAGAGTCGAACACGATCAAAATAATATGTTGGAAAATTACATCTATTTTACAACGCATTAAGGACGATTTACAAATTACATCGTAATTTCGTTGTAAATTGGCGAAAAAACAATAAGTCGTGAAAAATATTGTAAAAAAACGTATCATTTATGATATATTCATGACGAAATAGTATATCGTTGTGAAATTGTCCTCAATTAATGACGACTGTATATAATAATTTTGTTATACAATAATGTTGGATTTAAGATATTTGCAGACTACATAATTTACCATGAGTTTACAACACGTAATTGTTGGGAGTTATCTACATATTTTACTGTAAAATTCTTCACCACATAATCTTCCTCATTTTCCAGATGACCGTCTTCAACTATATTCTTGTAGCAATCCAGTTTCACTACAAGAAAAACTGTAAATAGCCACAAATGAGCCACATAATAAGTCGTGGCTAACACAAAATAGCCACAACGCATGCCAATTTAAAATTTTGTGGAAAACCATAACAAGTCGTGGCTTAATAGACACAAAACCAACTCTCTAACTATTTGTGTCTTATTTTACCACAGATAGCCACAACAATAGATTGTGGCTAATAAGTCACTTATAGTCACAAAACTTATCGCGGAATAATAGATACGAAAAATGTTTTTGTATCTATTTGTAGCAAAATAAGAAACAAAAATAATTGTACCACACTAGTCATGAACACGTTTGTGGTTATTTGTAACTAAAATTCTTTACCGACTGATCATATCAAACAATTCATATTTAGTCAAAAAAATGTAAGGAAGGCCACAAATCAATTCATAGCTATTTGTGTCTACATTTATTTTGTGGCTAATTTGTTGCTTTCCGTGGCTTTGCGCATATCTCCTAAACCCTAAATTAAACTCTAAATTCAAACATAAAACTTAAACTCAAACCTTAAAGTGTAAATCATAAACATTAAACCTTAAACTTTAAACTATTAAAAATATATTAATCATAATTAACCAGAAATTTATAAAATCACTTTAAACCCATATATCTTATACCAAAAAGCAAAAATAATACTAACTCTTGAAAATAGTACATTTGCTTTTGTCATTTCTCAGCATATGTATATCAAAATTGATATATTATCCAACATTTATAAAATTTCATAAATTATTCAATTTAATAAATTTCCAAATCATAAACTCTAAACCCTACACAAAACATGCATATGTTATACTTATATATATGTATACACAACAAGATAGAACACTTATAAAGTTTTTTTTTAAAGAAGAAAAAAAAATAAGATACTATCATTTTTATAAATCCTAAACCTCAAATCTCAAATCCTAAAACCTAGAACGATACCCTAAACCCCAAATCTCAGATGACTAACACGTTAAACATTACACTCAAACACAAAAACCATAATACTCCTAAACATTACCCTAAATTAAACGCTAAATTCAAATAGAGAGTATAATATTTTGCAAATAGGGTCGACCATGAGTGTGAAATGTCAAATATTGACATTGTTTAAGATATACTCCATTAATCGAGCAAACATTGTTTAAGATATACTCCATTAATCGAGCAAATTGCAAAATACTGTACGCTAAACTTGCAAAATGTAAAATATTCTGGCTTCCCATTGGTTAGGTTTTAGAGACAAGGATCATCCTTTGTTTTTATTATCAACCATTGATTAAATTTAATCCAACATATACAATTCTCTCTTTCTGTTTCACTTCATGCTTCTCGTTCTTTTTTATCACTCGAAGCTCAAAAACACCACAATATCCAGATCTACTTCTCCTCTTCGTCTCCTTTTTTCTCTTTCTTCCCACTCCAAATATTTTTCAAATCAACCCTCATAAAATTCCAGTTTGTGTCGCCACCAACAAAGAAACTTCGAGATCTAAAGTCTGCTTGGTTTGTCCAATGAATAAATCTTGTTCCATATCTTATTTTCCCCTCCGGCGCCGATCCTCTTCAACCACAGCCGCAAGGTAAGTCTTCTCTTCTTCTCCCGTTTGTTTCAGTCCCTCTCTTCTTTTCCTGTTCATCTTCTTTAGATCTAATTCTTCTATATGAACCAGATCCCGTTGTCGTCCATGCATCCACTCCAATACAAACCGCCGGTTTTATGCTCACAGCTCCGTGATCACCACCATGACCGCCGGTGATATCGTTACTCCACCGTCGGCTTAATGGCTCATGTCCACCGCCGCCGGTGCTATTTTGTAATTAGAAACTGAAGTTTATATTTAACTGTTGTATTTATAATCAATATATTAATACAAAAAACTATTTTAGCTACAGGCTGAAAGACACGGAACCGAATCGTATCAAATTGTAGCTAACGCCAAAATAGCCACAAAATATGGACCATAGCTACAACTGAATTTGTGGCCATTTACAGTTTTTCTTGTAGTGTTTCTCTTTCCTTTCTATATTATGGGTAGGTTCCTATATTATGGGTAGGGGAACGACTCCATTGTTTCCGTGTGGAAGTTACAAGGACAAGTATTTTTCTGAATATTGTAAAAAAATGTATCATTTACGATATTTTCACGACAAAATAATATATCGTTGTGAAATTGTCGTCAATTAACGACGATTGCCCATAAAAATAATTTTGTTATACAATAACATTGGATTTAAGATTATTTGCAGACTACATAATTCACGATGAGTTTACAACATGTAATTGTTGGGAATTATCTACATACTAGTATTGGCCCGTACTACGTACGGGAAAGTAGTAGCAAGTGATATCAATTTTTTTTTTTAATACAAGATGTAACAATTAACAAACGAAAAGTAAAAAGTAGTTATTACTTAATAGTTCATCAAATAAATTTAGCGAAACATTACATCGTTGATAAAAAAACATGTTGGAATGTATAGAAAAGAAGAATAAAAAAGAACCGTGTGGGAAAGTCCATTAATGGAAGCTTCCCTAATTACTCTATTACAATTAACAGAGTTAGAAAGATCTAAAAATAAGGCCAACAACAACAACACAACTGAGGACAGAGACCTGCAACATGTAGCAACTTGAAGGTAGGAGATGGTAGAAATGATACCAGCACCCATTTCAAACCCAATTTCTGGAAGACAAAGCACTGTTACACAAACAGCTTTTCTATATTTCGTGAGATGCAAACCTGAGGAAGAGTTGTTTCTTGATGGAGTACAAAGCTCGGAAATGGTGATTTGCTAAATTAGTAGGAGAGCCATCTTTTATGATTTGTCACTTGAAGTAGATGATATGGCAGCGACATGATACAATACAATCATGAACATATCCAAGAGATGAATCTAAATCCACACTAAAATATGAAAACATGCATGGGGTACTCTAATTTTTAAATATTTGTAATCTCATCATTAGAGTCGCTAGAGCAAGCATGCATACTGTTATCAAACATCCAGAAAATCAACTCTAAGATGAGATTTTACTTTTTTATTTTCTTATAATGCTACACATAATGTTGGATACAATAGGCGAATCATATTTTTATGCAATTGAAAAGAATTCACAAAATACTGAAGTACAGAGACAACATGAAATTTGATTATCAAAATTGTTTCTTAACTTGTGCTTCCATCAATTTTGGAACTGGAAAAAAAGTCAACTTAAAAGAAATATCAACGATAGTAAATAATTTTTCTACTTAAATGGATCGATGAATACAATAACGCAGTAAGAATTTGTGTAAAAACAGAATTAGAAGAGAACTCATATGAAGTTGGAAGATTATTACGTTGAACCCAAATTCGAGATATCAAAGCTCTAATCTTCCTTTTTTTTACAAATAATTGAGCTGAGTATAATCCAAAGGCATGATTAATCTAAGACATGTTGACAAAATCAGACAGTAAGTAAATGTGATAAAACATTGAAATGAGTATGAAAATAAGATGCTTAAGTAACTTATGAAGCTGATCCTCGGTTATACGAAAAAGAGTAATAGAGATGAACACAATTAGATATCAGACACAAAATTTTACTGATGAATCTGAGAAAATGTAATATGAATCGAGAAATTTGTTGTGATATGGAATATGAAACTGATTTAAGAAATTGAAGAGATGAGAGAAAACACGATTCGATGGTGGTAAGATTCATTTAACTCGGAGAAGTGATCTTGTGACATATGACAAAAGGGATCGTCGCGGCGGGTTGATGATGGTTTTGACCCAATCCTCCAACGACAGGAGGTCATGATAGGGAAAATGGCGAGATTGGTGAATGTAATTTTGATTGAGATGAGAAGATGATGCGGAGGAAGAAGAAGTAGCCATAGAAGAGGAGGAGGAAGAGTTAGCTTAACCATTGGAGTTTCGCAAGGGAAGGCTTGAATAACCCCAACGTCGACCATCGGAATCCGACTTTCCTCCGTCAAAGCCCAGGAAATTAATCCGATTTCGAAAGGAGAAAGATGAATTTGGAGATCTAGAAAAATAAAAAAAACAGTGGTTCAAGATGAATAGATTTAGGTGGTTTCGTTTGTCTCTGCAGATTTGAGAGATTCAGGGTAAAAGTGGATTTTACAGTTTGAAGATCGTGGTGATGTAGCGGTTTCAGATCGTGGTCTCGTGGAACAAAAAGGAAATTTCAGAAAAAAAGGAAAATAATAAAATAGAAAAAACCATCGAAAAAATAAAAATAAAAATAAAAAAAAATAAAAACAAAACAATGACACGTGTCGAATGGAGAAGCCATGAGGTGACTACTGATTTATTAGTATTAGATTTTAGTGTACAACTCTTCACCACATATTTTTTTCACATTTTGTAGATGACCAACTTCATCTCTATTCCCGTAGCAATTCAATTTCTCTTTTCCTATCTAGATTATGGGAAGGGTGAACGACTCTTTTGTTTCCGTGTGGGGTTACATGGACAACTTTTTTTCTGAATGTAGCTCAGTGTGATCCTTTAATCTAGCTCAAGCAACATTCAAAGTTGAATTCGATATGCATTTGTCCACACGACCAAAATAATATGTTCAAAAATTACATCTATCTTACAATGCATTAAGGATGATTTACAAACTCCATCCAAATTTGTTGTAAGTTGGCGAAAAAACAATAAGCCGTGAAAATATTGTAAACAAACATTATTTACAATATATTCACGACAAAATAATATATCGTTGTGAAATTGTTGTCAAGTAACGACGATTGTACATCAACATAACTTTGGTATATAATAACGTTGGATTTAAGATTATTTGCAGACTACATAAAACATTTTAAGATTAGTTAACCCTTTCTCAAGGTGAAAACTATCAATCAAGACTCAATCTCAAGAACTGAATGTCTATAGTGAGATTGAGCCTTTAAGGCCTTAGAAACTGTATTCAATTAAGCCAATTAGCATCCATGAACTGTCACTTTCATGAGACAGGCATGCTAATGCTCTGTTAAGCCTAATCAAGTGATTAACGGATCATTTCCATGGTGATAATCATCCAAATCCGAACCCACTAGTGTCGGTAGTGTGTAAGGACTATGACCAACCTAGCATAAAAAGATAATGGTTAAGAACACTAAGCAACAAATATTAAGAATAAGAAATCTCCAATTTAACCTATTCCTAACCCTAAAAGCGAAATACTCACTATCCTAAGCTGAAACTCAACAAAAATTGATAAAACAGACACCATATGAAAGAGCATAATGAGATATACAACTTTTATTCAAATAAGCAAAGGCAAATTTGCAGTATTAATGGCAAGATCTATGAATTAAAATGAAAACTCTCAAGACAACAAAGAGAGAGGTTTTGGGTGGCTAAACCTAAAATTAGAAAAAGATTACAAAAACACACGCTCAGCCTTGTATATAGGCAACCCAATTAGGGTAAAAAGTCATTGGAGGTAACGTTTGGGTCGTTTTCTCATGGAAAGCCAGCTCGAGTGGTGCTTTGCCGATCAAGCTAGTGCAAAGTTGGAAAAGTTTGGCCTAAAGCATAGTGCAAATCTTTCATATGCATCACAATGCAAAAGAGATGCGTAAATATATAATAAATACTTAATGAGGCAATCACCCTGCCTACAAGCCAATTACTAGCAATTATAAATAATTATTAAAATTATATTTCTAAATTATTAAATAATTCTCATAATTAAATAATAATTTCCATAATTAAATAATAATTTTCCATAATTAAAATAATTAATATTATTTTAAACCAACTAATTAATTAAATTAACCATTAATTAATTAAATACCGAATTAAACCAACCAAAATCGATTAAACCAATTCAATTCAATTAAACCATTTAATGCAGGTTAAACCGGAAATAACTGGTCTGTGATAATTGACACAAGCTTTGTGTCGGTCGACATACACCTTATGTGGACCGACACAAACTTATGTCGCTCGACACCGTTTCCTGGGCTGCACATATCGAGTTATGAATAGTACCCCAAACATAGGAAACAAGCAATTGACTACAAACAACGAATCAGACTTCAAAATAACCACGAATCATCACACAATCACTCATATAACACGGTTTTAGCAATCACGGACCCACAGTCATGCACTCGCCTCGGATTTTTTGATTGAAAGGGAAGAAAACGAAGGAGATGAAGAAAACACAACGAAGAACACCACAAACGGCCACGCAGCAGCCACACACACGAGCCCGAAGCTTCGAATCAACGACGAACAGCCTCTGATCGATCGCCAAACACCAAAATCGCTTCAAGAATTCGCTCCTCTTCTCAATCGTTCGATACACGACAAAAACGAAGGAAGGAGAAGCGGCTGCACGATTTTTTAACCAAGACCCGAGGGTTTCCAACCCAAACCAAGCTAAATTGGGTTTCAATTCACTCAAATTGAACCGGTCCGATTTCAAAATCATGTGTGTCGACCGACACAACCTACAGAAAGACAGAGATTGCTCTACGGATGTTACACAAAGTTTCCAAATCAAATTCTTCCTCTTTATATGCTCTCAGGGCCTATCATCCTTCCTTCCTCAACAAATCCCAATTAATAAGACAATGCTCCAAATGGCTCCAAATCACCTAATAAGGACATCAAACATGCATATGTATGCAATGCAAGCTCTAGAACTACTATGTATGCATAAGAAGATGAAAATACCAATAAGTGGTGCTTTGAATGGTAGAAACAATGCAAACATTGTGTATATGATAGGCTAAATGTATACAAAATGCAAGTACATCACTAGAAAACTGAAATGAACAAGTATTATCATCAAGACAGGCGCCCTCTTATCCAATTTCGAGGAAACTATATAAGACAAAACAAACCTGGAACTCTGCGTTTGGGTCAGGAACAAGTTGGGCAAGGTGAGAAAGGCAGATTTCAGCTGCCATGTCCCATGCATCCCTAAAAAGCATGCAACAACTAGCTGAGGAAAATTCTAGCACATAATTTTTTGTCTAACAGAAGAATAGGGTTCTTGTTGAATACCACATATATGATGTTGATGTGTAGGAGGCAGCATAGGGTGAGATATTGGATTACAATTTGCAGACCACATTATTCTCTCAACAAGTAAGAAATTTTGGAAAAGGCTAGCGACCAACAAATCCTGTCTGAATAATCTTTGGAAAAGTTCTACATGGTAAAACTAACATTTGTGAGGAGGGACAAAAAACTACGGACAAGTCAGGCTAAAGAGTTTGGCCATAATACGCCATGCAGAAAGAAAAAATACCATGAGGAAGCACAATCCATGCAATTGTATATGTCACTGCTGTGAAAATCCACTTCTACTCTCCTAACAATGTCAAACGGTCATTTTGGCGGCCTGGAATCCTGTCAGAAGAGAACGCCTGCAGAACCTCCAATGGAAAGCCTCTTGTGTGAAAGCTGCAAGCTAAACCGAACTGCACAGTACAGTATGGACTTAATCAAACGCATTCAACATATAATAGTATTCCATTTAACAGTAAAAGGTTAAAAAGGAGCCTAGAACTGAAACTGCACAACCTCGGTAGCAATGAATTATAGAAATAAGTGGCTATTGGTCAAGATATCATGATAACATCACGACTCTTATGGTCTTTTCAGAAATATTTAGTGACCAATAGAAAAGGTTATGGCCAACCATACATTAGTAAACTTTCATATGCAAAGCAACATGGCAGTTATATGATACAAGACTATGGTTAGAGTAGTTAGGATATGTTAGGCCTTTTAATTAATGGGTTTTGGTATTTACTTTATTTATGAATTAGGCTTTTAGAGTTTTATATGTTAAAGAGTGTTTTCCTTTTTACATTAGGTTTGTATCAAGATCTATATAAGGGTCTCTATTGATGAATAATAAACAAAGCCCCAAGAATTAACCTTAATCTCTAAGAGAGAATTACGGTTGAGAGGAAGCTAAGCTTTTACATATTTCAATCTAAGTGTGTGAACAAAGGTTCATATCAATTTGGTATCAGAGCAGAACGATCCGATTACGGCGCTTGGAGAACAACTCGCTCGCTTCATGGAGAGGTTCGACCAATTTGATAAGAAGATTGTAGCTAAGATTGAAGCCCTTCAAGCTGACTCTCTAAATCACAAGAATTCCCCTAGCAAACAGATGGAAGAAAGCCTGATTCAGCTTATGCTGGGCAATTAAATTGTATCTGAACAGACATTGAGAATTTAAGTGAAAACGTGTATCTTGGTGCCAATTTTGAACTTCTGTTTCATTAAGGATTATCTCCAAAATAAAACGTTAAGATAACCAACCTAGTAAGTAAAAATAACATATCGTATCATGAATTATATACAATGTAGTTGTTCTATGCTCCTCTTCCATCCTCAATTGCACTAAACAGAAATCTCAACCCATAAGCTATTTCTACCATACGTAGAGGTAGCAATGTTTGATTGTAAACTTACTCACTCTTTAAGCCGCCATTTGGGGCCGTCGTGTCTAAGCTCGCAGAGCACGATAGTCTGAGGCAAGTATGCCATGCTGGTGGTGGTGGCGGCTCTATCCGTTGTGCCATTTCCATAGATATGCCTCGAAATCCTTGCTTCGCAAGGGGATTGACAAATCACCGTCACCGTCACTGGAGACACAGTCGTCGTCCTCGTAGAGTTGATAAATAGAGTTGATTTTATCGAATTGAGAACACACCCGAACAGACACCACCGAAATCCCGATAATCAAATGCTCTGCCCTAGATTTTTGTTCGGATTGGACGGCAAACGGAAAGAAAATAGAACCGAAGAAGGAGAAAGCGAGATCAATCAACAAAGCCGCTACACCAGCGGCGCAAAAGCAGAAAATCTAGCTCGACAATCCTCCAGATGAACAGAAAAGCGGCAGCAGAAACCCTAGGAATCCAGAGAAGCGAATGATGCCCAATGCTGACTGCGACGACAGCAATTGGTGCGGAAGTGGAGGCGCATAAACAGTGATGATGTCGATTTTGTTTAACAAAATGTATGAACTTAAGCTCAATAGTATATTCTCGATTTTGCACTTCATTTTGGTCTCACTTTCTTGGTTAAAGACTAATTTTTAAATGTGTAATAGCACACAATTCAAAATAGAGAGAGTTTTACCGCAAAATTGATCATAACCAGTAAGAAAAACAAATACTTATTGGTTGAGCTAATCACCAAGTAATCTAAAAAAACAGGGTGAGTTTCGAAATTTGGTTAGTTTAGGCATTTGGACGTTTGGTTTGTTTAGTAAAATCAAGAGGATAAATAAAAACTGTGGAAGCCAAAAAAGAAAAAATGTTTGGCTAGACTTGTAACTCAACAATCACTAAACAAATATCCAGTGTTCGGTCGAACTAAAAGAAAAGGTAAGTTATAAATTATAACTATAAACCCATGACGGTCTAAGCAAATTTGAAAAGAATAAAACACTTTCTCTTCAAAAAGGCACAAAGAATAATAAAGTTAAAACACTTACATTGTTGTTATACATTGAAGAACAGAGCATTAGCAATATTTTTTTTGTTCATTCTCAAGCAATCACTGCTCTTTTTCCTTTGCTGCTTTTGGTATTATCTTTCTTCTTCCTTCTGGAAATGCCAGTGATGGGATGACCCAAAGGACCTGACCAAGTCTGGACTTGTGTCGGTGGTTCGTCCTTGGCAAAATTGAAAGAAGTGGAAGTGAAGGATGAGACCATATCTGGTGGAACGAATGTCGGGTCTATGTGCTGCGAGGCCCCTAATGGTATCCCCATTGCTCCACCGTCTTGATGCGGTGGCGGAAACTTCTCACTCTTACTCTTTGCGTTGGCGTGTGTGATTAATCTCCTTCGCTGTTATTTCAGCGTCAAAGATATCAAGGTTAGAGATGCTAAGCATCACAATCATATACATACACACACATGCGAATATATGGATTGGTCTTTGTGTGTACATAACCACTGGGTGGAATAAAACCATTATTCAGCTCACTTCCTAACATATATGCACAAGTATATACGCCAAAACCAATCTATAACAATTCTCACCTAGAAGCAACCTGATTTCGACTCACATGAAAGAAAAAATCATAAAAGAAGAGAAGGTGTTGAAAAAAAAAAACAGTTGATATGGACATACATCGAGATTTGTTTGAAGTTCTGCATTAGCTTCTGGAGCTGGAAGTGCTCGATTTGAACGATCTCTGTGCCGAGTCTTCCTGGCACCATCCCCTTGGGCTTTACTAGCAGCTCTTTGTCTACACAGGAGAAAAGTGTTATACTATGCGCAGTGACAAATACAGTATAAAATAGCTAAAAGAAACGCTGGACGCAACAATGATATCTCAACTCTATCTGGGTGGTGATAACTTACATCCAGCCAAACTCAGAGCCTCAACTTAATACTGGGGTGGCACATATATACTAATTGGTCCTGATTCATAGATTTGAGTGGAACCAAACTATACAGACAATGTCAAAATCTGTATCTTTAACAATTCAAGACTCGTATTAAGATTCATAAATTTCATTTGTCATGAGAAACCGAGGCTTTAGCAATGACTAAAATACTATCGAGGAAATGTTATGTTACTAACCTCCGAGTTTCTTCATCTCGTCGCTTTGCATCTATTTCTTTGCTCGGAGGATACTTTGGGAGATGAGCAGGTTCACAGGCATATGGTTCGCTTGTAAAGAACTGGACAGGAAAAAGAGCAGAGTAAACTAACTCAAACCTTCGGCGTCATCAGGCTAGTTCACATAAAGAAGCAGCAATTATCAAAACTAGTAACTTACTTTACTATTTAAAGCAGCAGTCGCAGTTTTGCGGTCTTCTGGTTCGATTGAAAGAAGGGCGTCAATGAGCGGGAGAGATGATGGTGGGAAATCTTTAAACGTCTCTCTTATGCCTCTTTTGTATGGTTCACGTGGTTTGTATATTGCTCCATGTGTAAATTTTCCTTTTTTCCAGTAGTCCTCTGATGGTGAACCACAAAGCTTGTAAATCTTATGGAGTTGCTCCACCTAATTAATGATGATCATCAACACGCAGGACCAAGTAAGTATTTAATCGCATATCCAAGTATCATAGACCAGTAAAAGGAAGATAAGTAAACAGATAACTGATCACCAAAGTTCAAGGTGAAAGTGAAAACTGTGACAAGCTTATATAACCAAATTATTAACTATCTGTAGATGATCAAAAGTTGTCTTGTTATTGGTTTTAAGTTAGGAAACTATCCACTAGAAGGAAATAATGTTGCAGAGAGCGAATAATAATCTAAAAGGCAGTCTTAGCTTTCCTTTTGCTTATAACCACAGCGAGCAAATGTCAGTTTTTAACAATACTACCCAAGGAACAACTCTGGTTACAATGCAGAGAACATGAACAGTTTTGAATCTATATGTTGATCTAAAAATCACTCAGTATCTGTGTGTATCTCTATTTATGTCTCTCTCTGTGTGTGCACAACTAACTTGAATATACAATGATCGAAGACGCAATTAGGATGAAAATTTAACGAGAGCGACTAATAATCGAAAATGCAGTCCCAGCTTTTCTTTTGCTTATAATAACAGCGAGCAAATGCCAATTTTCAACAATACTACTACCCAAGGAACAAGTCTGGTTAAAATGCAGAGAACATTATCACTCGATATCAGTCCGTATGTTTATTTATGTCTCTCTCTGTGTGTCTGCATAAATGCTCATTCGAAATAGAGAACAGAACTAAGTTCAAGAATACAAATATCGAAGGAGCAATTAGGATGATGATTTTACGAGATACCTCTGTCCGACCGGGCATGATAGGTCTTCCTGCCAAAAGCTCAGCTAAAATGCACCCAGCACTCCAGAGATCAATACCTACACCATAATCAGTAGCACCAAGAAGAAGCTCTGGAGCTCGATACCACAATGTGACCACTCGGCTAGTCATTGGCCGTTTGTGATTAGGATCAAAAATGGTTGCCAGTCCAAAATCAGCAATTTTGAGGACACCACCATCATCGATGAGAAGATTTGATCCTTTGATATCACGATGAAGCACGCCCCGGCTATGACAATGCTCCATACCAGATAGCAACTGACGCATCAAACATTTAACCTGCCATAATCCAATCTTAGCAAGACCACCAAAAATAGCTTTACAATGTGAGATTAGTATACGGCCTAAAGCCTAACCTCTGGTTCAGAGAACTTAACAACAGGGCTTGACGCAAGGCCAGCCAAATCATGATCCATGTACTGAAACACAAGGTATAAGCTACAAGACATCCTCGACGTAACCAAACCTTCCAACTTGACAACATTGGGATGATCAAGCCTCCGCAACACGAGAATCTCTCTCGCCATGAATTTCACGCTCTCTGGCTCCAGATTATCAAACCGGACTTTCTTCAGGGCTACGATTTTACCAGTCAACATGTCCTTTGCTTTATACACATTGCTGTATGTTCCTTGCCCAATCTGAAAAAAAAAGGGAAAGCAAAAACTTCACAAATTGAGACCTCAAAATAAGGAGAGCCTTGATCAAATTTCACTCACCTTGTCGATTTTCTCGAAAGTGTCTGCTTTTCTTGGAATCCAGCCATTTAAGGCTTCACCACAAGCATCTGAGAGCCAACAAGGCCAACCAGCGGCGACCTGTTCACCGCGCCAATGCTTTGACGGATTGCTCAGCCGTGGATTAGGCTTTGACCTTCTTCCATCTCCTTTCGATTTTCCGGTGGTTTCGACCTCCTCATGCTTCTTCTCTACTGCTTGTACAGTCTTGCTCACTTGTACACTTTCTCCTGCTGCGTTGGTTTTACAGCTCTTTGCAACTTTAGGCTCCGATGTTGTTGTTGTTGACACAGCCGAAGCCTCTCGCCCAAACACACAACCCATTTGATTAATCTAAGCTTCATTTATCACCATGTCCAATCTCCGAAAAATCTACAAAAACAAACTCGAGTTACAATGGGAGATACGAAGAAGAAGCTTGAAAATCAGGAAAAAATGGACTCGATCTGAGATTTACTTGAGTCAAATCGAGGAAAATCGGTAACTCTAATTGATGATTCCCAACTCCATGGAAGCTCGAACTTTGTGCTGAGGCAAACCCTAGTTCGAGAATTTGAGCAGAGAGATGGAATCTTTGGAGCTTAGACTGTTGAGGAGAGAGAGAGAGAGAGAGAGAGAGGCCGAGCTAGAGGGTGAGCGAGAAGGGGAAGTAGGCCAAGTTTTTTTTTGCTCTCACTGATTTATTAATAATTTTTAATTTTTATTTGTTGAGAGTTGAGACAACCAATACAAAATTTAGTTTCTAATGTTTTTCTTGTAAATGAAGATGAGACCAAAGAAAACAGAGCGCACATCTCTTTCAACCGGGTCACTCAGTAGTAAAAATTGAAAAAAAGGATCTACTGTGAGTTTGCACCCAAAAAAAAAAATGATCTACTGTAAAAGGCAGCCAACAGCCCAACGTGAAATTTAGTGTCCTAATGTTTTTCTTGTAAATGAAGATGAGACCAAAGAAAACGGAGCACACATCTCTTTCAACCCGTCACTCAGTAGTAAAAATTTGAAAAAAAGGGTCTACGTATATGTTAAAAGGTGAAAAAGTATACGGCGTGTTATGGATACGGCGAATATCAGGAGACAACTCTGGCCGGAATTTGAGGGAAATCACGTGTGTTAAGGATACAACGAATATTGAGCTATCCAACAGCTTTGGAAAGCTGGGTGATGGCACATCACAGGATTCTATTCAGGATTTGACGATATCTTTGGAGGCGGATAAGGAAAATCGGATATTCCCCGAAGTAGGCGAGATTGGAAAATATTCGAAAGATAGAAGTGTTAACGTGCGGACCAAGGTGGGGGTTAAGGATGGCGCCAAGAGGAAACAAACGGGGCCGACTTCTTCGCTTGGGCCTAATGGGCCAACGCATAGAGCTAAATAAAACAAGCCCATGAGAGGTCTAGTCTTCGGCCCAGTCCTGATTGCTGGTGTCCAGAACACGGGAGACCTTTCGACTTCTCGGAAGAGGCTCCGGGTCAAGAGTGAGAGTGTGGGATGACCGGGCGGTGCTTTTGTCAGCGGCCAAGATGATAATGCCGGAAAAGATATGGAGAGTAGCGATGGTCCGACAGAGCCTGGTTCGCTTGATTTGGGAGATGGAGATCCAAACCAGCAGATCGAGGAAATGCAATCATCGCTACGGAGGGAAGGTATGGAGATGGAGGTCGCCTAACGGGTCGCCCCGGTAATTCAGTCACGTTTTTTCGAAGATCAGATGATGAATCTTATGCTATGGAATTGCCGGGGGGCTAACAAACCCAATTTTAGACGGTCGATCCGATATATGCTGAAGAAATCAAAAGTTGACATTCTTGCTTTAGTTGAGACTCACGCCGGTGGAGAGAAGGCGGGAAAGATTTGTGGTGGTTTGGGCTTTGATAACTCATTCCGAGTTGATGCAATAGGCCAGCGAGGAGGTCTTTGGCTTCTGTGGAGATCCGGTTGTGGTGTGGTCACGATAGAGGAATCCTCGGAACAGTTTATTTATGCACGAGTGGATGATGGAGTAGAGAGGCTCCATCTGATTGTTGTTTACGCAGCTCGGACAGTCAGTCGACGCAGCGGATTGTGGGAGGAACTTAGTGGAGTGATCCAAGGCATCAGTGAACCGCTAGTTGTAGGTGGCGATTTCAATACAATCCTCCGGCTTGATGAGAGAACAGGGGGAAATGGTCGTTTATCTCAGGACTCGGTGGCATTTGGTGAGTGGATTAGTGACGCCTCGTTAATTGACATGGGGTTTACAGGGCATCGCTTTACATGGAGAAGAGGTCGCACAGAGCAATATTACATTGCTAAGAGACTAGATAGAGTGCTCTGCAACGCACAGGCGAGACTGAAGTGGCAGGAGGCATCAGTTACCCACCTTCCGTTCTTAGCTTCGGACCATACGCCGCTGTATGTTCAGTTATCTCCGGTGCAGACAGGGGACTCAAGGCGGAGACCATTTCGTTTTGAGGCGGCGTGGCTACTACATGAGAGTTTTAAGGACTTGTTAAGGCAGTCTTGGAATGACTCGGTATCTACACCAAACGCTCTCCAAGGGTTAAAGGATAAGCTCAAAAGATGGAACCGGGATGTCTTTGAGGATGTTAATAAATGCAAGGAGGATCTGATGAGAGAGATTAAGGATGTCCAAGATATACTCGAGGCCCAACAGACGGACGATCTATTGAGCAGGGAAGAGACGTTGCTCAGAGAGCTTGATGTTGTGTTGAAACAAGAAGAGCTCATCTGGTTCCAGAAATCTCGAGAAAGATACATAGCCCATGGGGATCGCAATACAAGGTACTTCCACACCTCAACTGTGATAAGACGAAGGCGTAATAGGATCAAAAGCTTGAAGGATGATGGAGGACAGTGGGTATCAAGTCAATCAGAGCTGGAGGCATTGGCAGTGGGATACTACAAGCGTCTCTACTCAATGGATGATGTTGAGCAGGTAGTAGAGAAGTTACCACCGGAGGGATTTTCGGGGCTAAGAAGTGATGACATTACCCTGTTGGAACGAGCTTTTGTACCCGATGACGTGGATGGAGCTATTCAGAGCATGGGTCGATATAAAGCCCCAGGCTTGGACGGCTTCCAACCGGTGTTTTATCATGACTGCTGGGAAATTGTCGGACGGTCAGTACAGCAGTTCGCCTTGGAGTTTTTTTGTGACAGGTCAGTTGCCGGTTGGAATGAATGATGCGTTGGTGGTGTTGATCCCAAAAACGGAGAAACCAGAACGCATTACTCAGTTTCGGCCTATAAGTTTGTGTAACATCTTGTTTAAGACCATTACAAAGATTATGGTGATGCGGTTGAAGAGGTTAATGCCGAAGCTGGTTGGCCCTGCACAGTCAAGTTTCCATCCCTGGGAGATTGAGTGTGGACAATATTGTTGTGGTTCAGGAGGCGGTTCATTCAATGAGACGTAAGAAGGGTAAGAAAGGTTGGATGCTTTTGAAACTGGACTTGGAGAAAACTTATGATAGGATCAGATGGGATTTCTTGGAGGATACTCTCAAGGCAGCACACTTCCCGGCACGATGGGTACAATGGATCATGAGATGCGTCACGGGTCCGTCAATGTATTTGCTGTGGAATGGGGAAAAGTCTGAGCCATTTGTACCGCTACGAGGCTTGCGCCATGGGGATCCGCTATCTCCGTACCTATTTGTCCTCTGTTTGGAGAGATTATGTCATCTTATAGATACCTCGATGGTTCGTGGTGAATGGAAACCGATCAGATTATCACGTGGAGGCCCTCAGCTCTCACATATCTGCTTCGCTGATGATTTGATTCTATTTGCTGAAGCGTCTTTCTCTCAAATTAAGATCATTCGACGCATTTTGGAGCGGTTCTGTGAAGCATCGGGGCAGAAGGTCAGTTTGGAGAAGTCAAAGATCTTTTTCTCTGGGAATGTTAGTCGAGATCTAGAGAAGCTGTCACAGGCGAGAGTGGGATCAAGTTAACAAGGGAGCTTGGGAAGTATTTGGGCATGCCAATCTTGCAGAAGAGAATCAACAAAGATACTTTTGGAGAGATTCTGGAGAGAGTATCATCAAGGCTAACTGGTTGAAAAGGACACTGCTTGAGCTTCGCTGTGAGGCTGACTCTTACTAAGGCCGTGCTTGGATCAACTCCGGTCCATACCATGAGCACTATAGCATTGCCAAAATAAGTTCTCGGTGAACTGGACAAGGTCTCACGCTCGTTTCTCTGGGGGAGTAGCACAGGACAACGGAAACAGCACCTGCTGAGCTGGAAGAAGGTGTGTCGTCCGAAGAATGAGGGGGTCTTGGGATACGATCAGCGCCGGAGACGAATAAAGCGCTTTTGGCAAAAGCCGGATGGCGTTTGTTACATGACAAAGAGAGTTTATGGGCTCGAGTCTTGCGAAGAAAATACAAGGTAACATATGTTCAAGATAAGTCTTGGTTAACACCAAAGGGAACATGGTCTTCTACTTGGAGGAGCGTCTGTGTTGGCTTGCGTGAAGTGATTGTTCCAGGTACGCGGTGGATTATTGGAGATGGCAAAATAACTCGCTTCTGGCAAGATATATGGTTGGATGAGAGACCACTTAATGAAGCAGTGGTGATGGCGCTCCCAAATGGTTTTGATGATCTAAGGTTATGTGACTACTGGCAAAATGGAGCAGGCTGGCTAATGTTGCAGATTGAGCCTTATCTTCCAGCCGCGCTAACTCTGAACCTATGGGCATTAGTCATTGATACTGTTACTAGAGCTAAGAATCGCATATCATGGAGCCAGAGTCTGGATGGGCAATTCTCCGTGAGCTCGGCATTCTCTTTTCTCACACGAGACAAGACGCCTCGACACGACTTGGAAGGTCTCTTCAAGCGGGTGTGGAGAGCTGTTATACCAGAACGAGTCAGAGTTTTTTTGTGGCTTGGAGTGAATCAGGTTATTATGACCAATGTAGAAAGACGACGAAGGCACCTCTCGGATTCTGGGATGTGTCAGGTATGTAAAGGAGGTGATGAGACAATAATTCACATCCTTAGGGATTGCCCTGCAATGGAGGGAGTGTTGCTTCGACTAGTTCCCATCAGGAAAAGACATGCGTTTTTCACGCAGTCGTTGCTTGAGTGGGTATCCTCGAATCTTGGTGATACTCGGGACATTGAGAACATGACCTGGGCGACTCTGTTTGCTACAACGCTTTGGTGGGGATGGAAATGGCGTTGCATTAATGTTTTCAATGGCTCCGGGAAATGCAGGGACAAAGTGAAGTTTGTGAAGGAGCAAGCAAGGGAAGATACTCTAGCACATATCAAGACAAACGTGAGTGTACTGAGATCGAGTAATCCGGTTAGAGTGGAACGATGGATAAAGTGGACAAGGCCAAGTTCGGGTTGGATGAAATTAAATACCGATGGCGCCTCCAGGGGAAACCCGGGAGCTGCAGCTGCAGGAGGTGTGATTCGAGATGAAGGGGGAGCGTGGTGCAGAGGTTTTGCACTCAATATAGGGATTTGTACGGCTCCACTAGCAGAACTATGGGGTGTGTATTATGGACTGCTGATCGCGTGGGAGAGTGGTAGCCGGAGAGTTGCTATTGAGGTGGATTCGGAGGCAGTGGTGAGTTTTCTCACGATAGGGATAAGTCATGTACATCCGCTGTCGTTCCTGGTGCTCTTGTGTCATGGCTTTATATCAAAGGACTGGTTAGTCCGCATTTCCTATGTGCATAGGGAAGCTAATCGCCTCGCGAATGGATTAGCAAACTATGCGTTTTCTCTACCATTAGGTTTTCATTCCTTTGCTTCTGTTCCGGATGTCGTCCGTTCTTTGTTTCTTGAGGATTCTAGTGGGGTTGCTTCCCTACGACAAGTTATTGTGTAAAAGTTTACATTTTAATAAAATGGGGGTTTAACCCCCTTCTTCGACCAAAAAAAAAAGGTGAAAAAGTAGCTCTCAATTTCACCGGGTTCCTTTTTTTGCTTAGAATCTTTTCTCTACTTAAGTTTTTTTTTTCTTTTTTTTCATCTAGAATTATATTGAGTTAAGAGAAATTACAAGGTGTAAAACACCAACCAACCTTACAACCAAAACCACAACAACCACAATGTAATATTAAGTCGAAACCTTCTCTATTAGAAAAGCCGATGAAGAACGAAAATCATCATAAACTATACCCATAGAGGAGAACTAAACCTTACAACACAAAGACTCTCTCCTTAAGTCTTTTAATCCTTGGAAGTTTGAGTTCTGCGTAAAAAAAAAAAGAGTTCCTTTTAGCTTCTTTATCCTATATACTATCCCCTTTCGTCTTTCTAAAGCAAATTTGGGTGATTTTTTAGGGTTTATTCTTGAGTTCTTCTTTTGGGATTTCAGCAGAAGTTTGGTTTTTCAAGTTTTCTTTATTTGTTTGGAGTGATGTCTTCGGCAATGGATAAGGCAATGCTGGCAATATAGCTAGAAGAAGAAGAATTTCAGTTTATTTTTTTATCCAACAAAATATTTCAGTGAGATTTTTGATAGATGGGTTCATACTTCGACGTGTGGGCTTTTGCTACAAGCGGATTTGCAACACGGAAACCTATATTTATTAAGTGGAAAATAATTTACTTTACGATATTTACATCAGTCTACAATTATCGCAAGGGAAGAAGGCCATAGAAAATAAAGATAGAATAATAAGAGAAACTACACTGAATAATCATATTGACAAGCTGAATTAACAATCTAACCATTAGTTTCTTTTGGCTAGGATACAAGCTGTAATTTCTACAATAATACCCATTTTATCCTTTGTTATTTTTGGTGAAAATCTGTACTGTACTATTCTTTCGTATATGTGGAATAGAACGAAATATTTTTTAACATTTTTGCGTTTAGAATTTAAATTTTTGGATTTTAGGGTTATAGTTTAGGGTTTAAGGTTTATGTTTGTGGGGTTTTGGATTTAGGGTTTGGTTTTTTGGGTTTATGGTTTAAAATTTTGATTTATGGTTTACATTTTGGCTTTAGGATTTATAGTTTTGGTTTTTGGGTTTAGGGTTTAGATTTTGAGTTTAGGGTTTAGGTTTTTGTTGTTTTAGGGTTTAGGTTTAGTCTCCTGGGTTTAGGGTTTAGATTGTGAGTTTAGGGTTTGGTTAGATTCATGATTTATTTTTTTGTTTAAGGTATAGAATTTGTGTTTAGGTTTACGTTTTTAGATATAGGGTTTAGTTTATGGATTTAGTGTTTGTATTTAGTTTTTGAGTTTAGGGTTTAGGATTTGGGTTTAGGGTTTATTTTTTTGGATTTTGGGTTTAGTGTTGATTGCTTTTATTTTTGGGTTTAGAGTTTAGTTTTTTGAGTTTAGAGTTTTGATTTTGGATTTAGAGTTTAGAGTTTGCAATGTAGTGTTTAGGGTTTATAGTACAATTTAGTCTCAATTATTGTACATTTATATAGTATAGTTTTCTCTTCATGCCTAAGAGAATTAAAGGGCCAATGGTGTAACTTCACATTCTACTTTATAAAAGAACTAATTTTTTTTCTCTTATGGCTCCCAATACTATTATTCAGCTAAGTGACCCTATAAATAATCACTTGCACCTGCACCTGTAAAAGCTCCGCTTCATACTCCAGCAGTGCATCCACCGCTTCTGCTTTCCTAGTCCGCAGCAGCGGTTATGAATAAAAACTGCTCCTTTTTCTTTCTTGGCATTGTCATGTGATACGCCCCTGGACTAGATCGGATTGAAGGTTAAGTGATTGAGCGGATTGGAACACAAAGGATCCAACGTTGGATGAAAGATGAATGGATCGAGTGGCTATACTAGAGAACCCACGGAATTGGAACTCTAACACCACCTCCGACTTGTTGATATTACGCACAACAAGTGAAAGGTTTTCTCTGTGGACTTGATTGATATTACACACAATAAGTGAACAGAGTGATTGATCAAGCATAAAGAGAGGTTTTTGATTTAAAATGTTTGATAAGCTTTAAAGAGAGAAAGGGTTTCAGTTTTAAAGGAAAACGAGAGAGAGAGAAGGGAAGAGGAAGAGATGATGGAACAAGCTCCAAGCGTCTCGAGAACACACGAAAACATAAATGAACAAAGACTGAAAACGACCCTTCAGTTGCCTTGGCGCTCCCTTTCAACTCTTGGGCCGGACCTCAACACTTGGGACAAAAGAGATGATTTGGAAGTGTGGTTTGGGCCTCGTTAAAAACCTTGTCAAGAAAACCCAAAGGGACAAAACTTGACAAGGGAAAAAGAGCACACCAAAACACACTTGTCTCTTTATCCCTCATGTAAGGCCTTCAAGCAAACTAGAGTAGTTGGCTTGGTTTCTTGCTGACTCAAACAGCTAAGGACTTTGCTAATCACTTGGTTTAGTGCCTTAGTTTGTGAACGAGTGATGGGGCCAGTTGGAATGGCTATGCTCTCCTCAGGTTCAAGCTGCGCGGCGTCAAGTCCCTCCTCGGCTTCAAGCTGCTCCATTCCATCTCCTTCCTCGGCCTGAACCTCCTCGTCCATGATCGCATCATCATGTTTAGTGGAGAATTTTTCTTTACTTATCAAGAAGTATGGTGGTGGTTCTAGAACTGGAATATAGCCAGGGCCGGGCTCAAAGATTTTATAAGCCCTAATCAAAATAAAATAAAATCTTTTTAATGTGCCCCTTTTGCTATAGTAATTTTTTTTGTGCCCCTTTTTCTATACTATTTTTTTTTTCTTTTCCAATCAACCCCAGTGCATCGCACCTCTTGCACCCCCTCCTAAGCCGCCCCTGAATATAGCAACCTTTAGACGCTGTTTTCTCTTAGAACAAAAGACTCTTCCTTATTTGATCATAGTGGCACAACAAAAAATAAATAGATAACGTCAATTATATAAAGTCACTTTCATAACCGACACCAAACAAAGAAAAGGTGTAGTAACTAACTTAACGTCACAAGTTAAGTGACGTCAAATCCCTTCTTCTCTTCTTCTCTTTTACTGATATCATTAAAACGGAAATTAATTTGGTTTTTTTATTCATCGCATGTAAAAAATTGATGTTAGTGCTGGATATCCTAGACTAATGACGAATATGTTGATACAACTTTGGCTCTAGGTTGTGGTATACCTAATATTGTTATTTGGTCCTGGATGACTCTCATTGCCATGATTGCTAAGCCACTTGTTCAACCCTTTGGTGCGTAGTTAGATTTACGACTTAAAGCTGGCTTTAGTACAATATAGACTGAAGGTGGCCTGCTTCTCAGGGAATTTTTTATCTTGGGGAGCAGAAGGTCACTTGACAGGCCATGTAATGGTTAGGCTCCTTCTCTTGCTTTTCAATCTATTTCTTTGAGCTGTTGTGATAATGAGAGTGATGCAGGTTGGGATCATAAGAAGCTTAGAACATGTATGAACATCTAGCCAAGTGATTTAGATAGAGGTACTATTTAGTAAGTTAGTTTTAATCCTTATGCAAAGTTCATCCGAATTTATATTGTTTTTCTAGAAATGAAGAAAGAGAGTAGCTCCTTGCTTGATGTAGGAGACTTTTGGAGATTTCCACAAATTTCTTTTTTCTTTAATTATGTTTTTCTTATTGGGCTTTTGATATTTTCTTAGGGTTTTGTTTGCTATTTAAACACTTTAAGTTGTAGCCGTCACACATATCTTATTATTCTAATTAATCAAAGCAGAGAACTTTTCTCTAATCTGGTGGATTTCCAGAGTTTTCTCTTCAAGTTCATCGCTTGTGAACTTGAATTCAATCTAGGTTTAGTGCTTGCTATTCCTAGGGTTTTCCGACTGCGTCAAGTGGTATCAGAGCAGGCTTTTTCCTGTCTCTTTTTCGAGCTTGAAGCTATGGGAGATCAACCGTTGACCAAAGCAGATTTTCAGGGTTTTACCGTGGCTATAACCTCGGCCCTAACTGCTTTGACTAATCAGATGAAGCTTTTAACCAATCAGACGGAAGCTTTAACCAATAAGGTTATCAAAGCCGGACAAAGAGAAAGGAGAGGAGAACGAATTAGGGTTCAACATGTTCAAGACAATAGGTGCGGCAATTGATTTTAGCAATCACATGAAGGTGCTTGATAGATAATTGAAGATAGTCGGCAAATCAGCAAATAAACAAAGAAGGAGATTCAATTAGGGTTCCAAGAGATGAGAAAAATTGTGTTTGTTATTATTGAAAACCCTAGTTCTCAAGAGGAAGACTTCATAGAGAAAGAGATTGATCAACATAATCTACATAATGATCAGGTTTTCACATTAAAGCAGATATTTCATTATCCTATGAAATTCCAGAAGTGGAGAAGACAGAAATTACAGAAGGAGTGCTAGTAATCTACAAAGATTTTAAGAAATCGATTGTAGGTGAATAAGCGAAGAAAAAGAATGATGTTGGCAAGCAGAAGAGAACCAAAGTTTTCAAAGAGGATGATGATGTAGTTGTGTTCCTCCATAAAAAAGGTTTCTAGTTGTTACATACAACAAAGCACAACCTAGCAACTATGGTCAGCCTTTTAAGAGGATGTGATTATTTATCCAGAAAAATAATAAGCTCCAACCTAGCAAATATGGTCCTTTCAAAGGTGTTGCGGAAGATCAATGATGTGTTTATGTTGTGGCTCTTCTAAAGTAAATGAAGATTTCTTATACTTTCAATGTGCTGACATTCATGAGTACCATGCATATGAGATTCTTAATCTAAAAAAGAACTCGAGGTCGAGTTCTTTAGAGGTGGAGGAGACTGATGTAGGAGATATTTTGGAGATTTCACAAATTTCTTTTTTCTTTAATTATGTTAGGGTTTTGTGCAAAACAACCCTCAAACTAAATTATTTTTGCAAATCAAACCCTCAATTTAAAGTTGTGCAAATCAAACCTCTGAAGTCAAAATAACCCCGCAATATAAGACATCTCTATATTTGTGACAAAATTTAAAATGATTTTATGCAAAAAAACCCGCGAACTATTTTTTGTGTGCAAATCTAACCCTCAACTTAAAAAATATGCAAGTCAAACCTGCAAAATCGAAAGTCACTGCTAAAATGGACTTATATGTATTTGTCCTTAACTACAAACGTTGACTCAAAACGTCATGACATTTATAATATTTTAACCATTTTTATTAAAAGTAAATTAAAAAAAAAACAAAAACAAAAAACTTTAATCTTTAATTTCCTTTCTCTTTCTCCTCTTATTAATGAATTTATCTCGAGTAATCTTATCGCGAATAAGTTGATTCTTTTCTTCATGATCTCATTAACTAATGACGACGAAGAGACAAAGATAAGAACTAATTTACTCGCAATAGAATTATTCGAGAGAGGCTCATAAAGACATAGGACTTCAGATCTTCCAAGTAATTATATTGTGAGTAAGTTGGTTCGGTTTTGATTTTCTGGATTGGTTACGGTTTAGTTTTTTTGGATTTGGTTAAAAATCCTAACCCTCTCCTTATTGATGGAGAAAAAAGAGAAGAAATATTGAATTATTGTTTTAAGTATTTTTAATAAAAATGTTAAAATATTATAAATGTCATGATGTTTTGAGTCAACGTTTGTAGTTAATGGACAAATACATATAAGTCATTTTAGCAGTGACTTTCGACTTTGCAGGTTTGACTTGCATATTTTTTAAGTTGAGGGTTAGATTTGCACACAAAAAATAGTTCGCGGTTTTTTGCATAAAATCATTTTAAATTTTGTCATAAATATAGAGATGTCTTATATTGCGGGGTTATTTTGACTTCAGAGGTTTGATTTGCACAACTTTAAATTGAGGGTTTGATTTGCAAAATGAATTTAGTTTGAGGGTTGTTTTGCACAAAACCCATATAAGAAAGTAAGAAACTCTTGAAAGTCCATAAACAGAAAGCTTTACTTATTCATAAGTGTACTCTTTACCAAAACTCATAATCATTTAAGTATAAGTAGTCTGTTTTTAAACAGAGGATGAAAAAAAATAAAAAGGAGAGCAATGAATATAAGAAAGTAAGAAACTCTTGAAAGTCCATAAACAGAAAGCTTTACTTATTCATAAGTGTACTCTTTACCAAAATTTATAATCATTTAAGTTACTTAAATAGTCTTTTTTTAAACATTTATACGTAGAAACGAAAAAATGACAAAGGACCCTGACTTTGAAAATTCTTCTTATGTTTTTTTTTTTTTTTAAAGAATTCTTCTCATGTTATGTTCATTGTCTTGATTAAATGGGGTCAAATTTACAAAATACTTATTAATGTTTCAATATTATATAGTCTCTAACTAGTTCAATCTTATATTTTAGATCATGATTATAATAATTTTATATAAAAATACTGCGTAGCCTATATTATAATATTTCCTTACTTTACAGAGAGTCCCCCGAATTTTTTTTTGCAAACTAACATACATTAGCCAAATAAACACAGCCATGTAAGGATTTATTTTTTTTCAAATAAAACGAGAGGACCACTCAAATGTGAAGTAAATAAATAATCCGGCTAATATCTCCATACATACGGCCTATGAAAGTTGTAATTCAAATTTAAAGTTTGAACAATCAAAAATAATATGAAAGACAACTTTTTTTTTCTTTTTTTTTTTTTTTATATATGAAAGACAATTTATTCACTGCAAATATAACTTCTTACTGTATTATCATCACTGGTAGGATAACTGATAAATAAAAACATACATATTTTGGATAACTAATAAAGACAAACATACATGAAGAAGACACTAATATGCCAATGAAAGTAAATAAAGGTAAAGTCGAATACATTAAATTTGGAATATTTCCAAACGAGTATACACTTTTGAGTGTTTTGATACAAAACAATTTCACCTTAGGGAGAAGAAATGCAACTTAACTCTATTTTTGTCAAACTTTCTGTTGTAATTGCAAGCTCGAGATAGACGGCTGGCTAATTATCTAGGTGTCCGAAGAGACTTTTGTGGCTATATAGTAGTGTTTTGAAATGGTATCGTTTTGTTTTAATCTCCCGAGAAGTTGTAGACATTGCTAACCGTGAGGTTTTGAGGGTTGCTGATTTAATATCTTAGAATCTTCGGCAAAAGCACAAATTTTCAAGTTTAAAGGTTTAAAACCAATGTTCATATTCTAAATTTGTTTGTGTTAACTATGAATTGTGTCTATTATGTTGTTTTTTGTCCGTCTCTAATTCCAATTGTAATTTATTTTGTTTGTAGTTTCCTTCTTCCTCTCTTCTTTAGTTTTTCTGTGACTTTTGTGGAGGATAAAAATTAAAATTTGGTTAAAACTTAACATTTAACCCCAAAAAACAAATTCTATGAAATTTAGTGCCTTATTTTGAAACTATTGAAATTTGATCTTATAAGATGCAAAGACTGCAAACTGATACAATGTAAAAAATGTTTAAGAATAAACTGTACAAAGAAATTAGATACATAAGCCCTCACTTAAACAACAAACATATACTCTATCTATTTTTAAAGAAGATATTTTAAGAATTTTCAGACAAATGAAGAAACTATATTAAGTATAGACTCTAAATGTATCATATATGTATTAAAAAATTCATTAATTATAACCAATCATAATTCAATAATTTCAATTGATTTTCATAAAATTTAAATTAATCAGTATTATTTAATAAAAAATGCATTGAAAATTAAGAAAATTAATCTTTAAAATATGTTGGTTAAAAGGATGAAGTGAAAGCTCAAAGACAAATACATCTATCTTTTGGTGGCAAATGAATTGTGAATATATTTGTAACTCATACACATAAAAAAATTTATGTCTTTGTGAAAATTATGGCATTGTATAATTAAGGAATTGAGATATATATTATCTTCCTTTTTTAAACAAAATTGACAATTTAGCTTCATTGAAGTAGAGAAGAATATAAAACTAAATTTTGATGATGCATTATGTGTGACTTGAATTCTCCTAAATCAACTTAAAGTGTAAAGAGAACTGATTAATTAATTAAACATGTCAGAATTTCACTTATTAGTAAAACATTCTAACAGTTTTGCCAAAACTATATTCGATGTTTGAATTGCGATCTATAAGTTATAAAATAGAGGAAATGAATCAGTCATCACGTTACATGAAGTAATTGCGTCAGAGAAATTATCATATTATTATTCAAAACATGAAATAAAAAAAACTAAATGAACAAAATAACAAAACCACCCGCGCGTAGCGCGGGTTTCAACCTAGTTATTCTAATTTATCAAAGCAGAGAATTTTTCTCTAATCTGGTGGATTTCCAGAGTTTTCTCTCTTGTGAACTTGAATTCAATCTAGGTTTAGTGCTTGCTATTCCTAGGATTTTCCGACTGCGTTATTGCTTCTCTCACTGACTGACTCTCAGTGCTAGCTAGCTCCAAACTTCATGGTAAATCTTCACCTTTGGTTTATCTTCGGATAACATTTGCGAATCCAGACTTGTGATAGGAATACACATTCTCTGATTTCTCTTAGGTTCTATTTTTCCTTTCATTGTAAGATTGTCTAATAGGTTAGTATGTTGATTCATAAATTTCCCTAAAGTAAGCCATTAAAGAACACACAAACTCTAAGCCAGGCTAAGTGTTACGATGGTTGCAGGAAACCCAGCTGAAATGATGAACATCTTGAACCAAAACAGAACCGCTCAGAATCTCAACAAACCAAAAGAGTCTCCTGGTCTTGGCTGCAAGGACTTTCAGTATGTTGAGCTCTGCGAGGGTCAGTGATATGATTATGGCCAGCGCTAAGGTCCAGGAGCATGGACCTAAGCTTGAACCTGATTGAGTTAAGGACTTAAAGCTTGAACCAGTGGAGCAGCTTGAGCGTGAGGGAAGTAAGCTTGTAGCTGAGGATGAGCTTGAACCGGAGCTTGTAGCGGAGGAAGCTTTAGCTGCATCACTGGAACTGGTTACTCATTCTGGAGTTAATCTTGAGCCAAGGTGGAGAAGACACGATCCTAAACCTCCCTGGTTTTTGATCCAAGCTCAAGATATCAGCAAATGGGCATGTGATTCATTTGCACTCTTTTTCCCTTACCTTTGGTTTTGTCCCAATGGGTTTTCCAAAGGAAGGTTTTTAATGAGGCTTATGTTTTACATTCCAATAACTCATTATGCTGATCAAGACCCAAGCCCATCAAGTGGGAAGATTGAAAACGTGGCCATGAAGTCCAATGGTCTATTTTAGTGTTCAAACTTTCATTTATTGCTTTGTGTGTTTCCAAGATGGTCATTGGAGCTTGTCCCTTGACTCATCTCTTCTTCTTCCCTTATTTTCCCTTTATATTCTGTTGGACGAAATCCTTTTGAGTTATGCAACTTTTGAATGAAAACCCTTTTCCTTTGTTTAATCAAATAACCTCTTAGTGAGTTGAATCTAAGAAACCTCTCTTTGTGTGTTACATCTAAGAAATCCCTTTTCTTTTGTTGTGAGTTATATCAACAAGATTGAAGGTGGCGTTGGAGATCTCCTTCCATCAGATCTCTGGTATAAGCCATTCATTCCATTCACTCCATTCACTCCATTCATCCATTCTATCCATTCACTCCATTCCATCTATTCATTCCATCAATTCCACAAGTCCGACCATTCCATCACTCCATCTCTATCCTTACTTGCTTCAAAGTGCAGATCTCAATCAAGGGTCTATCAAGTGGTATCAGAGCCACTTTGAAGCTAAGTAATTCTATCTCTAGTATTTCGATTTTTCATTTGTGCATCTTTGACAATTGTGACTGTTCATCTTCTGATCTAGATCTGGCCAGTTTCACTTGTTTGCATAATTTTAAAATTGTTATCATAATTTATCCTGAACCATTTCACATAGATCTGTCCATCTACAAGTGTTTCCCTATTTTAGAAATTGTTTACATAATTTTCTAAAATATTTTAGCATTTTCCCCTTGAACTTCTAACTGCCGAGTGTTTCTCTTGATTTTCAGGCACCATGGTGTCCGAGAAGGATGATGAAGAGGAATCAAGCAAGAGCCTCAACGAAACCATGCTGGAACAAATCAAGAAGATGATGATTGAGGAGTTTGATCGGAGGGAACATGTTAAAGAAGGAAAGCAGAAGCAACCTAAGGATCCGGTCACATCTAAGAAGAAACCAGTTGAGGATCTTAGTGGTTACATGATGATGATTCCGCCATTCCTTGGGAACAATGATCCAGATGTATATCTGGATTGGGAGAAGAAGTGCGAGATTACCTTCAACCGGCATAACATAGCTGACATCAACCGAGTAAAACTAGCAGCTATGGCGTTCAAGTATTATGCTCTAAGTTGGTGGAAACAGGTTGAGACGGCCCGAGCTTACAGTGGAGCTTATGAGATCTCTACTTAGGGAGAAATGAAAAGATTTATGAGGAAGCGGTTCGTTCCCATTCACTATCAGCGTGAGCTGCACTCTAACTCAGGAAGCTCACTCAAGGATCCAAAACCGTTGAAGAATACTTCCAGGAGATGGAGGTTATGATGTTGAGGGCTAATGTCATTGAGGACAGGGAAGCCACTATGTCTCGGTTCCTTGGAGGGTTAAGCCGCGAGATCCAAGATGTGGTGGAGATGCAAAACTGTGTGGGCTTAGAAGCTATGCTCCACAAAGCCGTTCTTGCTGAACAACAGCTCAACAGGAAAGGTTCCTCACGTTTTGGTTCCAACTCGCTCAGCCAGGAGTATTCAAGAGATAGCAAGCCAGTCTTCACTCCTAAGCATGAACCAAGATCATCAACGAGTTATCAAGATAAGGGAAAGGGCAAGGCAGATGTGACTCCAACTACCAGTGCTCGTGAGGTCAAGTGTTTCAAGTGTCAAGGGTTTGGTCACTATGCTATTGAATGTACCAACCGCAGAGTAATGATCATAAGAGACAATGGCGAGATTGAATCCGAGGAAGAGCCTACGCCCAAGACTGTTCAGGACACAGAGGAGTATGAAGCAGTACCAGTTCGTGATGAAGTCTGTAGTCTGATCACTGATGGAGGCAGCTATACCAACGTGGCAAGTGAGACCATGGTCAAGAAACTTGGGCTTAGGTCTCAGAAGCATTCCAGTGCCAATGACCAAGAGCTAGGTCCTGAGCTTGAACCTAATCAAGAAGCTGAAGACCATGGAGAGCCAAAACCTAAGCAGCCAAAAAAAACATTGAGCAATTTGTATCAAGGTACCAAAGGTGAATCTATTCAAACCCCTTCCTGTGATTTGCAAGAAATTGTTCAAGTCCCTAGCAATGATAAGGTACATGCTAGACTTCCTCAAATTGTTTATAATGATTCCATGAGTTTTATGATGCACTTGCTTTTCTCCAAAAGTGTTGAGACAGGTACAGGGTCTAGTGAAGAACAATGGAAGCAAGCAGATCAAGAAAAAGAATCTCAATCCGACCAGATTCCACCAGAATCTAAACCACCAGACCAACAACTACAAGGTTTAGGTGTGACAAGAAAAGAGACAAATGAGGAGGAGTTGCCAACTCAAGTTCCAAATCCAAAGTCAGCAGAAAGCACTTTTTCTTTGATAATTCCAAAGGAGATTAGATCAGAACCACACATTCAGCCTGACCCAGGTAAGTGTCTACAATCTTTTTCAATTAGTAAAACTCATGAGTTTTCTAATGTTGCAGGAAGAATAGGTTTGAATCTTAAGCTCTCCAACAAAAAGATCAGAAGTGAAATCACAATTTCTGTTGAGAAAGCTCCTAATGATGAGTTAGACCATGAGTTCAATCCAGAACCAAACAACAAGTGGAAGTCAAAAACAGAACAAGGATACAGTCAAGCCATGTCTACTGCTAAGCTAAGTGCAATCTTAAACCAACACATTCATCCTGTCTTTTTAACTGTCTTAATGCACTTGTCTTGGTTTAAAGAAGTTGAGAAAGGTACAGCTGAGCAAGAGAGACGCCTAGAAGCTCACAAAGCATTAACTTGTCATACCAAGGAGGAGTATGAGCAACATGTTCTTGAGCCAATTGCCGCAGCTGATTCACTAATGAGCGTTTTGCATAGTACACAGGTAAGTGAAGTTCAATACTTGATTTACTATTGGGATCATTTCATGATACATCAGAAACTTCAGAATTTTGTTTTTGAAATTCCCATTTCAAGTATAATGCACTTGTTCTTTTCCTTAAGTGTTAACAAAGGATCAGGTTTTTGGAGAAGCATAAGGAATTGGAAGAAGCAGCATCAAAGAACAACACATTCTCATCTCACGTTCATCTCATTCCCTGTTCACCTATGGTTCTTTGTTTGAGTTCTCTATTCACCAAAGGCGAGGCAACATGAACCAAAATCAAGAAGAGTGGCTCACATGTTCCAATCCAATTCCAGAGAAACCACCAGACTCTTATCTGCGATATCAAAGAAGCAAACCCAAGGTAAGTATCTAGATTCCCAAAGGCGTATGAGACCTAACTTGCTTTCTTTTGGTGCAGGAAAAACAGTTTTGAGGACAAAACTTTTTGAAGAGAGAGAGGATGATATGATTATGGCCAGCGCCAAGGTCAAGGAGCATGGACCTAAGCTTGAACCTGATGGAGTTAAGGACTTAAAGCTTGAACCAGTGGAGCAGCTTGAGCGTGAGGGAGTAAGCTTGTAGCTGAGGATGAGCTTGAACCGGAGCTTGTAGCGGAGGAAGCTTTAGCTGCATCAATGGAACTGGTTACTCATTCTGGAGTTAATCTTGAGCCAAGGTGGAGAAGACACGATCCTAAACCTCCCTGGTTTTTGATCCAAGCTCAAGATATCAGCAAATGGGCATGTGTCTCATTTGTACTCTTTTTCCCTTGGTTTTGTCCCAATGGGTTTTCCAAAGGTTTTTAATGAGGCAAATGGGTCACATACAAATAACCCATTTAGCTGATCAAGACCAAGCCCATCAAGTGGGAAGATTGAAAACGTGGCCATGAAGTCCAAGGGTCTATTTTAGTGTTCAAACTTTCTTTATTGCTTTGTGTGTTTCCAAGATGGTCATTGGAGCTTGTTCCTTGACTCATCTCTTCTTCTTCCCTTCTTCTTTCCCTTTATATGTTGGACGAAATCCTTTTGAGTTATGCAACTTTTGAATGAAAACCCTTTTGCTTTGTTTAATCAAAGAACCTCTTAGTGAGTTGAATCTAAGAAATCCTCTCTTAGTGTGTTACATCTAAGAAATCCCTTTTCTTTTGTTGTGAGTTATATCAACAAGATTGAAGGTGGCGTTGGAGATCTCGTTCCATCAGATCTCTGGTATAAGCCATTCACTCCATTCATCCATTCCATCCATTCACTCCATTCCATCTATTCATTCCATCAATTCCACAAGTCCGACCATTCCATCACTCCATCTCTATCCTTACTTGCTTCAAAGTTCCGATCTCAATCAAGGGTCTATCAGTCAGTAGTAGATATCTATGTAATCAGTAGTACTAGGTTTTGAATCAGAGATGATAACTTATCATCATGCACCTGGATAAATAAGTCGATTGAGTTATATTACTTTAAATATATGCTCTAACGATATCTTATGATCCTTTAGGAATGAATGTGTATCCTCTAATCAAGAATTGGATTCCGGATTTGGATGGAAACCCTGAATTTCTTGTGTATGTGAAGTTCTTGCACAGTGTTGTTCGAGCTCAAGACTTGCAAGGTGACATTATGTATTCAAGACAATAACAAAGACTAGCGACATCTACCTCTTTTGTATATATTTTTTGTGAGCATTTTCTTTTTAATAATATTGTGTTTTTGTGAAGAAACAGATTAAATATGGGTTAAAATTGTCAGATTTTATAATTTCTACTCTTATCTTTTTATTTGTGCTCAACTCAAACAAGAAAAAGAAAAAAAATTGAATATGTTTATTGTGGCAGGCGTCGTTTGCAGAACAATAAAACTGATGTTAAAATTCACAATAACCGACGTACGCTAATAAGTTAGCAACATTTAAAAACCGTCGCTAACCATGATACTAAACAACGTTAAAACCCTGTTTTTTTGTTGTGTGGGAACTAATTCCTGTGATTTTATCTAGTGGATAACTCTAATCAAATGTCCTAGAAGCAAGGACTAAGCATTCTGATATGACCTGAACTCCTCAAATATTTTCTGTATACATAATAAGTAACAACGCATACTAGAATAGATAAAACAACCCATGGAAAAACTCGTTAGTAACTCTTGACCAATATAATGGCATAACAGCCAGACCTTTACACCAGGAGTTAAATCCAAAACATCAACCGGTTATTGACTGATATTTTTTATTGACTGATGTTGGTTTTAGAGATACGTACATTTTAGGATTGCAGCTTCTCCTATTGTCCTCCACCAACTTTATTTTCATTATTTTCTCAGACCATTCGCTAAGGCTTATCTCTGATGGCCAGTACCCAAGTTGAAAGGTATTTCAGTTCAGGGTATCTCTTGAATATCTTGATCGGCAGTATAATCACTGCCTCGTTGCCTTTCTAGTCCTTAAAGCTTTGAAATAAAAGTCGAAACATGTAAATCAACAATTGGGCATACCCACTTTATGTTATGTAGCGATTATGTAAATGATGTTCACTTTATGTAAATGTGCGATTATGGTATGGTCTTTGCAGAAGCAAACATGTATAACCTGATTTTACAATATAACCTGATTTTGCTTGCAAACAGAGATGTTTCTCTAGATTGCACAAGTGATAATGAAGATTCACAATCATTCAGCATTGAAGACCAGGATGCGTGGGGGGGTGATAATGAAATTTAACAAAGTGAAAAGTTTATCTGAAGGTTAGAATTCTGAGAATTAGTTTATTAAATCCCTTTATATAGTCATGATTCAATATTTACATGACCCATTCATTCAGATGATGATAATAGAAGACCAGAAGATGCAAACTACACTGTAGATGTACTGACTAGATGTACGGTGAGCATACATAGCGTTGGCAAAAACAAAATTAAGGCTGTACCATTTAAAGAGCGTGGTCATGAGGCTATTGTGGTGTATGTTCCTTTATCTCAGGTAACATGGCTGCTTCGTTTATATTTTCTCTTGTCTTCATAGTCCTTGATGTCGATGTCGAACATCTCTTCCCGCTTCTTGAATAGGTCTTCATAACATTCTGATCTAGTCCACGCAGATTAAAGATATGAAGATTTTTTTTTTTTTTTTCAATTTCATGTAAAATTAACTCAAAAAAAGGCGTTTGTTTACATCATGTGCAACGTATATTTGAAAAGCATTCGATAGAAAGAAAAAAAAGAGTCTAGCTTCTTGTTTCAAACCAGGTTTGCAACGCACCATCAAACTTTCGATCTCCAATCTGCGTAATTGATGAAAGGCGGTTCCGTGTGGTTTTGTCAATGAGCTGAACGAGTTGAGCTGGGGGAAGTGGCTGTTTTCCATGGCGCCGAGAGTTCCGTTCCGTCCAGAGACCATGAATTGTGGCTTGAAAAACATACCGAATTAGGAATTGGGTATGTCGTGGTTGAGTGGTATTTGAAATGACGGAGACAAGGGCGTTCCAGTTTGTGGTGTAGAGGCCTTTGAGAAGACCCTTTGTCAACACACTCCAGACTGCTGCAGAGTATCGACATGCGAAGAAGAGGTGATTGCGGGATTCCACAGACTGCTGACATAGGAGACAAGTAGCATTGACACCTGCATTCCAAGAGAGCATTCTATCTCCGGTAGCCAAACGATTATGCATCGCTAACCAGGCAAAGAAACAGAATTTAGGGGTGGAATGAGTAAACCAAACTCCACGGTGCCATTGAATAACGGGTCCGGCATGTCGGGGCTGTATCCAGGTATTCTTTGTACTGAAAGAAGGTTTGTATACGTCCGCAGAAACTTTCCAAAGCGGTATGTCTTCTGCAGTGTGCATGCTCCGGCTGCATAGAGAGTTGAGCATGACTTGGATAGCCCGTAGCTGCTCTGTTCTATGGCGTCTGCGTCCGAGACCAGTGAGAGCGTCCGCCACCGATTTACTCGAAGTAATACCCAGATCAATAAAACCCCGTGGTCCAGTGATGTCGATCAGCGTACCTAGCGGCGACCAGTTGTCGTACCAGAATGAAGTTCTCTGGCCGTTATGAACTTCCACCTTGTAGAACTGCTTTGCCAAATCTCTGCATTTCAATAACTTTCGCCAGACCCATGATCCCAAACCAGTATCTCGAACTGACCAGAAGGAGTCCGTAGGGATGAGATACGTTTTGATCCACTGGACCCATAGTGATGGATGAGATGAGGCTATTCTCCAAACCATCTTTAAGCAACAAACTTTGTTTACCTCTTTTAAAGGACGTAAACCAAGGCCCCCTTCTTGGATTGGTTTACATACATCTTCCCATGATATCTTTCGCCAGACCCATGATATGAAGATTTATTGACAAAGAGAAGCATGAAGACGTTCACATAAGAGAAAGAGCTAGCACTTAATATCACAATAAAAAACACGATCAATCTCTAAAAGATACCAAATATCACAATTTTAGATTGGAAGAAGAAGAAGAAGAAAAGGAAGGACACGACAATGTTATCGGTGGAGTAGAAGATGGGTTTTTCGTTCTGTTTTTTAATCAATGTTTTCTTTTTTTTTGTAAAAATTACTAATTACAAAGACAATTTTGTAAATAAATAGAGATAACAAGGGTTTCACATCTCGTTCTCCTTTTCTCCGTAATTGTGAGCTTATTTGGCCACCTATGCAAGATTGTCTGAGAAGAGAAAAAAGAAGAGAGATGGATTTGAGACTTGAGCTTCAAGAGTTCAAAGGAAGCTTTGATATGGAGAAAGCCGTTTGTAACCATGGCTTCTTCATGATGGCTCCAAACTTGTGGAACCCTAAAACGAAGTCACTAACCCGACCTTTAAGGCTTTCAGATTCCTCTTCCACCAACGTGACAATCTCTCATCAAGCGAGTCAGCCTTTTCTTGAAATCAAAGTTCACGACATCGACAACGTCTCGAGAGTTGACGAAGAACTCATCTTTCAACAAGTGAGAAGGATGCTAAGATTATCAGACAAAGACGAACTTCAAGTGACTGAGTTTCAAAAACTCCATGAAGGCGCAAAGAAGAGTAATTTTGGTCGAATCTTCCGTTCTCCGTCTCTCTTTGAAGATATGGTGAAAACTCTTTTGTTGTGTTTTAATACTTGGGAGAACTCACTACGTATAGCTTCTCATCTATGCAAATTGCAATCAAAGCTAGCGGAGAACAGTGAAGACCGGGAACCTAGGAAAGAAATAGTTGAGAACTTCCCTAGTGCCAAGGAAATAGCTAGCTTTAAGAAAGAATTGATAAGCGAGCATTGTAAACTTGGTTACAGAGATAAATGGATTCATATATTAGCTAATAGAATCGAAAGGGGGTCGCTGAATCTCCAAAAGATGGAAAGCGGGGAGATGGAAGCAGAAGAAATTGCTAAGAAAGTTTCAAACTTGAAAGGCTTTGGTCTTTTTGCAACTGCAACGGTGCTTATGTGTATTGGTCACTACCATCGTGTGACATGTGATACCGAGACTCTCAGACTCTTTGGAGAGGTAGGTCTCTTTACATTGAATCCCTTTATAAATGGCAATATATCGTTATCTAATCTAATGATTTTAACTGTGTATGTAGCTGCATGGAAAGGAGAAGTATTCGAAAAAGACACTAGAGAAACAAGCACAATCACTCTACCATAGATTCTCTCCATTTCAGTGTTTAGCTTATTGGTTAGCATCTCGTATTTTGTATCATCGTTTAAGTATACAAATAACAGCAGTTTCTGATAAATATATTTATTGCTTCTTCTCTTGCACTGTAGGTTTGATTTAATCCGAAACTATGAAGAAAAACTTGGCAAGCTTAGCGAGTTGGATCCGTGTGAGTACATCAAGGTTAGCGGATGCTCTAAAAAGCAAAGGGTCGATGCTTCTGCTGAACCGGATCGTATCAAGACAAAGGTGTGTAAGCCAAAAAAGCGTAAACCAACGAAATTCATAGCAGAATTGATGAAGACGAAACCGTCTAAGAAAAAAGAGCCTAGAAAAGATTATACATGTTCTCTATGTAAACAAGCTGGTCATAGCTGCAGGACATGTCCGGTTTTAAATGCTTGAGAATTGGATATCGTTTTGTTGCTTTACATCCTGGATAATTGAATATCGTTTTGTTGCTTTTACATTCTGGATAATTGCAAGACATTTCAGGGTTGTTATTTTACTTTGATTTCGTGATCAGCGCTTTGTTGCTTTTACATTCTGAATAACTGAAAGACATTTCAGGGTTGTTATTTTACTTTGATTTCGTGATCAGAAGATGTCAACAACATTTAGTTGAAAACTCTGCAAAGTTTTGGCAAAAAAAGAAGAAAAAATTGTGTTGGCGTGTGCTACTTTGGAGGACGATTCCAATCAACAACCTGAAACCTGGATCACGGATATGCTTTATTTGGAAAGGTGGTACTGCAGTAAATATGTAGGATCAAACGTACAATCATTCAGAGTTATAACGCAACTGCATCTTCGAGAGAAGAGAGAGGAGAAGAGGAAAAGAGTCGTGAGGGATAGAGAGAAGAAGAGGAGAGGAGAGAGGGACACGTAGCGTTAGAGACGTGAACTCCGATCTGACGCGGCGAGGCAGATATAGAGGTGGAAATGGTTGTATGTGCAAAGGAGGGATCGATCAAGCATGAAAAGGAAGATCTTATCTACATGCAGATTGTGGAGGTTTAAAACTAAGGCAGTGTGGAAGAGGCAACTTTGGAGGCTCCTAAATGATACACGAGATGTCGGTTAGGGACGGCGTTGGTTTAGTCGTGACCAGCATTAACCCAAGATGCTAGAAATGTCAAGAAGGGACCGTAGTTCCACTGTAGGCGTCGTGTGGAAACGTTGCTTCCTCGGCAAGTAATTTCTGGAAAACCTGCAATATTAATCTCAGGATAACAGAGTGCGTGAAGGCTACTTTGGAGGACGATTCCAGAAACACCAGAACGATTTAGACCATGAGAGAGTTACTACTGGAGATAGGTAACTGCAGAAAAGTCAGAGGATCAAACGGTATCGATCGGAGTTACGGTTCATCCAGAAATCGCTGTGAAAGTTGTTCCAGAATTATCCGGATCTGTGATTTCCAAAAAACTGTTTGTATGCAGCTTGTTCAAGTGATAGTAGCCAATGTGTTAGTATTCCGATCTGGGTGAAACTTGGTAGGGACCTTCATGGTACTATAGAATCAAGAAACCACAGTGGGATCGAAAAGTTTAACGGTTTATTATGAAGTTATGCATGCGTTTCCGAGGCTGTTCATCAAAATGAGAGACATTTGAGTTACTTGCATGCTAGTTTTGGTATCTTGAGCGGAATATATAATACTAGGGGATGACCCGCGCTTCGCGCAGATTGTGTTAGTTTTATTGTTTTTCCACAAATTTAATATTTTTTCAAATATATTATACACATATTACTTAAATATAATTAAAGTTATGCAAAGATTGTGTACCGTCTCGCCTCGTTTTCTTTATTTTATGTACGTTCTTTTCCGTCCTATCCGTCCTGTATGTCCCGTCCCATCCACTCTCATCCTATTCCATTTTGTTATGTCCCATTTCTTTTGTTCTCGTCTCGTTCTATATTTAGGGTTAGGTATAATTCTATTCAATTCTATTCCTTTTCATCTTGTCTCGTTCTTTCCCATTTCGTTCGTTCTGTCTGCACCATCCAATCTCATCCTATCTTATTATGTTCTTTTCCATTTTATTAGTCTCTCATCCCTTTCCATCCCATTATGTCCATTTTCATCTCGTCCCATCCAATCCTGCCACATTCTATTTCTTTTCATTCAATCTCGTTCAACCTTTATGTCTTGTCCTTTGTCTAATTATTATATTTAGAGGTAGGCAATTTATGTCTTGTCCTATCCCTTTTTTTCTATTCCTTTAGATCTCATCTCGTCACTTAATATAATAAGAAGTAAACAAAATTCCCTTATTCTCCAGTTCTATTTTTTTTCGTCTCGTCATGTTCAATCTCGTCTTATTTCATTCCAAAATACTAAAAAAAGGTATTTTTCTATAATATCTTTCTATTATTATTATTACTAAATAATAGTTTTTGTAGATCTATAAATAACATTTTCTTTTTAAAATGACTTTCATATTCTTATTAAGTTACTATAGTAATAAATGATAATTATTATAAAATTAAAATAGAAAAAAAATATAATAATAAATTGATATGCTGAATTTAGAGACACCCTCTTTTGCTGATGTGGCAGCATCAGAATAGAATTGCATGAACTTTATATATACTAGAGCTAAGCCCGCGCGATGCGCGGGTTATGTGTAGTACAAAGTTTTATTAATTATCATATGCAAAAAGTGTATGGGACCTATAAATTTCCAGATATGTAAACGCACAGTGAAAAAAAAAATCTAAAGTGAAGATTAATTCCCGTCAAATTAAAATCTGTAAATAAAATGTTTAAACCTTTCATAATAACATATTTGTCAAAAATTGCAACAAACTACGTGATTTTAACAAAACGTTTTAAACATAGGAATTGTTTAATCACATTAAGTATAAATATGAATATAAAAGTAACCAAATATGTCAATACTTTATTTAGATTAGTAAAAGTGTACACAATAAGACGTGGTTCATCATTTTCAATCAGCAATGGTGGTATTGTTTGTGTGTACAATTTTAGTTCCATACAAATGTGAAGGGATGTAAAATAATCAAAGAGCATAAGTAGAATGTAAAATATCTTAGACAATATATGTTAAGTAAACGGGCCATGATAAATTCGGCCGTATTATAAGTATGATTAATTAAGAAGTAGTAGTATAAGAGAAGATAACAGAACTATAATAAGAAACATGGGAAGGTAAGTACGTAAGCTTAGATACATAAGGAATATATCAGTTAGAGAAAAGGAGAAGCTTGGAAATAAATTTATTTTACAAAGTAAGGAGAAGCTTTCAACACCAGCAGCGTGCGCAGTAGAGTCTCTTACCCCAGGAAGAGGAGCTATGCCCACTGTTGCCATTTTCAGGCTACAAAAACGTTTTCCTTCTTTTATCTCACTCTTCAAGCTAGTATCAAAAACTCAACCTGAAGAAGCAATGTAAAAACAAAAACAGATTAAACGCCGCTGCATGAGCCCAATGTTTGAGATGATCTTTCAACTCAACTTCGTTAATCGGCGGCGCCGGAACTCTCCACTTTATCTCCGGCGTGATCTGTCTCTTCCCTTTTCTCCCTCCACAAACATCCCACGCTTCTGAGAAACAGGGTCTTGCTGCTCTGTTTTCCTCTTTTACTTCCACTACTACTCCATCATATTTCTTCACCAATTCTGCGATCCAGGAAGAATCTAAACCAGGTTTGAATCTTTATGGTCTTCATCGGAGAAGACAAAACCTAGATCCAAAAAATTTCTTTAAGCTCTTCGTACTCATTTCTCTGCATATTTCTCCTCTCTTCTTCCTTCTCTGACTTTTCAGAGAGTACTATCTCTCTTTCCGGAGTCGAGAACTCATTCACTTATTTCCTGGAGAGAATCATATAAGGTTACGTATTTTACTACTCTAATTATTTGGACAGTAATGTCGCGAAGCAAGTTATAGAAATCCAAATCTATTATGGTTGCCAAATGTTAATTCAAGAAAAATGAAATGTATTGGGCAAAATGGAAAGGAAACGTAATGCCCAAGCAACATAAACTGAAACAAAATGATTGTATCGTCACTATCGTGATCGGAAAAACAAACGGAAAAGTAAAGATAGGTAGCAAAATAGCCGGCACAGTCTTCTTTCTGTTTCTGCTTACTCCGGGCGCTGCTTCTTGTTAGAGCTCGAATTCTCGGTCTCCTCCTTTAATGTATCATTTGTCATGTTTGCCATGGTTCTCTTCATATCCTTAGATGATATAGTTTCCTGGTAGAGACAAATGGAGGGATATAGTTTCCTGGTAGAGACAAATGGAGGATATACTTATTCTTTTATATATAGCAAGTAAAAGCGTAGGGTAAAGTTGTAGTGAGAAGGTGAAATACTTGTTCCTCAATCATGAGGAGAACAATTCCTTTAAAGTGGAGAGGGTTTTTCACGCTGAAGACTTCCTAATAACAAGTAGCCAGAGGAATAGGTGCTGCATTGTTCGGCCCAAGGAATAGGTAATGTCTCGACGACTGCCTTCTCAGCCTGTTCTTGTGTAGGAGGATTCATGGGGAATTGGCGATATAAGTTAGATCGAGCTTCAGAAGCGAAAATACTTATAGGCATATTGATGCTTCGGCTTGTGATTACCTGAGATGATGAGTATTTAATTACATTTAGTATAGCGTAATTAAAGCTAGTGAGAAGAAATTCGAAAGGACGTGGGTGTTATAGAAGAAATATCAACGATAGAAATGAAATGCACATAAATGAATAATTTTGACATGTGTTTCTCCGAGTGGAAGCCGTTACAGGGGAAATGAAATTCGATAATTGCAGAGGAGAGTAACGCCTGCGAAGAAGAAGGGAGAATTAAGTTGCAATTAAGTGTTAGAGACAGGGAAGTCATGGGCCGAATATTCGGTCTTGACAGAATCCATTGTGTGACGGGGTTAGTCCGTAGTTACCGGATTGCGATTTGGCGGAACCCAAATCCTTGCACGAGATCGGACCTCTTGCCGTTCGGAAACGGCCTTGTGGAAATCGATAACCGCCTCCACCAATTCCTTGCTCGTCTGCAACAACAGCACCAGCAACGAATCCACCAAGAGCACCAGCAACAGCAGCAGATCTCACTCCACGTGCCACCCTACAAACAGGTCCAATTCCAAGACCAGCGATGACACTGGTCCCGACGACGGTTCTCCGAAGCCGACGACTTCCGACGGAGTTGTTTCGTGATCAACTCGGCGTTCCGTGCTCTCTCTAACTGCATTAAGGTCATTTCCTCTGGTGCTTCCACGGTTGCTCGCACTGCCGTATCCGCCGCTTCTTCCGTCGCTAACCCCGAGACATCGACTGCTTATTCCGTCGCTAACCCCGAGACATCGACTCTCTTCACGATCAATCTTCCAAATAGTATCCATTTCTACGAAGCTAGCGAGGTTCGATTCTCGTGAGATCTATTGTTAGACTGCGGTGACGGGGACCGGTTTCGGGATGGCTGCGATTCTCTTCGCGCTCCGGAAGTCGGACTATAGCCGGTTTCGGATTCCATGACGTGGTGATCGAATCCCCTCTTCAATCGATTCAGCTCTCCGATCTCGATCCAGTGGGTATCGGCGATGTCTTGATCGCGTATAGGAAGAGGCTCGCCGGTTTCGAGGCGGAAGGCGGCTCGGGTTTCGAGGCGGAAGGCGGATCCGGTTTCGTTTGTGCCGTTGTCGTTTCTAGGGTTTCTAGAGAAGATTTAGGGCTTGTTTTATGAAAAAAAAAGGGATAGTTAGGAGATAGGATAGTTTTAAGTTATAAATAGGCAAAGAAGGTGGGTGCAAGTTTTAATTAGGAAATTAGGAGAGAGAATGTCACTTTTGCATTTTGAGGACCAAAATCACCCTTAATTTTGTTATTCAAATATATCATTGCAAAAATAAAATTACATGAGGACATATGTATTAAAAAAAAGTAGATTTTTTTCTGAACATACTGAACTAAGAATTTTTTAAAACAGACAATTTTTAAAAATCATATATATATATATATATATATATTAATCAATTCTATAAACTAATCTAAACCCTAAACCCCAAACCCTAAATTCTAAAACCTAAACACTAAACACATAATCATAAACTTTAACATTTAACTTCTAAATTTTAACCACTAAACCATAAATTCTAACAACTCAACCCTTAGTTTTCACAAATTATCTCTAAACTGAAGGTCTAAACCCTAAATATTAAACTTTTAACTCTAAAACTTCAATGTTAAATCAGTTTGGGATTTAACTGTAATTTTTTTTTCTGTATATATTGAATTTAAAACAAAAATCAAATTGGAGAATATTAATACGATTTTATATAAAGTTTATGCTTGTTATTGTATACGTACACCAAAATCTAATAATATCTGATATATGGTGTACATAAAAATAGTGTACACACCAATATATGGTGTACGCGTCAATATATAGTGTACAAACCACCGGAATACAGTGTACGTACACCAAAATATAATAAAGTTTATAATGTATGCGCCAATGTACGGTGTACGCATTAATATATGGTATACAACCCACCAAAATATAGTGTACTTGCAAGGAATTAGTATATTTATAATATACGCGCCAACATTTAGTGTACAAAAAAATAGTGTACACGCCAGTATACGGTATACGCGCTAATATATAGTGTACCAATATATAATCCTTGCATTCTTAGCAATCTTTAACATTATTATAGATTTATATATTATTTTCAACAAATAATGGTATATCTATACGGTGTGCATATCAGTAGTGTGCATTAGTTATTTAGTGTACGTGTTATATGGTGTACACTAAATTTTTAGTGTACGTGTATATGATATATGCATAAAAACTATGTTGTGATATATAATACATGCAACTAATTTTTATAATCTATTTTTCAAGTTAAAGATTAGATTTAGATTTAAGGTTTAAATTGTTAGATTTAGTTTTGGCCAATTTTCATATATAACACTAAAAACCAAATTTTCTTCTTTGAGTAGCATTTATTTTTCAAAATTATCGATTAAGTATAACATTTTTAATTTTAAGTCATGACAGAAAAATCCGCGAAAGATAAACACTAAACACGTAGGAAATCAATAATTTTATCATCGATACTAAATCCTAAATACTAAATACCAATTAAGTATTATGAACCCTTAGAAAAACTTGTAAACTCTAAACCCTAAACACTAAACTCTAGTCAAAAATTGATATACTCATAAAAAGGTATAAACCCTAATTGCGGATTGGTGAATCCATAGGACAAAATTATAAACCCTAAATGGTAAAGCCTCATTAATGATTGGTGAACGCATGAAAAAAATGATAAAAAACATTAAAAACAAATTTGTTAGATGAACCCTTGGAGAAAAATGTAAACTCTAAAATACAATAGGAAATCAACTAATCAATCATCGACACTAAATCTTAAATACTAAACCCTAATCAAGTATTAATGAACCCTTGGAAAAAATTATAAACTCTAAACCCTATACGCTAAACTCTAGTCAAAGATTGGTAAACTCATAAAAAAATGTAAACCCTAATTGCGGATTGGTGAACCCATACAACAAATATATAAACCTTAAACCTGAAACCCTAAATGGTACCCTAGTTAAGGATTCGTGAACCCATGGAAAAAATTCATAAAATACATTAAAAATGAATGTTATTGTATTAAACATTTGATGTAATCTAAAATACTGTAGAAACCTCTAGTTAAGAATTGATGAACCCTTTGAAAAAAGTGTAAACACTAAAATACAATAGGTAATCAACTAATTAATCATTGGCATTAAATCATAAATACTAAACCCTAATCAAGGACTAATGAACCCTTGGAAACAATTGTAAACTCTAAACCCTATACGCTAACTCTAGTCAAAAATTGGTAACTCATAGAAAATGTAAACATTAATTGAGGATTGGTGAACCCATATGACAAATTTGTAAACCTAAACCTCGAACCCTAAATGGTAAACCCTAGTTAAGGATTGGTGAACCCATGAAAAAAAAATCATAAAATACATTAAAAATAAATGTTATTGGATTAAACATTTGTTTGATGTAATTGAAAATATAATAGAAACCTCTAGTAAAGGATTTATAAACCTTTGAAAAAAATGTAAATTCTAAAATACAGTAGCTAATCAACTAATTAATCATAAATATTAAACCCTAATCAAATACTAATGAACCCTTGGAAACAATTTTAAACTCTAAGCCCTATACACTATATCTAATAAAAGTTGGTAACTCATAAAAAATGTAAACCCTAATTGCGGATTGGTGAATCCATATGAAAAATTTATAAACCCTAAATGGTGAACCCTAGTTAAGGATTCATGAACCCATGGAAAAATTCATAAAATATATTAAAACAAATGTTATTGGATTAAACATTTGTATTTTTTTTGGTGGGTGGATTAAACATTTGTTTGATGTAATCTAAAATACAATAGAGACCTCTAGTCCAGGATTGATGAACCCTTTGAAAATATTGTAAACTCTAAAATACAGTAGGTAATCAACTAATTAATCATTAACACTAAATCCTAAATACTAAACCCTAATCAAGTACTAATGAACCCTTGGAAAAATTGTAAACTCTAAACCCTAAACGCTAAACTCTATTCAAAAATTGGTAACTCATAAAAAATGTATACCCTAATTGCGGATTGGTGAACCCATTTGACAAATTTATAAACCCTAAATCTGAAACCCTAAATGGTAAACCCTAGTTAAGGAGTTGTGAACCCATAGAAAAAAAATCATTAAATACATTAAAAAAAATGTTATTGGATTAAACATTTATTTGATGTAATCTAAAATACAGTAGAAACCTCTAGTCAATGATTGATGAACCCTTTGAAAATATTGTAAACTCTAAACTCTAAAACTGAATATTGTTCTACATTCATTCACCCGAACATAAATATTATATTATAGTCTTAAACTACATTTTTTTAAGCAAGAGTTTCTACTTCACATTTGATCAAGTGTACACGACAATATATAATGTACCCAAAAATAGTGTACACACCAATATTTAGTGTACGTGCCAATATATGTTGTACCAATATATGATCCTAGCATTCTTAGCTATTTTTAATACTAATGTAGATTTATATATCATCTTCCACAGAAAGTGATGTACCTTACACACTAATATATGGTGTACGCATCTGTAGTGTACGTGCAAAAGAGAAATACCTGCAGTAATATAAACTAATAAAAAAATTAATAATGAAAATACTAAACTCTAAATACTAAATGCTAAACCCTAGTAAAGGTTTGATGAACCCATGCAAAACAATTTTAAACGCTTAATCATAAACACTAAACTCTAGTCAAACATTAGTGAATCCATGAAAAAATTATAAACCCTAGTGGCGGATTTGTGAATCCATAGGTAAATATTGTAAACCCTAAAACCGAAATGATTTTAGCATTGAAAAATCATAAACCCTAAACATAGATTATGTGAAAAATATGTGTATTTATTTTGTTTAAGTCAATGTAAAATTGTTTAGGGACTTAATAATTTTTTAATGATTGTCCATTAAAAAAATGCAATGAAAAGAAGGAAAATGGTTTAAGTGGTATTTTGAAGAAATGTTTCTTTATTTTTTTTATGTTCAATGTTTTTTAATTAAAAAACACTACTGTAGGATTAAAATCTCTTACCAAACAATTATTTTTGGGGATATTGACTGAAAATATATTCATTTGAATATGCCTCTAGTTTCTTTTCTTTAAATTTGAAATCCAATAATTTAAAAAAGTAAATAAAGAATACTCCATAGAAGAAAGTTAAATTTAAACTTGAATTAGTAATGTATGTTTTAATTTTAGAATTTTAGACTTTTGAATTAATAAAATTCTTATTTGTTTTCTGAAAATTCTAAAATTAAACATACAAAATAAAGAATACATTATGTTTTAAATTAATAATTTTGAATTAATAAAATAAAGTGGTAGCAAGGCGTAATTAAAAAGAAATCTCAGGGGTATATATTAGGGGTCCACATGTGTGTAAGTAAATATGATTTTTGATTTAAAAAAAAAACGAATGGCAGTAGGCGTAATTAGATAGAAAAACTGAGGTCCCTTGATAAGGTCAAAATACTGATCCACCCATTTTGCTAATTTTAAACTTGCACTACCCAAAACTTAATTCCAAACTTAAAATCCACCTTCTCACCAAGTTTCCCAAAAAAAAATTGCAGAAGGATTGATAAACAATTTTTCGTTTGTTTTTTTAGTTATTTAAAAAGCTGCCACGTGTCAATTTTTTTTTAAGCTAAAAAGTGTCAGGTGTCTGGAGAGAGTTATTCATCTATTATATATAAGATACTAGGTTTAAACCCGCGCTATGCGCGGGTAGTGTAGTTATTTTTTTTCTTATTAACATTTATGTTTTTCATTTTTGTTAATATTATTTAAAAATCAGAATAATACAATAGTATTTGTGTTTGTTTCTTTAGTTTATCGAGTTTTTTTTTTATTTCAAATATTTACTTTATTATAGTTAATAAAATATTTCAAATATTTTTTTTGCTATTTCTTTGTATAATGATATATATAAAAATTTAGAAAAAAATATGAAACTAATGTTTCAAAACAAATCTATGTTATGTATTTGTCTTTATTTTTTTTCATAGTTACTGACATAAAAACATGAAAATATATAATAGCGTCATTTTATTTTATTTATCTATACTTTAACATAAACAGAAAAAAAAAACTATTTTCATTGGTCTGAATAATTGAACATTAGTTTTATGCACAAGTTTAATGAAATACTCCTTCTATCTCATATTATAAGCAGTTGGGCAAAATGAATCTGAAAAAAAATGAATGTATCTGGATGGAATTCAGTCCAGATATTTCAGATACATTTGCTCAACTGCTTATAGTATGGGACACAGAGAGTATGTATTTGTTTTAAGGGAGAGTCCCAGCTCTTAAATCTCAAATCTTTAATTATATGTGTCTATTTTTGCTTTCAAACATTTGCTGCATTTGAAAAAGGAAAAAAAAATGTTTTTCACAACTCAGACATGTTAACACAATTCAAGCAAAAGAGTATTGAAAATTAAATATCGAGCATGAATTATGCTTTCGATGTTCTAAACAAAAAATATATTTGTCCCAAATAGAAGGTAAAACACTTTTCTTTTAAAGCTAACTCTTCTAAGTTCACTTTGATTTTGAAAGTACAATTCTAAAATCTTAAAAAATAAATAGGTATTGACACCTCAAAAATTATGTTCCAAATTTGTATTTAGTCTTGGTTTTAAATTTAATGTTGACTTAGTTCAAATTAATCTTTAAATTTAATTTAAATTAATTAGAGACTATATATTATAATATTTATACAAAAATCTTAGCCCCAGACATTAAAACTATACTAACAGTGTGAATCTTAGTAGAATATTGTAATCAGATTTAGCTTCACATTGTTAAAGTAGTTTTCTCTCGACTTGAAACGATTTACGTGTTTTTTTGGAAATGATGAATAAATATTTCTTTTTGCTTCTTTGTCTTCATTTACCACAAAGATGGAATATGTGCAAGATTATTTATCTTTTTATCAGTCTTTTGTTTCTTGTCGGACAGTGTGACATATTTCTTTTTATGTCCGATGCGATAGTCTAAGGATCAAAGTAAACATTCTAAAATCTATACTCATAAATGACTAAAAGTAAAGACATGAGCATGGGCTCTCTAGAAACCAAACCTGCGGCAATTAAAATGACTGTACGAGACTGAAATAAACTACTCAAGAACATACCACTATATCAGCAACCATCCTCCTTTGTGCCTCTTATACAAACTTTAATCAGCCCCGTGGTTAGCTTTGGTCATTCTCCACCTTGACAATCGGCATCACTCCACCATCCTGGTTTGGTTTGCTATAAATGCAAAATCAAAGAAAAGCACAACCACCAGGCTCACAAAATCTAAAAAAACAATGAGAGTAATCAATAATGAGAACCTAATGACTTTACCAACTTAATTGGCGAGCATTTCAGTCACAGACTCACAATATCATGGGTGGGATGATGGAGACGATCGGTTATCCATGTAAAAAGCTATTGCATGACAAAAGAAGTCGAATTGTGTTGTCATCAAGACCAAATTTCCTACCAGTAAGATGAGTTATCATCATATGCAAGCGATCCATCAAAGAGATTGTACAAATCTACTATAGGAAAGCACAATCATAAGGTAGGACTTTAGGAGAATTAAAGAATTAAATTTGTTAAGCTATGAATCTTTCTTAAGCTTGGAAATGCTTACCAGAAATTGCGATATTGTGAACCGACTTGCATCCCCTGTTTCGTACGATCTTGGCAAGTAAATAAAAGATTTAGCAACGCCTGCAGAACCTTAGCTCGCTAATGGGCGAGGGAGCAGTATGCCTGAAAATCAAGGACTTGGTAATAAGAACTTGCTCACACAAAATAAACATGCCAGGGAAGAAATTAAATTGGAATAAGACGTGAGAGGAATAAGAGTTAGTTCTACTGAAAATTAAAGAGACCTTCGAAAAAAGAGGAAGTAGAGTTCCTTGAACTGATTCATAAGTGAACGTATAAAGAGTAGTAACAATGTTTGTAGCTACATTCATCAAAGGGAATTTTTTAAGTCTGTGACACTGGCTCGGAATGTAGGTTTTGTTATTCTCATAAGTTTTGTGACCATGGTACGTAAAAGGTGAGGAAAATGTGAACTTTATTTTAGTCTTCTTACCTTGCAGACGTCTTCCTTCCCTTTTACTCCTGAGTATGGTCATTCTCTTCTGTCTTGCTGATCTTGATCGCTCTCTGTTATAAAACCGAGACATTGTCCAATTTAACGTATCTTACTCGATTGCTTGATAATCGTTTCAAATAATTCAACAACTAAACATACAACAACCAACGCTACGAGATTAAAAAAAAAAATCTTGAATAAGTATTGTGTACCTTTATCATTATATGAACTTGTCCCGCCATGATTTCTATTTTCTTCACGTTTACGGCCATGTGGAACAGTTTCTCTGCCTAGAAGTTATAGTTGATGTTTAACCGAATCAACATTTTTGTATAAATATTCCAGTTTTGTTTAGATTCTAAGGCTCTCTTACGTTTTCTGATATATATGTTTATTAAATAACCATCTTGTGAGTAAATAGATTTTGCGAGGAGGTTGTGATGCGATCATGGATGAGGAGGTTCAGGAAAAGCAGCTTTTGGCCGAGGAAGAAGATGGAATGGAGCAGCTTGAAGCCGAGGAGGGACTTGAAGCCGCGCAACTTGAACCTGATGGAGCTAAACATATGGAGCTGGAACCTGACGGAATTAAAGAGCTTGCAGCTGAGAAGAGCTTGTTTCCAAGGATTCTGTAGCTGCGCCAATGGAACTGATTACTCATTCTGGAGTTAATCTTGAGCCAAGATGGAGAAGACATGATCCTAAACCTCCCTGGTTTTTGATCCAAGCTCAAGAGATCAGCAAATGGGCATGTGTCTCATTTGTACTCTTTTTCCCTTGTCAAGTTTTGTCCCAATGGGTTTTCTTGACAAGGTTTTTAATGAGGCAAATGGGTCACATACAAATAACCCATTTAGCTGATCAAGACCAAGGCCCATTTCCCTTCTTCAACTCTAAGTCTTGCCGCCCAGGGTCTCATTTTTATTCAAACTTTGTCTTTAATGTTTGTGTGTTTCCGAGATGGTCATGGAGTCTGTTCCATTGACTCATCTCTCTTCTTCTCTCTTCTCTTTCCCTTTATATTGTACTGGACGAAATCCTTTTCAGTTTATCAAATAATCTTTTACCAAAAACCTCTCTTTTGTTTGATCATTCTCTGTTCAATTGTTGTGCGTAATATCAATAAGTCTACAGATTCCCTCTCACTTGTTGTGTGTAATATCAACACGTTGGAGGTGGTGTTAGAGATCTCTTCCGCTGGATCTCTAGTATAGCCATTTGTTTCACTTTCAATCCGCTCAATCATTCATCATCGGTTCCTTTGTGATCCGATCCACTCTTTCACTTACCTTCATAGTCTATCTAGTCCAGGGGCGTATCAGGTGGTATCAGAGCCCCTTGAAGCTAAGTGATTTCATCCTATGATTTTTCTTAGTTTTGTCTGTTCATCTTCTCATTTAGAAAGTCATAGATCTACTCATTCATCACTGTTCTCCTGATCATTTCCTTGTTACCATCAGCATATCGGCTACTCTATTGCATTTTCCAACCATTGAATCATCATTCTGAGCATCTTAGATCTGGCTGTTCATCTTCTGTTCTTGAATCATCATAGATCTAGTTGCTGGAATTATTTTCGTAATTTTTTTGAGCATTCTGGCATCATATCCTGGTTCATTAGCACCTTATCTGTATTTTAGAATTTATTTCATAATTTTTAAAATTGTTTACATAATTTTTCGGAATTGTTTGCTTGTTTCTGTGAACTAGTGACTGCCGAGATTTTTGTTTGCAATTTTCAGGTGCTATGGCCTCAGAAGAAGAAGAAGAGGAAACAAGCCGAGAATCACCATCAAGCCTCAACGAAGCCATGCTTGAACAGATCAAGAAGATGATGATTGAGGAGTTTGATCGGAGAGAAAAGATTAAAGAAGGAAAGCGGAAGCAACCTAAGGATCCGGTCACATCTAAGAAGAAGCCGATTGAGGATCTTAGTGGTTACATGATGATTCCGCCATTCCATGGGAACAATGATCCGGATGTATATCTGGATTGGGAGAGGAAGTGCGAGATTATCTTCAACCGACATAACATAGCTGACATCAACCGAGTCACATTAGCAGCTATGGAGTTCAAGTATTATGCTCTAAGTTGGTGGAAACAGGTTGAGACGGCACGAGCTTATAGTGGAGCTTATGAGATCTCTACTTGGGGAGAAATGAAAAGGGTTATGAGGCAGCGGTTCGCTCCCAATCATTATCAGCGTGAACCTCATTCCAAGATAAGGAAGCATAGCAAGGAACTCGTTCGGTTGAGGAGTACTATAGTAGCCATGGGAAGACGAAACCCAAGCAGCCTGACAAGATCACAAAGCCTTATCCAAGACATTTCTCTAAAGAAACCAGTCCTGAACCACAAGAAAGCATTCAAAGCAAAGGTAAGCATTCTGTTTCTCAACAATTACAAGAATTAACCTTTTGCAGGACCAGGAACAGAGACCACGATGCTATGGCAGCAGGAAGTGTCAAAGAAGTGCCAAAGGATCACGCGGAGAAAGGTTTAGGTGCCAAAGATGTTTCAGTCCAAACCCCCTGTTACCAACTGCAAGGAAACAAGAAACAAGAAATTGTTTCAGTCTCTAACAATGGAAAGGTACAAGCTAAACTTTTTCAAACTGTTTATGATGATTCCATGACTGGTATGATGCACTTGTCTTTCTCCAAAGGTGTTGAGACAGGTACAGGAAGTAGTGAAGAACAAATGGAGAAAGCAAATCAAGAAAAGGAGACTCAACCAAACCTGGATCCGCCAGAATCTAAACCACCAGACCAACAACTACAAGACCATGAGTTCAATCCAGAAGGACCAGAACCGAACAACAAGAGGAAGTCAAAATCAGAACAAGAATACAGTCAAGCCATGCCTACTTCTAAGCTAAGTGAATTCTTAAACCAACACATTCATCCTGTCTTTTTAACTGTCTTAATGCACTTGTCTTGGTTTAAAGAAGTTGAGAAAGGTACAGCTGAGCAAGAGAGACGCCTAGAAGCTCACAAAGCTTTAACTTGCCATACCAAGAAGGAGTATGAGCAACATGTTCTTAAGCCAATTGCCGCAGCTGATTCACTAATGAGCGTTTTGAATAGTACACAGGTTAGTGAAGCTCAATACTTGATTTACTATTGGGATCATTTCATGATACATCAGAAACTTCAGAATTTTGTTTTTGAAATTCCCATTTCAAGTATAATGCACTTGTTCTTTTCCTTGAGTGTCAACAAAGGATCAGGTTTTATGGAGAAGCATAAGAACTGGAAGAAGCAGCATCAAAGAACAACACAGTCTCATCTCACGTTCATCTCATTCCCTGTTCACCTATGGTTCTTTGTTTGAGTTCTCTATTTACCAAAGGCGAGGCAACACTGAACCAAAATCAAGAAGAGTGGCTCACATTTTCCAATCCAATTCCAGAGAAACCACCAGACTCTTATCTAGGATATCCAAAGAAGCAAACCCAAGGTAAGTATCTAGATTCCCAAAGGCGTATGAGACCTAATTTGCTTTCTTTTGGTGCAGGTCAACTAGTTTTGAGGACAAAACTTTTTCAAGAGGGAGGGGATGATGCGATCATGGATGAGGAGGTTCAGGAAAAGCAGCTTTTGGCCGAGGAAGAAGATGGAATGGAGCAGCTTGAAGCCGAGGAGGGACTTGAAGCCGCGCAACTTGAACCTGATGGAGCTAAACATATGGAGCTGGAACCTGACGGAATTAAAGAGCTTGCAGCTGAGAAGGAGCTTGTTTCCAAGGATTCTGTAGCTGCGCCAATGGAACTGATTACTCATTCTGGAGTTAATCTTGAGCCAAGATGGAGAAGACATGATCCTAAACCTCCCTGGTTTTTGATCCAAGCTCAAGAGATCAGCAAATGGGCATGTGTCTCATTTGTACTCTTTTTCCCTTGTCAAGTTTTGTCCCAATGGGTTTTCTTGACAAGGTTTTTAATGAGGCAAATGGGTCACATACAAATAACCCATTTAGCTGATCAAGACCAAGGCCCATTTCCCTTCTTCAACTCTAAGTCTTGCCGCCCAGGGTCTCATTTTTATTCAAACTTTGTCTTTAATGTTTGTGTGTTTCCGAGATGGTCATGGAGTCTGTTCCATTGACTCATCTCTCTTCTTCTCTCTTCTCTTTCCCTTTATATTGTACTGGACGAAATCCTTTTCAAGTTTATCAAATAATCTTTTACCAAAAACCTCTCTTTTGTTTGATCATTCTCTGTTCACTTGTTGTGCGTAATATCAACTAAGTCACAGATTCCCTCTCACTTGTTGTGTGTAATATCAACACGTTGGAGGTGGTGTTAGAGATCTCTTCCGCTGGATCTCTAGTATAGCCATTCGTTTCACTTTCAATCCGCTCAATCACTCATCATCGGTTCCTTTGTGATCCGATCCACTCATTCACTTACCTTCATTCACGATCTACTCCAGGGGCGTATCAGGTTGGTTTGACGAAATAGGCAAATTTAACATGTTCGCATGAATCAATTTTCTGGAGGGTTAGTTTGGTGTAAGATGGGAAAGTATTAGTACCCTGTTTTTTTGGCGTTGACGATTTCTTTTCTTCTCACACGCTTCTTTCTCGATTCGATTGCTTTCTCATCTCTCTCTTTTTGTTTTAGTGCCTCCATTATGGAATGAATACGTTGCTGCGGTCTTCTCGTGTTCCACAGATGGTGTAACTTGATATTGATAAGGGTTATTACGAATCTGCAAAGAGAAGAGAAGACCCTTTACGTTATGAATTATGAATAGGAAAAATCTGTTACGTAATACTTGTTGCTGTACCTCTCTTAACAATATGGTGATATGAAAGGTAGACAGCTTCTTGAATTGGTGGATTTGCACCTGCAGCTGCACCAATCCTTGAGATTACATGCGTGACTTGACATTTTACCACAAGTAGAATAATCAACTAAACCATCCTACAATGTAAGGTAATGAAACGGAAGACAAAAGTTCACACACTTCTGAATAGAGCTCAAATATGACTTATCAGGAAAGTAAAACGATATAGGATTCCTTCATTATAGCCACCACAATGATGAAAGAACAGAGAGTATATTGAAAACAAAACAACTCGTGAAACGACTGGAAATTTTGAAATTTTGAAGCCTTTACTCTTAAAAGAAACCAGAAGAAGAAGATTAAGAATGAGATCAAAAGCGCAAACCTGCCTATGCATCAAATAGTTAATACCAAACGCCAGATCGGCAATGTGCCATTTGCCCAGCGTCTCTGAATACGTATAATCACTCATGTCAAACGTCCCAATGTCCATGTGCCTGAAGACCTAACCACTAAGAAGAAAAACAATTGAGTTATACCTGTTTGAACCACCACCATATTATCATTAACCATACAAACTACCTGGCATCTTAACAGGACGTAATCGGAAAAAAATTATTGAGCAAAAAAAAGAAACATGCGATTTACTCAGGCAATATATACAATAAATTGAGAGGCGTAAGAATTTTTTTTTTTGAAGAAGGTGGATGATAATTCCAGACTCTGAATTGTTACGAAGAAAATGAAATTGTTTCTTAATTGACCTGACAAAAGTAATCGGTGAGAGTAAAGTATGAAAACCCATAATAACACCATATTCTCATAAATGCCAGGTAAGGCAGAGATTATCGGTATCATTCGTTACCCGTGAGCTTCTGTGAGACCGAACCGGATAGATCGAAAGCATCCAGCCAGGAAAGAAACATACATACTCTCCAGCATACTCTTGGAAAGCAGACCCTGTTCATTTTCACACACACAAACAGAACCAGAAACATTGTTTCAACTGTCAGACAATTTGACTCAAGATGAATCAAGGTTTTACAAAACTGGAATTAAATTCCAGATGAACAAACTTCTGTTTACCTTGGCGGCATTGCAGAGACGCCTGCAGTTGCAGTAAAGTCAGGAATTCAACAACTTAGATGTAAAAAAAAATCCAATGCAGCTTTGATAAGAAAACAAAGAAACATTAGTTGAATTCTAATGAATCACTTGGCTGAGATGAGGCATCTTGTAGAACTGGAGCTGCTGTGATTTAAGTTATAGGTGAAGCTGTTGGTGAAAATGAACCATTTTCTTCACTGTTTGGTTCCATTGTTTCTTAAAATCCCCAGAAGAGACACCGCCGAAACAGCAATCTAGACAAAAATCTGGAACAAACAAATAGAGAAGAATTCCAAATCAGTTCTATCATGAGCATTGTATAGACGACGCATTCCCAAAATCAGAAAAAGGTAAGCTCATTCTAAAATCAAATTCAGTGGAAACTGATGCTCTCTTGGAAATTGTTGGGTGAAATAAATTCACTAGCCGGTCGCTCCTTAAACTCTATTAAAGCTGGAGATATGATCGACTGACGACCATGATGACCGGTCGATCTTACTTCTTAGTGTCTAAAAGGCCTTAGCATCGACATGACGAGGCAGCGACCAACGATGTTAATTAATGGTTTAGCAAGTGACCAATGGTTTGTACAATTTCCTAAATCTATTAGAGTTGTGCAGAGGACCGACGTGCATATCTAATTAAAAGGAAATTAGGAATGACGACCGACGTAGGAAATAGAAAGTTACGACGACGTCAAAGCCCAACTCATAAGGATTAGGACCGACAAGCACCTATAAATAAGAGGTCCTAGACAAGGACAAGACATTCAGAAAAACACACAAAAACCCTAATAGCTACTTGTTCTTCGCCTCTCGACGAGCAAGCGACGAACAACCTAGATACGACGAACTACGATCTACGACGAGCGACAGACGAGATTCTCTTAGTTTAATCTTTGATATTGACTTGTTGTAGCTCGATATTCAATTGATTAATAAGATATCTTCTCCTGCGTCATTCCGTTTATTGTACTTGCGAACCGGTTAAATTTTGCCCAAACAGTTTGGCGCTAGAAGGAGGGGCAATTTTAACTGCGTGAGACATGGCGGCGGGAGATGATACCGCACCGACCGAAACACCGACCGTCACCGTTGCTCAGCTGGAGGCTCTCACAGCTCAGATGAAGCAGAACGAAGAACGACTTGCGCAAATCCAGGCGGAGAACGCAACCCTACGAGCAGAAAACGCGTCATTGGCTCAGGCTCGCAATAGATATCGAGCACCGGTCCCTCCTATGCAATCGTTCGACACTCCACCACTTACGGGTGCAACAGGAGCAGCCCTAGGAACAGGAGCTACCGACGCTGCGCAAGGTAACCAAACATTGGTTCCACCCCTTGCACCAACGATGGAACATCAATCTGAAGACTCGCATACTATGTTCTCAAAGCGATTGGAGGCTATGGAGCTCTTGCTCGCGCGACTTCCAGGAGTAGCTCCTCCAATCACCAAAAGTGCTCCTAATTGCTATGCAGACACTCCCTTCACGGATGCCATCGCTTGGTTGAGATGCCAAAGAAGTTCATCGTCCCTTCAATGAAGATGTACGACGGGACGACCGACCCTGATAATCATATAGCCCAGTACAAGCAACGCATGTTCACAACGGCAATAGCAAAAGAATATCGCGAAGCTAGTATGTGTAAAGGATTTGGATCTAGCCTCACGGGACCAGCTCTTCAGTGGTTTACGAACCTACCGAACGCGTCAATCGACTCGTTCGCGTCATTGACAGACCGCTTTGTTGAGCAATTCGCGAGCAGCAGGAACATAGAAAGGACAGCCGACGATCTCTATGAAGTGATACAGAAGAGAGGAGAACCGTTGCGCGATTACGTAGGTCGCTTCAACAAAGAGAAAGTATCCATTCCGGCATGTGTCACGTCCACTGCCATCTCTGCATTCAAAAGAGGATTGCTCCCAGACAGTGATTTGTACAAGGAACTGACGAAGTACCAGTGCAGAACGATGGAAGATGTGCTATCTAGAGCATGGGCTCAAATAAGGTGGGAGGAAGACCCTGCATATCGACACCTACTTTCCCCACGATCTGATTCGCGTGTTGTTAGGAACGAGCGTCCCTCTCGAGATGACAGACCGTACCAGAGACCACGCAGTGAAAGCACTAGCAAGAGAAGCGACAGCAGAAGCGACCATCGACCACTCAACCAAATTGAGAGCGACCAACGCTCATCATCCACATGGCCAGACATGAGTAACCTCGCAATATCTCCTGCAGAACTAGTCAATGTTCTTAATCATATATCTGGAGTAAGATGGCCTCAAAAGATGAAAGCACCAGGGGAACGAAGAGACACATCAAAGTGGTGCGACTTTCACTCTGACCATGGTCATAGAACAGAAGATTGCATCACGTTGAGAATGGAAGTAAACGAGCTACTAAAAAAAGGTCACTTGAGAGAATACTTGTCCGACAGGGCTAGGAGTCGCATCGACGACAGAAGCAATGACGAGGTGCAAAGAAAACCATCTCCTGCTCAATCTCCGAGCATGATCGAATCATCAACGTGATATCGGGAGGATCAGAGGTTAGTGGAATTACTCATTCTGCTGCTAAAAAGAGTACTAGAATAGCTAGAACTCATCATGGAGATGTCAAAGCTATATGCGAGCGACTGTCGAAGTGCACGATTAGCTTTGCTTCAGATGAAGATAAGTGTGTCCTAGCTCCACATCATGATGCATTAGTCATATCTTTGACAATTGCTAATAGTCTGATGAAAAGGACACTCGTTGATAATGGGAGTTCGACCAACATTCTCTTCATGGATGCTTACAAAGGATTAGGGCTGGATGAGAATGCACTGACGCGAAAATCCACACCACTGGTAGGATTTAGCGGTGAAGTAAAGCAGACCATAGGAGAAGTGACGCTGCCTGTGTATGCAGGAGGAATTAACCGACAGACAAAGTTTCTGATACTAGATTGTGCTACTGCGTACAACGCAATTATGGGACGTCCCTGGATTCATGACATGGGGGCAGTGCCATCGACACTCCATCAAACCATAAAATTTCCTACTCCATGGGGAGTCAAAGAGATCAAGGGAGAACAAGAGCATGCACGTTCATGCTACCAAACTACCCTAAAAGGGAAAGGTCATGAGCTATATCAACTAGAGATCCAATCGTCGATTCCACATACCAAAGAAGCAGAGGTGGAACAACTCTGTGAGATCCACTGACGGAAAAAGATCTTGATGAAACGAACCTCGAAACCTACCTCTTCTAGGTTAGTTTGGCTTTCAGTGTTTTGGTTTTATTTATTTCGTTATTGTCATAGTCATAGACGATCCACGAGATGTCTCTGCTTTCAATTGTTTTTCTTTACTTCGCGCATGTCTACGGACGAACTTCTTAATAAAAGGTTTTTCTACATATGAGTATTTAAGAATTCTCAGATTATGTTCGTCACTCGCTTTAATATCGACGTTGTATCCACAACTAGTGACGAGCGACAGTCATTGCACTGCTTATGACAAACGACAGTAAAAAAAGGCATTGCCTCCTCATGATAGAGCAGCAACGACGATCGACGTTTCTTCAAAAAAAAAACTAAAGGCAATGCCTCATGAGCAAATTGACCATGGTCACTAGGAAGATAAGAGTCATGTACTCAATATATATCGACATCGACGACAGTCGCTGATAACTAATTTAGAGGTACGACCTCCACATGCTATGACAACAAGTCATAAGCAAATAGATAGAGAGACATGTCCTCAATATACAGTGACGACTGTCGCTACTAAATAAATTAAGAGGTACGACCTCACCATGATAAGTCATGATATAATAAAGAGGTACGTACTCAATAGATAGCGACGACAGTCGCTAACAAATAAGTTAGAGGTACGACCTCCAATAGACTATGATGTCACATCACTCTTTGATTAACAAAGGGGCACGACCTCCAAATATTATGATCATAAATCATTAGCTAACAAATGAAGAGGTACGTCCTTAATCTGTGACAACATCTACAAAATCAAGAGGTACGTCCTCATGAAAATATGATAATAAATTAAGGGGTAAAACCCTCACAATCAAGTAACTGCTTATCCACTGAGAAAGCAAGTTCTGAAATCATCGATGCTCAACAATAGATGAGCCACGTGCCTATAAATTTGTTGTGGTCAAATCCAAAAGGGGACTACATCCTTGTCATTGCATCTCCTATGTGTGTATGTCCTTGCGCACCTCTGATATAAGATCCATGAGGTCAATATGTCTGTTGTTGCACGGCAAGTACATACTTTTGAGTGACCAACCAAAGGCAAACATATAAAAAGTGTTTGTTCTTGCTAATTTCTATTAGGTCGTATAAGACCAAGACAAAAGGTGACAAAGGAGCGACATACAAAAAAAAGTAAATAGTATCTACATTAGGGAATGATCAAGGTTCCAACTAACATTATCAGCAGCGACTGGCGACTTAAAAAAATATCTTTTATTTCAAACTGGAGAGAATGAAGGTCGACGATTTAAAAAAAAAGAGGTACAAGCAAACATGTTTGTCATTGGTCATCTTCTACATAAACAACTGACACAAGCAATTGGTCTGTTGTACTAATATTTTGGAGAGTCCCACGTGGGCACAAGAAGAAAAGAGAAGCCCATTTACCTTTAGTCACTCCTACATTTTTATTTTTGTCACTATTGTCTGTCCCTCCTATTTTTCCATTTTTAAATGATGTCACCTACCTACATAGAAGCTCGTCACTTTTTGGAGATCCCCACTATCAACACCAAACATAGAAGGAGAAAATGACTTTGTTATTTTACAGTCAAAGCTCACATGAGCAACAAGCAAAAGAAGTAAATGGCGACCGACCGACAGGAGAGATAAATGTCTCTTTTACTTTTTGGATACTTTCATACAAATAAAAAGAGTATTTGTCACTCTCCTTAAGAAGAACTTGCGTGAGCGACAGACAAATGCGCAAATAGGTATGTTTTTCTATTTCTTATTTGAATTATATTCTTTTGGAGTTTGTTATTCTACTGGGGTGTCCATCTTCATGGATACTTTAAAAGGGACCATGCCATTAGACGATATATGCTTTTTCGTACGTCGACGTTAGTAAACGAACAACAGTCACAAGTGACATGAGCAAGCGACCGACGATATGAAAATGAAGTCTTACTCTACAAATTCTAAACAAGAAATTGAAGAGTAGGGGGCAAGTTGTTGGGTGAAATAAATTCACTAGCCGGTCGCTCCTTAAACTCTATTATAAGCTGGAGATATGATCGACTGACGACCATGATGACCGGTCGATCTTACTTCTTAGTGTCTAAAAGGCCTTAGCATCGACATGAAGAGGCAGCGACCAATGATGTTAATTAATGGTTTAGCAGTGACCAATGGTTTGTACAATTTCCTAAATCTATTAGAGTTGTGCAGAGGACCGACGTGCATATCTAATTAAAAGGAAATTGGGAATGACGACCGACGTAGGAAATAGAAAGTTACGACCGACGTTAAAGCCCAACTCGATAAGGATTAGGACCGACGAACACCTATAAATAAGAGGTCCTAGAACCAACAGATTCATTCAGAAAAACACACAAAAACCCTAATAGCTACTTGTTCTTCGCCTCTCGACGAGCAAGCGACGAACAACCTAGATACGACGAACTACGATCTACGACGAGCGACAGACGAGATTCTCTTAGTTTAATCTTTGATATTGACTTGTTGTAGCTCGATATTCAATTGATTAATAAGATATCTTCTCCTGCGTCATTCCGTTTATTGTACTTGCGAACCGGTTAAATTTTGCCCAAACAGAAATTTTAACAAACAGTTAACGATCAGCTTCTGACTCAAGAAAGAAACATACCCCTACCTCCAACAAAGTTTCCTTCTTCTTAACACAAGGAAACAAAACGAAGAACTTAAGACTAATACTTAATAGAGCCCAAGATATAATACTAACTAAACGATATCTATAACCTAAAACATACAGCTCTACCCAAATGGCTGTAAAAACAGGCTTTTCCCTGGGAAAGAAAAGTGAACTCATAAGTTGAAGTTCCAAACACAGAAAGACTCGCAATGTAAGTGAAAGTAACCACTAATGATTTTAACATTAGGAAATATGATTTCATTGAAATTGTGGCCTAAAATAAGTAGGCTTACAGATAAAGAAAGGCCATGAAGACAAGCTTCAAATAGGCTGAATGTGTGACGGAGATGATCGGAAAACTTTTAAGAGTTCGGTGACATTTGGGATTCAAAACAACCCAGTTCTGCTTGCAGATTCAAAACAACTCTGAATCTGTTGAGCGGTCAACACCCGACGAATCCCCACCGTTTCTTCCGCCGTCGTAGATGAATTTCAGAGACGGGAAAATGATGATCCACAATGAGAATTTCGAAGAAATTCTGAGCTCTGGAATCCCTTGAATCATCTCTCGGTAAACGCCTGAGCAAATGGGAGAAACGGAGGCAACACTCTGGTGTAGAGGTAACAAACAACAATATATGAGATTCGCAATGTAGCGAAATGACGACAAGGGGAGATTTAATTTCATTTAAATTACCAGAGATGCCATGCCTCTCGAATCTGTCATCATCTGTGTTTCTGTGAATAACATATGAGACAGAGCACCGTGTGAGAATTCAGACAGTAATAGTAACTCAGTTTAAGTGATTTAATGATTCTAATAATGTTTGGCTGAAGGCGATGATAATAAAAAAAAAATTGTCCGTACATCTTCACAATTAGAGAGCAGAAACAATAAGGTGGAAGAAGGTTGGAGTTTGACGGCTTACCAGTGGATTCAATAACGGTGCTAGATAGAGTGGTTGGGTAATCGATTTGCAAAGCTACGCGGAGACCATAGTTGCGCATCAAATATATATATATCTGGAGAGATGGGCAACTTTTATAGTATAGGATATATATATATATCAAGTGGTTGAATGAATAAAGCATTTATTCATTCTGCATCTTCAAGTTTTATATGTCTTGGAAAGTCAGACATAAATTCTTACATGGGTGAAAAATAAATTACGATCATATGGTTCGAGTTCTTGTGATCATTTAAGTTTTTTTGTTTGGTTATATAATTGGTGTCTTTAGTGTTATCTCGGCTTGTGGCATTTTAAGAAGTATAGAAAAAGTAGAGGTGGAGAAGTTTGGAATACGGATGGTGGGTGTCGTTATAATTTATCAAGGATGGAGTACGAACTACGAAGATGCAAACTATTGTGCAAGAGTTTCAAGAGATATAAGACATTATGATTTTCCATCACAGCAAGTGAATCATGATAGAAAATGGTCTTAAGATTGATGATAGAAAGACAAACAAATATTACAAATGATGATCAAATATATAACAAAACAAAAACTTTTGTATCTCCTGCTTGGTTATAAAGAAATCTCTAGGGATAAAACAGAAGCTCAATCATGGTTTAGATGGTGAAGAAAGCGTATTTTAAGCTAGATAGAAGGAACATAATTTATGTGCATTTTTGATGTAAGCAATAAAAATATCAATTATTTCTATAAAAGAGTTTACTTTGAAATCTCTCACCAATATTGATTTCTGTAAGTGCTAAAAATGTGTGACTACTAAATATTTTTTTATTTGATTTTAATAAAATTTCAAATTTACTTGGACAAGTTTAATGATTCTTACATATGTACTGACACTGAAATGAATTTAATAGAAGTTCTTTTATGGAATGGTACATATATGATAACTAACTCGAGTATATTAATTGGTTTGTTTTAAATTTGTTTTTCTTTTACTTTTACTATTTTACAATGTCAAACTGTCTTCAATTAAAGAAAAATACATAGTTGTTAATTCAATTGAATCATATACATAGAATTATAATAATAATTACACAATTATGTATGGGAGAATTACCAAGAGTAATCCATAATTTATTTTTTTCAAGAAATTTATACCCCAAATTCAATGTTTTGCAAAACTAACCTCCATGTCAGCAAAAAGTAAAAATCCCTTCTCATGAACAAACAGACATCAGCCGCGATTACCATTTTGACCCGCGGCTGATGTCTACGCTTGTTGTTTACATATAGACTTCAATTGTAGGTCTACATATTAATTATATCTTATATTTAAATTATATAAAAAAATAAAAATATTATGGTGAAACCATTTTACATCAATAAATAAAGCACTTACATTTGCACCTAAGAAAAATAGAATTGCATAAAAATAAATCAATGTAAATAACCATAAGCAATTTAGGTTAGAAAGCTATAAAAATATATGAGGTCTAACGAAGAGGTCTACCACATAATTAAATCCAAAATTTAATTTATAAAAAATATAGAAAATATTTTGATTCAACTATCGTATTCATAAACAAAATATAGACATTCATAATCCATATAAAATATAATTTCATGCTAATAAGTCCTTTTAAATGTGCAAAAGCCAAATAGGTTAGAAATTTGTAAAACCGTGAGAGGTCTACATGCGTGATGGTCTACACAAAAACAGAAATCTTAAAATTTAAATTATAAAATTGAAAAAAATAATAATTTCATAAACAACTTGTATGCATAATTAATTATTAGACATTTGACTTGTATTAAAAATAAAATTTAAGAAAAACGAACCAAATTAAAAATTCGATGAGTAAATGGTTGAAAAGAAGAAGAGTTTGAGTAGATAGTTTAGGGTTTAGATGTGTAGTTCTTAGGGTTTGGAGGATTTCATTTTGAATTATTATTTTTGCTTCGTTTCTTGATATATGATTAATATATTTCTTATCCAAATCTTAAATATGGTAAATGGCAAACGAAATCAAAATTTGGTTAATGTTTTTTTTTCAAAATTTGTGGTTTAGGGTATCGTAGACCTCATTGGTAGACCTCAATATACTGCTAAAATGTTTGGCGGGAATTCGAAAATTGAAAAACCCTTTTGGCGGGAACAAAAATTTCTAAATAAACTGCGTTTGTAAACCACTTTCATAAACCACATTTGTAAACCTCAATAAATTGTGGTTAAACCTAAATTCTTTAACTAAACCAAAAAATAAAATTTTCTTATCCGGAATTTTCTAATTAAACCGGGAAATTTATCTCCTTGTATAAAAAGAAAAGAAACCCTAGTTTTTGTTAAAAAAAGAAAAAAAACTTCTTTCTTCAAACTGCGCTCTCTTCTCTTCTCGCCTAGTACCTCAACCTCATTATCTCTCTCTCAGATGCGGCGAACCTCGAGCTATCTTCGAAGTCGTGGCCGTCGCCGTCGTCTCGTTCTCGTGGTCGCTGCTGTTGCTGCCGTCTAGCTTCATCGCCGTTGCCGCTGTCTCGTTCTCGCCGCTGCCGCCATCGTCAAGTTCTGGCCGTTTCCGCCGTCTTCGCCTTTTCGCCATTGCTGCCGTCGTCGAGTTCTCGCCGTTGCGGTCGTCGTCCCGTTCTCGCCATCGCCATCGTCACTGGTAAGCCCTCCTCCTTCTCCCCATATTAGATCAGATTTGAGCCGGAACATAACATAATATTTCTGAATATATCTTCTCTTTCTGTCAGATTCAAGCAGGATCTATTCCACCGCTTTTGGAGGGTTGGAGAGTGATTCCACATGATAGATCTATCTCGATTTACGGTGTGAGGAAGCAACCGGTGAAGCTGTTTACAAAGTCATCTTCCTCAGCCGTCACACTGCCGGCTCGAATCATCCTGCTTTAACTGTTACACCCGATTGGTATGCGAAGAAACAACAATGGGATCAAAAAGTTCAACGGTTTATTATGAAGTTATGCATTGATTCGTGTTAGTATTATTATAAACTAGGGGGTGACCCGCACTTCGCTTTATTGTTTTAGTTTTATTGTTTTTCCACAAATATTACTTAAATATAGTTAAAGTTAGGCAGAAAAATTATATCGTCTTGTTCCATCTCGTCCTATTTTGTTCATTTTCATCATGTACGTTCTTTTCCGTCCCGTCCGTCTTGCATGTCCCGTCCCGTCCAGTCTCATCCTATCCCATTTTTGTTATGTCCCATTTCTTTTATTCTTGTCTTGTTTCCTAAATATAATTAGGGTTAGGCATAATTCTATTCATTTCCATCTTGTCCCGTTTTGTTCGTTCTGTCTACCCCATCCAATCGCATCCTATCCTATTATGTTCTTTTCCATTTTATCTTGTCTTTATCTCGTCTCTAAATATAATTAGGGTTAGGTAAAATTCATGTCCGTCTCTTTCCATCCCATTATGTACATTTTCACCTCGTCCCGTCCAATCCCGCCGCCACATTCTATTTCTTTTTATTATTTCCCGTTTAATCTTTATGTCTTGTCCTCTCTCATCATGTTTTTTTTTGTTTTTTTTCCGTTATGCCCCTAAATATATATTATAGAGGTAGGTGGAATTTATGTCTTGTCCTATCCCGTTTTTTTCTATTCTTTTAGATCTCGTCTCGTCTCGTCACTTAATATAATAGGAAGTACACAAAATTCCCCTATTCTCAAGTTATATATTTTTTCGTCTCGTCATGTTCGATCTCGTCTCATTTCTTTCCAAAATACTAAAAAAGTGTTCTTTCTATAATATCTTTCTATAGTTATTATTACTAAATAATAGTTTTTGTAGATCTATACATAACATTTTATTTTTAAAATGATTTTTCATATTCTTATTATGTTATTATAGTAATAAATGATAATTATTATATATTTTTTTAAAAATATATATAATAAATAAATTGATATGCTGAATTTAGAGACACCCACTTCTTCTTAGGTGCCAACACCAGAATAGAATGACATGAACTTTATATATATAGATATAAACTAGCTCTTGACCCGTGCTTCGGGATGTTGTAACTTATTAAGAAACATTAGAGTATACTAATTAGGTAAATGTAGTAATTAAACTATCACTAATTTAATTTAGGGTTAAGATAATTATTCAAGTATATGATGAAAATAAGATAATTATGTGTTTAAATGTTTAATTTAGAGAGACATACTAAAAACTTGATTTTATGAGACAATACAATGATACATCTGTTTTGTTTAGCCCACATTTGGTTGGTTCCAGCCATTGCACTTGTGACCCGAATTTATTGTTTTTTGTAATATTAACAAATTAACAAACGAAACAAAATAAAATCGTCAAAGAGAAATAAATTATTTATTTTTCGAATGACGATATGAAATAGATTTGATCTGATTTAGTGGGATAAGTTCGCGATGGAAAATCCAGTGAAGATGAAGAGTTATCGGAATTTGATGTTTGGAGAAATCGGCATACCGTATTCAGCAACGAATATGAAGAGTTTTTGATGTAAACAATTTAGCATTTCCTTTACTTCAAACTAGGTGGGTGCCCGACGCCTGACGGCGCGGACTATAATGTTTATTTATGAGATAGGTATTTATAAACAGTAATAACTTCAATTATATATATAGTTAGAGTCAGGAATAATTCTGAATCTTTTAATAATACATGACTAGATCTTGACACGTGCTACTACAGCACGGGTTGTTGTATCTTATAAAAAACATTAAATATGCTGCTAATTAGGTGAATTAGGTGAATGTGATAATTAAACTATCATTAGTTTAATTTAGGGCTAAGATATTATTCATTTGTATGATAAAAATGAGGTATTTATGAGCCTAATTGTATGATGAAAATGAGATATTTATGGGTTTGTATGTTTAATTTAGGGGTTTATGAGCCTAATTGTATTCATCAAAGAAGATGTTGAGTTTTTTACGTAAGGGGTTTAGCATTTCCATTAGTTCAAATTACTTGGTCATGACCTGTAGCAGCACGGGTCAATTAGCTAAAATTTTCAAAAATCTTAACATCCTGTGCTTCTTTTATAACAGATCATATCACTCATTTTTCTTGCTTCTTTATATGATTTGTGCATATGTTTTTGGAACTTACATGTCATGATGCTTAGTAAATAATTAGACATGTAAAACACACTTAGAAAGATAATGATCATTTTACATTACCTTGTTTGGAGCAGAAAGTTGAATTAGGGTGGATCCTACCCGTTGTTACATAATTATAAGAACAATGCTATATCAACTCATTTGATCATTTCCGTTTTTTCTTTCCGACTCTCCGAAAAGTCTAGAATCTGAAAGAATTTTGGTTCTTACCCGTGATGTTGGGAAACCAAAATTTAAAATATAAAAATCATACTTCTTCAACACTTATTTATAAGTAATCAAATCACTCTTTTCTCTTTTCCTTTATATGAGTTGGGCATATCTTTTTGAAACTTACATGTCATGATGCTAAGTAAAACATTAGACATATAAAATACACTTAGAAAGATAGTGATCATTTTACATTACCTTTTCTGGAGCAGAAAGTTGAATCAATGTGGATCCTACCCGTTGTTACATAATTGTAAGAACAATGCTATATCAACTCATTTGATCATTTGCGTTCTTTCTTTCCGACTCTCCGAAAAGTCTTAAATCTGAAAGAATTTTGGTCTGACTTGTGATGTTGGGAAACCAAAATTTAAAATAGAAAAATCATACTTCTTCAACACTTTTTTATAAGGAATCAAATCACTCTTTTTTCTTTTTTCCTTTATATGAGTTGTGCATATCTTTTTGAAACTTACATGTCATTGTCATGATGTTAAGTAAAACATTAGACATATAAAACACACTTAGAAAGATAATGATGATTTTACATTACCTTGTTTGGAATAGAAAGTTGAATCAGGGTGGATCCTACCCGTTGTTACATAATTGTAAGATAAATGCTATATCAACTCATTTCATTATTTCCGTTCTTTCCGACTCTCCGAAAAGCCCAGAATCTGAAAGAATTTTGGTTCTAACATGTGATGTTGGGAAACCAAAATTTAAAATATAAAAATCATACTTTTTCAACACTTTTTTTAATAAGGAACAAATCACTCAATTTTCTTTTTTTCTTTATATAAGTTGTGCATATCTTTTTGAAACTTAGATGTCATAATGCTTAGGTAAAACATTAAACATATAAAACACACTGAGAAAGATAATGATCATTTAAATTACCTTGTTTAGAGCAGAAAGTTGAATTAAGGTGGATTCTATACATGATTATAAGAACAATGCTACATTAAAAAAACTTCTCAATTGCTTAAGTGTTACTATTTGTTTAGGCCCAAGACCAAAAAATTAGAGTGTTTGTTTAAAAAATATCACTTTTTATCAAAAAAAATATTTTCTTCCAAAGAAAATATATTTTGAAAAGAAAACTATCTATTAAAATATAATTTTCATTGAATATAACTAATTTAATTTGGTTCACCAATAACAGAGCGAGGAAATTTTAAGAAATACAAAAAAACAGTATTTGTAAAAAAAAATGCTTGAGTCTTTAACAATTACAAAAATTAGAAAAGGGAACGTTTTAGGCATGGACCAGATGTGACCCTCACAATCTCTTACTCTTCTAATAAGGATTATATATCTTCTGACCTTTTTATTGAATGTTAAATTTATTCAACAAAAAAAAACATGACTTTTACAGAGTGATGATTGACCGTTTGTTTAAATAGGAAACATCGTTACATTAAAAACAGAGCTGCTTCTTATGAGGCTACTCTCTTGCAGTAAGCTTTGTTCTGGCTCTCCATTGCTCTTCTCTTGTAGGTCTTTGTAAAGAATAACTCTTAGCCCATTTGTTTCCAATCGATTTCTAGCTTATTCTAAGGCTCTTGCTTGTTCAATAGCTCTCTTTCCTTCCTCCTCGGCCCATGATCTGAACAAAACACCAAATGATAAATAAGCCACTCGATATACGGTGACGGAATAATCGTTTGCAAAATGACTGATTTAGAGCTTTATAATAAATGAGTGAATGCAAGGAAATGATGATGAAAGATATTCACGTATACTACCTGGCCAAAAGTAATGGAGATGAAAATCCCGTCTGGTTTCAAAACCCGGTGAACTCCTTTAAGAGTTGCCATGACTTTGCTGATTTAATGTTTCTTGGCGGGTTTCTATGGATCCACAACCAGTACATCCTTCTCACCAAATTGATTACAAAAAGGAGCAACTCATGAGCTTTCTCTAGTTAAAATTTAAGAATTGAAATCAAACCACATCAACATATAGTTAAGTTACAGGTCATAGTGTTCCTCTGAAGAAAACATCTCGTCCCTGCCAGATGAGACGCTGGAAATTAGAGTATTCCTTGAACCATTCATAGTGTTCCTCTGAAGAAAACATCTCGTCCCTGCATTTTTAGGCGCATTAAGTTACAATCAACAGAGAGAGAGAGAGAGAAGAGATTGTTCTAGCTGAATGAAATTCCTACCTGGTGTGAGAATCGAGATGGGTCAGAGCAAAAGGAGGACCGACGGAATTCGTTTCCTGGTTAAAAATTGGATCCGAATTACGATTGGGCGGATCTAAATTCCATCCTAAGACCTTTACGATGGTCTGGTTACATTCTTCTCCAAAACACTACCTGCAAAACTTATTCAAAAACCAAATAAAAGGCCACTATAATTATCCAATACAGCAATGAGATTTGAGAATTATAACTGAACAGGCAAAGAAGCATTGTGAAGAGACCACATATATGATTTTTAAACTGTAATAACTGGTTGTAACACCGGATGGAACCTACCCGCGAATTTGATTAACCGCTGCATCCTTCGTCGTCATCTCCGATGATGACTCTCTTCAGAAAATCAAGTATCACCATCTCTTGCAAAGAGTGACCGGAAGAGCGTTCATGACTACTATTTTTTATATTGCTTGCGAGATTTCGAGGTATTACTCAAGTAACTCAAAAAAATTATGTATTTATAGGGAATATAACGGAAGAGCTGAGATCACGCATTTCGTATCCTCCATCATTCCATATCTGCTGTAATATATAATTAAAAACCTCCGTTCTTGTTAGCTCAAAAATATTCTTTTAAAAAGCAGCATATATTTAGGGATGAAACCCGATTACGAAGCTGTTTCTTTGCCTTTTTTAAATTCCGCATTCTTAGTTTGTGATCCACGTAATTTATTTTTCGAGATATTACGTACCTTTTTTTATGGAGTAATCTTTACGGCCAGTTAAATATTTCCTATTCCGAGATAACCGTGATCCTATTGTGTTTAATCAGCACCGCTTTAGTTGATTTTCGTGTGGTTCAATTTAAGTAGATTTTTGGATCCGCATGTTTTTAAATGGATCCGGGTCGGGTCGACTCGTACCCAACTGAGTCAGCTCATTTTTTCTCCGAATTTTCTTCCAAAAAACTCATTGTTTATCCCTGTTTCCAAACACCCTTTCTTTGTTATCTGTTTGGTTTTTAGGTAAATTACTCAATTTGGCTCCGAATTTTTTCAGACTAGAATACCCTTTATGACTCAGTTTTAATAGTATTGATGGATATGAACTCCATGAGAATCTATACTTGAGTTTGGGATAAAAATGAATCATTCATAATGAATATAACATAGATTATATGTTTTAGATTAAGTTGTAGAGAGACTTAAGGAAGGAGATGAGAAAATTATAAGTATATATCCGATGAAGGTAAGACTCCACACGGGTTTTAAAAGTTTAATAAAATGTTTATAATGAATCATATATGCTTATAACTTCTTCTGTACTCTGCACCTTCACTTGATTCTTGCATCTTCCATTTGATTGGCCATCCTATATATAACAAATAAGAAATTAATCATAGTTTGCTATCAATGAAATATTATGATTTAAACTCTTCATATATAAACCTTTTCTGGGCTTTTACTACCTATCTTTCTTCAATTACACCTCAGGAATGTTTGGATCAAACCAAAACCTAGACAATCCTCTGCCATCAACAATCAAGATGTCCCCTATTTTTTGCATCTATGTTAGTTCAGATATCAATATGTAAATAAATCAGATGGACCAACAAAATAACAGTAATAGACAAATAACATTCACAATCTGATTCCGCAACTCTCCATTCACTTAGAACGCAAACAATGTTGTCAGATTCATTGTCTTTCCATTACTTGTACATATTCACAGCTAAATCTCCATGAGCAATGCAATAAAGTTCCTCGTTCCTTCTTGATAGAAAAATATTAGAATATAATTCCTGTCTACACACTCATATAGTATAAATGTTTAGCAACTACCTTTCATTCTTCAAGTAAAAGGGAATCGATCTCACTTCCTCAGCGTCCTTGTTTGGTGGTGAAAGTTTACCCATGTATCCAATCACTTTAATAAAATCTGCAAGAAAGATAAAATACTCTATATTATTTCAACGAACTAATAAACGATGTTATTTTTAATCTATGATTATAAATCACAAATAAATTATGTAACCAATCTAGATTAACCATACCAATTGGATACGCAATATTGTGTCAGCCAGAGATGACTCTTTCAAAGTCCGCAAATTCGAAAAAAAATGTCTGTTTGAAAGAGGAAAAAGAGGCGTAACTTCTGTTTCACGCCTTAGAGCGATCATGAAATCATGAGCTGTAACCATAAACTTGTTGTCTAACCAATTATCACTTGAAACGATAAATTTGGTAATTTCCCACCATTCTCCTTCTGGTAAGGTGATGTACTTGCATTTTACATAGTTTTAGCACATCTTTTATGCATCTTTTGCATAGTTTTAGCTTCCATTTGCATCATATCTTGTTCCTTTTCTCTTCTTATGCATTCATGTTAGTTTTAGGTTGCATTTGCATACATATGCATGTTTGGTCCTTTGAAATAGGTCTTTTGGAGCATTCTGGAGCATATGGGACACAAGGAGCATGGAGGGACTTGGCACATGGAAGCAGCTCAACTGGATACGCAAAGGAAGAAGGGAGAAGCCATCTTGAAGACCAGCTCGACCGTCCACTCGACCAACCGGTCGAGTTCCTCAACTCGACCGGCCAAGCTTCAACTCGATCGAGCTGAGAAGTCAAAGTCAAACCCGAAAAATGTTGCTTCCCCCTTGACTTCCTTTGACCCTAAACCTAATCCTCTTTGTATTTAAAGGCTCTAAGCCACGAAAAAACCACCAAGCTTTAGATTACTTTTGTTTTAGTTTCTTTTAATTTATTGTCTTTTACTTTTTAGAGATCTAATCCCATCTTTGTGTTCTTGAAGCTCTTGCTTCTTGAATCTTAGATCCTGGATAATCTCTCTTGTATTTGCACTTGCTTATTTCAATAAAAGTTGTTTAATTTCATCTCCTCTTTCTTATGATGTCTCTTTTATTGCATTTGCTTGTGTTTACATTCATGTGTAGTGAGTAGTTACCCATTGGGGTTTGAGATGGGATAGATTAGAGGTTTCATATGCTTAATCCTTCTAGCTTATGGTCTTAATCTAGATTCTCTCTCTTTTGGATAGATCTTAAGGCTACATGACCACTACCCCTGGCTTGTAAGTCCTTAGGCGACTCCCCACACGAAAGTGATGGCATTCGCTGGAAAAGATCCACTAAGAGCTCCAATATCTCTTGCTCTAGACAATAGAGGTCTAAGGGGTTGGATGGATTAGTTTGGGCAATGATCCTATAGCCTCCAAGGTTTGATTCTCACTGGCTAACCCCCTGTTTCTGAGATCATTCCTTGGTTGATAGCCTCACCTTGGGAAAGGGTTGGCTAGGCATTGAGAAGCCCAATATCAAGAGAAGCCTTGATACAAGGAGTTTTAAGAGCTAGATTGATTAAGTGTAGATTCCTTTGATTGCAAAACCCTGTCTTGAACCCTAATTCTCTCTTATCTTGTTAAAGTCGTCACCTTTAGCTTTGTTTGTCTCAACTCGTCCCTAAACTCGATCGAGCTGGTACTTTGTCTGACTCGACTCGAGCTCTTGGTCGAGCTGACACTTCACTGCTTTGTTTACTTTTATTGCACTGCTTTTCATTTTTTTAGGTTGTTAGTGTTACTTCAAATCTTTACTGCTTGCTTGACTTTCTGGTTGTTTCATATTCTCATAGAGTGACAAGTTTCCCATTTTGGATTGATAACCCTTTGTACTACATCAACTATCATGGTTAAAGGGAATTGTTGACTGTGTTTGTGTTTGCATCTTACCACCATCATATACCACTGATTGCATTCCACTCATCTCATTTCATATCTTTTCACATCCACACACAAATCCTATCATCAATTTGGCGCCGTTGCCGATTTGGGAATATTTTTGTTGCATTTGAGTTTCAAACACACTTGGACGATCAAGCTATACCACCCCTGTTCTATTGTACTGCTGGGTTTTTGTCTCTTTTTGCAGGTGTATGCGAACTCGATCGAGTCGGTCTAACTGAAGACTTGGTCGAGCTAGACTTACAACGGGTAGAAAGAGGGTTCAGAGGTCACAGAGGGTACAAGAGGAACCTGAGGTGCTTGTTGCTGATACAATGGATGTACCAGAGGGGAATGGAAACCCTTTGGGCAATGGACTCGGTCGAGCTAGGCAAACTCGACCGATTGGTCAAGGAGATGCTCCAAACCGCCACCAACAGAGACAAGGGATTGTTCCACCACCAGTGCAGAACCACAACTTTGAGATCAAGCTGGGAATGATCAACCTTGTCCAGAACAAGATGTTCCATGGATTGCCAAGTGAAGACCCCATTGACCACCTTGATGAGTTTGATAGGCTTTGTGATTTGACAAAGATCAATGGTGTCTCTGAAGATGCCATCAAGCTGAGACTCTTTCCTATGTCTCTAGCTGACAAAGCTCACCAATGGGAGAAGAGCTTGCCCCATGGCACAATCACCACTTGGGATGAATGCAAGAAGGCCTTTCTTGCTAAGTTTTTCTCCACCGGTCGCACAGCCAAGCTTAGAGGAGAGATATCCAGCTTCATCCAGCGAAACAATGAGACATTCGCAGAGGCTTGGGAGAGGTTCAAAGGCTACACAAGTCAGTGCCCACACCATGGATTCAACAATGAATCCTACTCTCCACTCTTTATAGAGGATGCTTGCCTAGGTATAGGGAGATGCTAGACACAGCTAGCAATGGGAACTTCCTCAACCAGGATGTAGATGATGGCTGGCAACTTGTGGAGAACATAGCTAACTCAAATGGAAGCTATGGAGAAGAGTATGATCGCACCAACCGGAGCTCGACCCACCACTCGATCGAGTCAGACGAAAAGTTGAGAAAAGATGTTAAGGCATTGAATGAGAAGTTGGATAAGCTGATCCTAGCTCAGTCCACAATGAAGAAAGTCAACTTTGTGTCTGCTGAGGAGATGGAACCAGTCCAAGAAGGGGAGGATACACAATTTGCTGAGGTGTGCTACATGAGCAATGGGCAAGGAGGTTACAACAAAGGATACTATAACTACAAGTCCAACCCTGCCATGTCATACCGCAACACTGATGTTGCTAACCCTCAGGACCAAGTATATCCTCAACAACAAGCAGCTCGATCGAGTCAGGTGCCACAACATGGGTATGGTCAAAAGAACAATTACCAAGGACCACAAGGCACTTTCCCTGGACAACAAATGAATATCCCACCAGGCTTCCCCCACCAACCGCCCCAGCCTGCACCTTCACAAGAGAATGAGCTCAAGGCAATGCTAAAGCAACTACTTCAAGGGCAAGCTGATGGGGTAGTGGACACAAGCAAGAAGCTAGCTGAAATAAACTCTAAGATCGAGAACCTCAACACAAGGGTTTACTCTCTGGAGAATCATGCTTCTTCTGTTGCTGCTGCTACAAAGCAAGGACAACTACCTGGTAAAGCTATTCAGAACCCCAAGGAACAGTGCAAGGTCATCTTCACTCAAGAAGGACTTGTTGAAGAAGAGGATCAAGAAAGGGTCATTGAAGATTTTTGTTTACTGCTGAATGATGAAGAGATTGTTGCTGCTGAGGCTCCTGGAGTCCAGATTGATCAACCAGAAGTGCATGCACCTACTGTGGCCATTCACACTTCACCAGTTGAGCTCGCACGACAAGCTCGATCGGCAGCTCGATCGAGTCCAACTCTAGCTCGATCGAGTCCGACCTCTTCTGTCCGACAGCCTGTTTTGCTTGATCCTTATCAACCGGTTGCCGCTTCCTCGTCTCGCCTACTTAGTCAAGGTCACAAGGAAGTGATTCACAAGTTCAGAAGAGATCTCAGTGGGATTGGAATTGAGTTGCCTCTATGGATAGCATGAGTGAGGCATTTGATCAAATGCAAATGGTCAAGGATGTTCTAGCCAACAGTGATAAAGTTTCAGAGGTCCTACAAGAGTCTACTCATCAGTTCAACCTGCTTACTTCACCCACCTTCCTACCAAAGGTCAAGGATCAAGGGAAATTCACTCTCCCTTGCACACTTGGGCATCTTGAGATTGACAATGCCTTAGTGGATTCTGGAGCAAGCATCAATCTGATCTCTCTCTCCATGGCAGAGAAGCTAGGCATAGCTGGAGCCTTGCAGCGCCCTACTACTTCAATCATCTTTGGAGATGCAACTATCTAAAATTGTCATCATCCAAACTTCTCACTGTGATGGAAATGGAAGTTGGTTGCCTTCAATTAACTTTCACAAGCAAGAAGTGATCCTTCACAAGGTGAATAGTTTGGTGTCATATCGCTTGCAGCCTAGAGGTTCAGACTTTTGTGCCACAATTGACAGTACCAATCTCAGTTCTAAGAGTCATGGAGCTACAAAGGTTGTGAAGGAAAGGGTTGACAAGGAACCAAGAGTTGGGAAGGATAAGGATGAGAGAGGACCAAGGATTGAGAAGCCACGTCTTGAGAGGGCTAGAGTTGAGAAACCACGATCTGATAGGCCAAGAGCTGAGAGACTTGTTCAAGCCCCTTGTGTGCTTGATGAAGAGAGCCTTCAAGCTTTGTTTGATGAGCCACTAGGAAGGGCTCTAAAGAAGGGGAGGATGCAGCCTCTAAGGCAAGACCAGGAGATAAAAGAAAGGATCCACCAGCTCAGGCCCCTTCAGTCAAGCCATCTCAGCTCACAATGACTTTGTTCCCCACCAAGTTTGAAAATGGGAAGATTGAGTACAAGATAAGGTACAAGGGGAGATCAAGGCCATTCTCTAGAGCCAAGGCCTTGGTGACTTCAGAACAGTCCAGGGACCCAACCAAGCTAAAGGAGCTTCTGTCTCAAGTCCTCACTATCACCCTTGATGGTGGGACTAGCTCAACCAATGCCTAAGAAGGTAAAGGTCAAGCTATGGGACCTTAAACAAGCTCACTTGGGAGGAAGTCCCATGTTTATCCTTGTACATACTCTATTTATGCAATTTCTATCTATCTTTATGTTTTAACCTTTGAATAAGTTAAGTTTAGGTGTCAAGGAGCCAGCTCGACCGATAGCTCGATCGAGCTAGAAACCAGGGCAACTCGATCGAGCTACACAACTCGACCGAGGTAAGTTTTTGAATTTCAAATTCATAACCGTTTTCTTGGTCAAGGGAGTGGGTCCCACAAGCTGATTTTGGTCCCCCACTACCCTAATTTGATCAGAGAATCCCTAGTTTCTTGTTCCCTCTTTATTTCATCTTTTAATCTCAACCACACATCTCAAACACTCTCTTCCCCATAACTCGATCGAATCCACTTCTCTCTCCCACACTCTTTTCTGAAATCTCTCTCTCTCTCACAACAAGAAATCGATTTTCAATTTCTCTCAAGTTTTTGCGATTTCTGTTCTCTTCTTGTTTTGCTTGGGTTTTGTTTACTGCTCTTCAATTCCATCATTCAACAAGGTATGAACCCTAAAACCCTTGATTCATCCATCTCGATTTCACTATTGCTTGTTTCCTTTGATTTTTGATTGCATGTGTCCCTTGTGGACTTGTTCTTGAGTAATTGCTCATATTTCGCCTCTGCTGTATAATCTTGTTATTTGTTTCACCTCACCTCTGTTTTGCCTTTAAACTTGTTGCATGTGCTTGAAATTGAATTTGAGTTTGGTAAAGGTGCTATGTTTTCACTAGAATTGCTCATTGTTCCATTTACTAGTTGTTCTTGGTTCAATTTGATTGATTAGCATCCTTTCCAGCTCTTAATACTTGAATTAGGTTTGGTTATACTCTGTTTTCACCCAACTCGATCGAGTTTGTCACTCGAGTTTTTTGACTCGATCGAGCTGAGTGTCGAGTTGACCAAACCGATCATTACAACTCTAATTCTTTGTAATCTTTGATGCATTTCAGGTACTTTAGTGAAGAAACAGAGTAACAAGGATGACAAACAGTGAGGGAAGCCGCGTTCACAGAGGAGAATGGTTGAGGGTGAATCAAGCAATGCAAGAGAGAAGGCTTAAGATGCAAGCCGATTTGGAGAGATGGATCAGAGGATGGAAGAATCTGATGCAGAGGATATGTCTACTCTGAGGAACAGTCTGAGAGTGAGAGATTGAGGGAAGAAAGGAGAACCAAGAAGAGGAATGACCCTATTAGTAGTGAGAGTGAGCAAGGGAGTTTGAGATTGGAGTGAACCTTGTTCAAGAGGAGGAAATGGCTCTCCAAATGAAGAAGGAGTGAGGAACTGAGAGTGAAGAGGAAGGAGAAGAGGTGAACCAATTGGTTGATGAAGATGACAAGAGGGAACCAAGATGAGCCAATGGAAGAGGCTGAGGAAGAGCAAGAGGAGGATGAGCTCCCCATGTACCAAGAGCACTACAATGCTCTCTTCTCCATGGACTTTGTGGAGACCAAGTACCCACATGATGACACATGAGGCTTGGATCTTTGAGGATGTGGAGTTGGTGCTCAAGAACATGCAATTGGCCAAGTTCTTCTCTCACCGCATGGAGTCTACAAGGAGCTCACTTGTGAGTTTTTGGCTCAATGAGCATCACAGTTTGATGAGCTCGATCGAGCTGAGTTGGACCAAGGCTTGGGGGTACACTTCTTGGCAAAGGGAGAGAAGAAGATGGTGACCTTTAGGCAGCTTGAGATCTGTTTGGGTTCACTATGGAGAAGGTAACCAATGGAACATCAAGGAAGAAGAACTCCAAAGAGTTTGGGCTACAATCGCTGATGAGGGGTACTCTTCCTCAAGGTCCAAGGCTGCTCAGATCAGGAGCCCAGTGCTTAGATATGTCACAAGGCTCTTGCCAACACCTTCTTTGCAAGGAAAGCCACTGGACAATCAATGAGGGAGAAGTGAAGCTCCTTGACATGGGAATCAAGCCTATCATCTCACGCACAAGGATGGGAAGAAGATCAGAGGAGATAGGGCACACGCAGGGAATCTCATGCCTCTCCTTGAGCAGCTCCAAGCCTACAAGGTCACAGCTTACAACACTAGGCACCAAAGAGGAAGAAAGCTTAGTGTTGGAGGGGTGATCACACCATTCTTTGTGCAGCTGGAGTCAAGTGGACAAGAGAAGGTCTACTCCACCAGGTTGGATGGACATCAAGTTTTGCAAGACCAACCTCCTCATTGAGCACAAGGAGTTGGATGGGAGATTCCAATTCAAGTTCACCATCCCATTGGCTGGACTCCTCCAAGCTTCTCTGCCCAACCCTGAGCTCACCACGGTCCTAGGAGGTACAACATTGACTTCAGACCCCCTGTGTACACTTTGGTTGGGCATGAAGGATTTGCAAGAAGAAGAGATCGAGCTCGATCGAGCTGAGGATCGAGCTGAGATCAGCTGAGGATCAATCAGGAATGCGGATTTGGGTGAGCCTGAGTGCTATTACTTTGAGGAGTATGAGGCTCCAAGGATGAACCCCTCTGTTGTGGCTGCCCACAAGAGGATTGGACTTCTCCAAAAGTTCAACAAATGGCAAGGGAAAGCCATTGAGAAGATGCAAAAGTCCATGGACAAGATGGTGAGCAAGATCAAAAGTTTGGAGAAGAAGGTTTCTGGTTCTTCAAGCAAGAAGAAGTCCAAGGCCCCACTTTCCCTAGGAGTAGATCACTCCTCACCACTCCAAGGAGGCTCCCTGCCCAAGAGCCTCACAGAGCCTCTTCTTTCGAGCCAAGGGAAGGAGAAGACAACACGCAGAGAAGGAGGAAGACTTCCAAGGCCAGACGCTCCAGCTCGACCACCGGACTCGATCGAGTCCAAACAGAGGAAACTCAACTCGATCGAGCTGACGGTCGAGCTGACCTGGAGGAGCCCCAGTTCGAGGATCCGGGATTTGAATACGATCCCATGCCTTACCAGGAGCCTCCCCGGAGTAGATGGAACCCCTATGGACAGTACGAGCTACCAATGCTCCACCAAGGCCAAGGAAGCCACACACATTTCAACGATGAAGAAGAGGAGGAAGAGGAGCCACAAGCTCGATCGAGTGAGCCGCAAGAGGCAACCCCAGTTGCATGGAGTGCTCCTGATGGCCGTCTCCCATCTCCAGACCACGACCTAGTCTCCCAGTTCTTTGGGGGACACTGAGGTATCCAAACACCAACCCTTGTATATACCATTTCATATTTTCTTGCATTTGTTCTTGTTTTTTCTTGGTTTTGCCCTCTTGAATCTTTCACTGAATTTTTCTCACACAAGGGACTGTGTGATTTAAGTTTGGGGGAGGGTTCAAGAGATGATTTAACCTTGTTTTCTTTGTTCTTAGTTTTTCATTTATCTTTTGCATAGAAAAACCAAAAAAATCATAAAATTTTCAAAAAATCCAAAAATATTTTCATCTTTTTGCATTCATATTTGTTAGACTTGTTTAGGATTGCATTTTTCACTTGCATTGTTGATTTGACTTTGAAAACTTGTCCATCTTTTGCGATTTCTTGAGTGCCCTGTTTTTAGATTCTTTTGTGCATTAGGGTGAGATTGATTGAGCAGCAAGAACCATGTTTATCTTGATCATATCACTGCATGCACATCTCATTCAACCATTGCTGTGATTTGATGCATTTCCCTATCTATTTGAACCATAACTTGATCTTTAATTACCAATGCTTGCATTTGATTTCAACTCATGGCTACCACATACATATCTGGACATTCTTTACCATTTTCATATCCCTTTTGCTTGTCCAGATAGCTGATCTCTATCTTTGAGACAGTTACCACACCTTAAACCTAAGCCTTTTCATTTCAAACCCCATTATTATCTCTTGTGCGAATGTGAGAACCTTTCTTGGCTTTGCTTAGCATAAGGTGTTGTGTTTAAACCGGCAGGGGCAGTAGTTCTAGTTGTCTAGTTCTCTTGGGATTGTTTTCAGGCTAAGTTTGGGGGTGCCAACTCGAGCTCGATCGAGTTGGGTGTAAAAACCAGAAAAGTGGTAAAAGTTGGGAAAAACCCAAAGGAAAAAGAGTTTGGTTAAGTCCAGGGAGTTGGCAGTGTTTAAAAGGGTCTAGTAAAGGTTTGGGAAGTTAAAAAAGGAAAGTAAAAAGGGTTCTAAGTAGAATGAAAAGAAGGCAAAGCCTCAAGTGTCAAAAAGGAAAGAAAAGTTCCCTAAGTGTTTAGAAAATCCCAAACCGCTAGATGTTACCTCAAGAAGCCTCTCCCTAGGAAGTTCTTAAAAGAAAAGTGAGCAAAGCTCCTCAGTTTCAAAGGCGAAATGCCAAAAAGGGTAGTTAGGATTTTGTTCTAAAAAGCTCTAAGTGTTGAACTCGATCGAGTTAGGATTAGGCGGCTCGAGCTGCTGTTCTTGCATCATCTTTGGTTCTAACACTTAGCCTTCTGCCAAAGCAAAGCCACTTTCTTGAGAGATCCCTGTTACTAAACCACCATACAAAAGAGACCCTCTTTGTCTCTTAACCCATAAACCCTTGAAACCAAATGAGTTGATTGATCTTGCATGTTTTTGGTTCACTGTTTTTGCTTAATGAATGTTAAAGGGATTTGCTGATTTGAATGCATTGTTTGAGTGACTGTGAAGTGGGATTGATGTTGATAAGCATGGTTAAATCTTAATGAATATCTCTCACCTTGTTGCATTCTAGAATCTCTAAGTTGGACATTTAGCAAATCGCTTTTGAGGACATGTTTTTAAGTGTTGAATCAGCTTTTTCAAACCTCATCTCTTTCTTGTTCTATTTGTTTGCTTGAGGGCAAGCAAAGTTCAAGTTTGGGGGTGTTGATGTACTTGCATTTTACATAGTTTTAGCACATCTTTTATGCATCTTTTGCATAGTTTTAGCTTCCATTTGCATCATATCTTGTTCCTTTTCTCTTCTTATGCATTCATGTTAGTTTTAGGTTGCATTTGCATACATATGCATGTTTGGTCCTTTGAAATAGGTCTTTTGGAGCATTCTGGAGCATATGGGACAAGGAGCATGGAGGGACTTGGCACATGGAAGCAGCTCAACTGGATACGCAAAGGAAGAAGGGAGAAGCCATCTTGAAGACCAGCTCGACCGTCCACTCGACCGGCCAAGCTTCAACTCGATCGAGCTGAGAAGTCAAAGTCAAACCCGAAAAATGTTGCTTCCCCCTTGACTTCCTTTGACCCTAAACCTAATCCTCTTTGTATTTAAAGGCTCTAGCCACGAAAAAACCACCAAGCTTTAGATTACTTTTTTTTAGCTTCTTTTAATTTATTGTCTTTTACTTTTTAGAGATCTAATCCCATCTTTGTGTTCTTGAAGCTCTTGCTTCTTGAATCTTAGATCCTGGATAATCTCTCTTGTATTTGCACTTGCTTATTTCAATAAAAGTTGTTTAATTTCATCTCCTCTTTCTTATGATGTCTCTTTTATTGCATTTGCTTGTGTTTACATTCATGTGTAGTGAGTAGTTACCCATTGGGTTTGAGATGGGATAGATTAGAGGTTTCATATGCTTAATCCTTCTAGCTTATGGTCTTAATCTAGATTCTCTCTCTTTTGGATAGATCTTAGAGTGTCAAACAGAATGCGATTTGTTTTTATCTGTCATCTTTTATTTATATCTACACTAATCCGTTAATGGCGCAAGATTAATGATATAAAACTTGATCTTCTGGTTATATAATTTTATAGGTCGATTAATTTTAAATTCGATATATATAAGACGAACCCCAAATTATTTGAACAATGCGGATTCAGATGTATATAGTGTTGCAGCGACGGAGTAGCGTAAACACCAAGCTATTCGATCTTCCGGGATCAAAAGAGTTTAGAGATGAATCTAGCTTGAACTCAAAAGAGATTGCAAGAGATATCGATTTATAAAGAGAAGTTCTCTTAAGTTTATTAAAATCAAAGCTGCCTTACAATGGATCTTTAGCTTAACTATATATAATAAAAGAAGAGGTGTAACACCTTAACCCTAACCTCCTCGAATCTAAAAAAATAAGTAAAACTCAAAAGAAATGGAAACATTACGAAAAGGAAACCGAGAGAAAAGTAAATAACTTTCGGTATACGTAAATGATTAAAGATGTGCTACATCAGGTCGCCCCATGTGACGAAAAATTCGACCCCGAATTTGTAGTGTCATCGGCTGGAAGGTAAGGAACCAAATGCTTAACATTAAAAACAACTGCCGTAAGAGGAAGATGTAGTCGATAAGCATTATTATTGATCTTCTCCAAGATTTCAAGTGGTCCAACTTTGCGAGATTTGAGCTTGTTATACTGTCCCTGCGGGAAACGATCCTTAGTCAAAACAGCCCACACAAGATTACCAACATTGAATTGGACCTCTCGACGATGAACATCAACAGCAGCCTTATACTTCTCCATAGATTTCTCCAAATTCTCTTTCACTTGATGATGCAAACTCGATATCTCTTCAACCGTATCACAAGCACGAGTGTGAAAGCGAGTTCGGTCTTGTGGCAAAGACAAATCCACAGGAGCACGAGGAGTCACGTCATAAATGACATGGAAAGGACTCATACCTGTATTGCGATTCACGGCATGATTGTGAGCAAATTCAGCTTGACAAATCACCTTGTCCCATGTACGGATGTTATCACCAACCAAGCAACAAAGTAAATCACCTAACGCACGGTTAGTCACCTCCGTTTGTCCATCCGTTTGAGGATGATAAGCGGAACTCATATCCAAAGAGGTCTTTAATAAACGCCACAATGATCGCCAAAAATGACCCAAAAATCTCGAATCTCGATCGCTCACGATGGACATGGGCAAACCATGTAAACGATAAACCTCTCGATACAAAAGACCCGCTACTTGTAATGCATCCGTCGTCTTCTTACATGGAATGAAATGAGCCATCTTCGAAAAACGATCCACTACCACAAATATAGAGTCATGACCTTGTTGTGTGCGAGGCAAGCCGATGACAAAATCCATGCTAATGTCAGTCCATGGTTGAGTAGGAATAGGTAGAGGTAAATACAAACCAGCATTTTTGGCATGTCCCTTATATTTTTGGCAAACACCACAGCGAGCAACATAATGCTCCACATCACGTCGTAAAGACGGCCAAAAGTAGGAGGCGGCCAAGAGCTTGAGAGTACGATCACGACCCACGTGACCTTCATTGTGTAATTCACATATCAACTGAAGTCGCAAGCTACAATCAGGTATGCAAAGCTGGTTGCCCCGAAAAAGAAAACCATCTAACACAAAGTAGTCCGAAAGAACGCCTTCATTAGCATCGATCCAAAGCTTACGGAAAAACGAATCAAGTGAATACAACTCAGGGAGAGTTTCAAAACCCGGAACTGAAACATGTAAGGTTGAGAGGAGAGCATGTCGGCGACTAAGAGCATCCGCAACCTTGTTGAAAGACCTGGCTTTGTGCTTAATCACAAACGTAAACTGTTGGAGATATGAGAACCAAGAAGCATGGCGCGACGAAACCTTATCTTGAGAACTCATATGTTTTAAAGCATCATGATCGGTAAAGAGAACAAACTCTTGATGAAAGAGATAATGTCGCCAATGCTTAATTGCTTGAACCATAGCGTATAACTCCACATCATAAGTACTATAACGACCTCGAGCACCAGCTAACTTCTCGCTAAAGAAAGTAATGGGTCGACCATTCTGACTAAGAACCGCACCAATGCCAAGTTTAGAAGCATCACAATGGAGCTCAAAAGGGGATGAAAAATCGGGAAGCATGATAACTGGAGCTGTCGATAGCTTATGCTTAATGATTGTGAACGCAACTTCAGCCTCTTGCGTCCAAACAAACGGAGTAACGCGGATGCAATCCGTGATTGGTGAAACAATGCTGCTGAAGTGATGAACAAAACGCCTATAAAATGTTGCCAAGCCATGAAAACTACGCACCTTGGTAACAGAACGTGGTGATGGCCAAGATTGTATTGCAGAGACCTTGGCAGGATCCACCTCCAACCCATGCGACGAGACTATGTAGCCGAGAAACAACAGTTGAGGAGTACCAAAAACACACTTCTTAGTCGCAGCAAACAACTTCTCACGGCGAAGAACACTCAAAACATCACGAATATGGCCAAGATGATCAACTAAAGAGGAACTGAAGATCAAGATATCATCGAATTAAACCACCACAAAACGGCCAATAAAGGGACGAAGAGCTTGATTCATGATGCGCATGAATGTTCTAGGTGCATTAGATAAGCCGAAAGGCATATGATAGACCCCTGATTATAGATCGGCACTTTGAAGAAAGTTTGGATGATGGATTGATGGAAAGATGGATTGAAGGGATGATGGAATGATCTTGAATGGATGTGGCGTGATGATGGATGATTGAATGGCTATAACAAGAGATTTGCGGAATGATCTCTCAACACCAATCTTGTTGATCTCAAGGATATTACACACCAAGAGATGGACAAGGCCTAGAACTCCTAAGGATATTACACACCTTAAGAATACTAAGGATTTCTTAGATATAACACACTAAGAGAGGTTTTCTTAGATATAACTCACCAAGAGGGACTTTGATTAAACAAATAGAAAAGGTTTTCATTCAAAAGTAAGTTAAACTCCAAAGGGTTTCGTCCAGCAGAATATAAAGGGAAAAAAGAAGAGAGAAATAAAGAGTCTAGTCTTGGAACAAGCTCCAAACACTATCTCGGAAAAGCAAACATAATTAAAGCAAAGTTTGAACACAAATATGACCATTGATCTTCATGGCCACGTTTTTGGTCTTCTTTATTGATGGGCCTTGGTCTTGATCAGCTAAATGGGTGATTTGTATGACCCATTTGATGATCTCTTGAGCATGGATCAAAAACCAGGGAGGTTTAGGATCATGTTGTCTCCATTTTGGCTCAAAATTAACTCTGGAATGAGTAACCAATTCCATTGGTGCCGCTAAAGCTTCCTCCGCTACAAGCTCCGGTTCAAGCTCATCCTCAGCTACAAGCTTACTTTCCTCACGTTCAAGCTGCTCCACCGGTTCAAGAATTAAGTCCTTAACTCCATCAGGTTCAAGCTTAAGTCCATGCTCCTTGACCTTGGCGCTGGCCATAGTCATATCAGCATAACTAACCATTCAAATAAGCCTTCTCTATTCTTGAATGCTGTTTTCCATTCATCCCCGGGACGTACACGGATTTAATGATAACCACTCTTAAGATCGAGTTTAGTGAAAATCGAAGCACGACCAATTTGATCAAGGAGATCATCAAGGCGGGGAATGGGGAAGCGATAACGAATGGTAACTTTGTTGATAGCTCGACTATCAACGCACATACGCCATGTTTCATCTTTCTTGAGAATGAGTAGTGCCAGTACCGCAGACGACTCATACTTTCTCGCAAATAACCTTTTGCAAGTAACTCTTCTACTTGGCGTCGCAACTCATCATGCTCGGAAGGACTTATACGGTAATGTGGTCGATTAGGGAGGGCGGGATTGGGCACTAGGTCGATACAATGCTGCAAATCACGGAGAGGAGGGAGACCAGCTGGTAAATCTTCTGAAAACACATCAGCAAACTATTGTAAATGATCATGAAACACCGGAGGAGTCTCTGAAACCATAGAAGAAGAAGCAAGAGTAGGAAACAAAGCAAACACAATATCGGCCGAGTGAGTTTCTTCCAAAAACTAAGATTTAGTCAAGAATAAAACCGGCTTAGCTGAAAGCGGTGGCAGTGGCGGCGGAGTAGTAGTCACAACGTCGTCACTGGAAGAGACCGGATCAGATGGATCTTTAGTAGGTAGCAGAGTGATGTGTTTCCCTTCATAAGACAAAGTGTATGTATTGGTGAACCCATCATGCATTGTGCGACGATCATATTGCCAAGGGCGTCCCAAAAGCATATGACAAATGTCCATTGGAATGACATCACAGCAAATCAAATCTCGATAACTTGCACTAATGGAGAACGGAACACGACAACACCTAGAGATTCGTATGTCCGTTTTGGAATTGAGCCAGACGAGCTTATAAGGGCGTGGATGTGATTCCGTGAACAAATACAGCTTGGAAACCACTTCTTCGGAGATAACGTTCGTGCAACTCCTTGAATCCACAAAAAGGCGACAAACCTTACCACGAATGTTGCAAGTAGTTTGAAAAATATTAGAACGTAACCAATGCTATTCCACTTCTCGAGAAGCCAGGAAAAATCCGACATAACACTAATAGAGAACCCACATCACCAGCAACTTGCTCCTCTATAGCATCGGACGTAACCTCCTCATCGTACTCATCATAATCTGGTGCTTCCTCGCCTAAAAGAACACATTTATGACATGTAGATTGACGATGGCCAGAATCACCACAATTGAAGCACTTAAACGTGACTGGTCGAAGAGTCTTCAGAGGCACGGTAGCACTAGACGGATCGGTGATACGTGACGTAGAAGTATGTCCCAAATTCGTGTCTACTCCAACACCGGTAGTGATATCGGCAGGGAACGATGAGCAAGCTCGTGGGTTTGAGCTTGACCAAGAAGAAGAACCCTTCAAATTCTGCTCAATGAGTATGGCGCGTTGATTGGCTTCACAAATCGAATGTGGATTAAACAGCAAGAGTTGATTCTGAATTTGTAACCGCAACCCACCAATAAAGCGAGAAACCAATTGTTCCTCTGTTTCCACGGAAAAATTACGGACCATCATGGAGTAAAAATCAGACCAGTAGTCATCCACTGATCGATTGCCCTGCGTAAATTCTGGAAACGAGTGTACAAAGTACGTTCGTAATTAAACGGTAGGAAAGACTTACGCAAGAGACGTTTTTATTTGTCCCATGACGTAATCCGTCCCTTACCAGAGCGAGCTCTCTGTTCCTTCAGTTGTTGCCACCATGAAGACAATCTTCCTTTGAAACGTGTAGCGACTAAAGCTACGCACATGTTTTCTGGTACTTGCTTGAACTCCAGCAGCTTCTCGATTGAACTTATCCAATCAAGCACCTCCTCGGGTTTTTGAGACCCGTGAAAATCCGGTAAATCTAGTTTGAAACCAGATTCCCATCGATTATTCTCCACTCGTTGAACTTGTAACTCGGCTGGTTGTCGTAACGGTTGCTCTCCAAGTTCTCCAAACGGGTTGTTATCATCCAAATCCTCATCATCATCATCATCACCATCATTGTCGAAAATATGCTCTTGACGGCGAGGGTTTTGTGGCAGTCGTTGTTGCTCTTGAAGCACCACACGAACTGTTGTCTCCACGGTTTCACGAAGCATGTCACGCAGCTCCCGGTGAAAATCCGTCATGATTCCACGAAACGCATATGTCGTCTCCTGCATAAGATACCAACTGTTGCAGTTACGGAGTAGTGTAAACACCAAGCTATTCGATCTTCCGGGATCAGAAGAGCTTAGAGACGAATCTAGCTTGAACTCAAAAGAGATTACAAGAGATATCGATTTATAAAGAGAAGTTCTGTTAAGTTTATTAAAATCAAAGCTGCCTTACAATGGATCTTTAGCTTAGCTATATATAATAAAAGAAGAGGTGTAACACCTTAATCCTATCCTCCTCGAATCTAAAGAAATAAGTAAAACTCAAAAGAAATGGAAACATTACGAAAAGGAAACCGAGAGAAAAGTAAATAATTTGTGGCATACGTAAATGATTAAAGATGTGCTACATCATATAGACAACATCGTCACTGTTGTCACTGACTGTTATTCTACAACCAAATCAAGATTGTCAGCATGAACAGTAGAGGCAATGTTCGATACCAGAGTTTCTGATACAAAATATTTGACCAGAGTTGATGATGGTAGATATATAGGTCATAGTTGTGAATTTCTGAAATCAACATATTTGTGAAACAAACTGTTTAAATAAGACATAAGATCTAAGTAAAACGAACTGCATTCGCTGACATACATCGTTATAGACAATTACCTTATATCTCTACAAATCACACGGAATACAACTATTATAAGTTTTGAATTTGAATAGGAATATGTGCTAAGCGGATTACACCGTATATACTTTTCGACTAAAATATTTATTCATGTTAAAGATGTTTATCATGTCTCATTAAAAAAATTTCCCAATTGAATTACCTCGCATAGATGTGATAAAATCACACGGAATACAACTATTATAAGTTTTGAATTTGAATAGGAATATGTGCTAAGCGGATTACACCGTATATACTTTTCGACTAAAATATTTATTCATGTTAAAGATGTTTATCATGTCTCATTAAAAAAATTTCCCAATTGAATTACCTCGCATAGATGTGATGAAATGGATTTTTATATAGACATTATCCCACACTTGGACGAACAGGAATAGAAATCTCACAAAATAAAATGATGTGAACGTAAATTGATTACAAACACCAGCATTAAGTGCAATCCTATAAGTTAATTCATACATAAAGAATAAATTATCCCTAAAGATGTAAGAAGAAGTAATCAGAGAGTAGAATCACGATTTGATAAGTGATTATATAAATAATAACCGGCAAATAAAAAAAAATCCAAAGTATGAATTTCCCCCCCAAAAAGGATGAAAAATTGTTGAATACCATAGATTTTCCTTAAGGTTTTATTTTTGGGGTTTTGCCCAATTTTTAGAAACCCCCTATCTCCTCCTTTCTTAATGCGATAAAAATTGGCGATCATATATGCTTCCACGGTGTAAACGTTATTCGGTGATGGTTTCTTATGGCGGGATGTCAGCATAAACCTGTTATATTACACGAATGCAAAAATATTAGTACCGAGTTATAGTCCCTGATCTATCAAGCTTTTTGCTAATTCGAGACTTACTTCTCGTTTAATTCTTGAGCCAGAGGAAAACATGGATCAAACTCAAATCTTGACATGCACCTCCATCAGCAACATAATTCTATCCTAAAAATATAACAGAACGCCATTAGTCTAATACAAATTATGGCTAAATCGATGTGCAGCAGCTCTCAGAAAATAGTTTAAAAGGTATATAAACCATACACTTGTTCGAAAGAGCTCTCCGATCTGTTAATTCACATACTACGACAGCATTCGGTATTCTATGGTATAACTCATTGAAATCATTAGCGAGCTTTCCACTTGTAGAACATAGTATTTCACGTTTTATGTGTACAAAATAATTGACCATCAGAACCCTGAAATTCACATATGTTCAGGTAAATACATTTTTTGTTTCTAGAGCACTTACTGAAGATCACGGATCCGAAAATCGATTTTGCATTTCCTTTTGTATCGTCCATTAAAAATTCATCCTCGACGGTCTTAAGATTTCCAATTGTAGAGACCACACCCAATAAATCTATGGTACAAATCATATTTGAAAACGATATTGTTAGTTACACAATAATATTATGAAATTATTGTATTAAATAAATACAGTTTTTGTATAAGAGGGCCTACTGATAGGAAATGTGTAATCAGCACGCAAATTCAGCACCAATGTAAAAGGATGATGTTCAACTACATAATTTGACGTCCTTCTTCGTATGTTTTGGATCTTACTGTTATAATCCATGATAATGCACCATTCGTTAGTTATTGTTCGGTTTCGAACAGGAGAAGTGACGATGGAGAACATGGTTAGACTGTATCATTCTCCTTGCATGATTTGGTCATCAAACATGCAAATACAATCTTTCTTTGTTATGGACGCCTGGATCCTTGTTCCTGATGTGGAGTCAGGTTTTACCAAACTCCTGGATCTCTGCAAGTGCACAGATCGCGGAAGTATGGGTATCGAACCAAGGACTGGCTACTCCTCAGGTTTTACCAAACTCCTAGACCTCTGCAAGTGCACAGATCGCGGAAGTATGGGTATCGAACACAAGGACTGGCTATTGAGTACACTTTGAAACTATGGATTTTGGATCAAGCTAAAACAAAAGTATGGTTTGAGGTTGTAATGGTGAACCGAACTAGCAAGTATAACGAGGTTGTAAATCAATAAAGGAAAAGCGCTAGGTCATAGGGGCTATCGCAGAGAAGCAAGCAATGATCAATGAAACAATGATAGATGAATTGATTAGGGATATTGGGATATTAAGAACCATCTAGAACACAGATCACGAATATAAAACCATTCCACTTTCGAGGCTCCGGCTCCTTTGCTAATCTACCTAGTCGCTAAACTTTTGGTATGTCCCTAGGTGATTAGATCAAGCATTAGAATGAATAGGTTCTGATACAGTTCACTAGATATAGATAGATCAACTTTCGCAGTCTAAGAAACCTAGCTTGTCAAAGAATATGTCCGGCGAATGATACAGCACTGTCGAGGCTCAAATCAACCTAAGATCGGATTACTAGATGCGCGGTAAAGCAATCAGCATTAGTTAAGTGCACAAGACGAGACAAAGACTCTAATATAATCCCTAGCTAATCATTGAAATCAAAGATCATGCAAGCAACTCATTGAATAGTAACCCTAGCAACCTAACTAGTGGATTACTCAGACATGATCAAAGCAAACACACATAGAGATGAAGAAAACATGATTGCAATAAAACTTAGAGTAGGAAATCGAAATACAAGGGCGGCTCTCTTTCACAAGAGGCTAAAAATATATATATAGTGCTAGGTCTTTTAGAGGCGGCTAGGGTTAAGCCGGGCTTGAAAATATGAAAGTTTGGGCTTCAAAAGGGCTTCGGGTCGACCGCGGCGTTGGGACGGTCGGTCGGGACGATCGGCCGGACAGATCGGGTCGTGGCCGAGTCGGAACGGTCGGGCGGACGGATTCGTGGTCGGCCGCGTGGTCGGACGGATGAGATTTGGCCGATGAATTCTCGGCCGGACGCGGGACGTAGTTTCCCGGCTCGGACGCGCATCGGCCGTGGTACGCGAGTGAGGTTGCGCGGCCGCGAGGCTTGTTCCCGGCTCGCGCGCTTTGGTCGTGCGCGGCGTGGCGTGAGCGGTTGTGGCTTGGCCGACCGCGGGCTTAGTTTCCCGGGTCGTGATGCGTGATCGGCCGACGGTTTTGGACTTTGGCCGAGACTTCAGACGGACGGACGAGATTTTGGCCGAGCGGAACATTCGTTCCTCGGCCAGCCGGACTGCGCGGTTGGGCGCTGATTCTCGATAGAGCCGTCTGGACAGTCTTCACTCTTTTGGTTATAACTCCTTTTCTACTCATCCAAATAGGCCGTTCCAGTTGCGTTGGAAAGTTAACTCAATCAGAGCACGCAGGGAACTGGTCTTGATGAAATCCATTGAGTAGATCTTTTTCTGGGCCCTCTTAAAGTTGGTGCTTGTGCATGGAGCGGCTTGAAGTGCAAATCCTATGGTTTTGCTCCAAAATGCATCATTTCACCTGTTTAGACTCTAGACACTATAAACACAGTAAAACTACCTTTTTAGATAGAAAACCTGCCAAAAACCATTAGAAAACAATGCTAAAACAGTATAAAAAGTGGGTAAATTAGAGGTATATCAACTCCCCCAGACTTAGATCTTTGCTTGTCCAAGCAAAAAGAATCTAAATCCGTGAAAGAGGTTTGAAAACGTGGAAGCTCCCTTGCTCTTTTGAATATCCTGTGAAAGGTTCCTTTCCTGTATTCCACTATGAACATAGACAACATAAGGTTAGCTTCACATACACCCTGCAAGTTTAGCGAACAATACCAACCCAACTAGTCTCATCCAGCAATCCAAACTCTCTATTGCTAACCTCTTGCATAAATTTAAAGCGTGAATTCTTTATCAAGGGGACATCGATCAATTGAACTTGTTCTTACCCACTTGATCTCTCCAAGATTGTCTTTAAGTGCAATGAGTTCTTTTCCTCTCTCTTTCTCACATCAGAACTTTGAAAGGTCAATTTCTCCCTACTTTTCTAGGGTATCATTTTATTTTTTCTATTGACCCTTCTTTCAACCACAGGATAAGTCTTTAGCTTGTTCCTTGTTTGACTAAGGTATTCCATAAATTGTTAGCACAACACTCTCAATTCTCAAAGCAAGTTCATAACTTCCGGACTGGTTTTTGACTCAATAAAACTTTTTGAAAAACATGAAACAAAGTGAATAAAACATAAGAAAAGAAAGAAAAATGCATTAGTAACACAATAAAACTCCCCCCAGACTTAACTTGCACCGTCCCGGTGAAAGCAAATCACATTAAGGTGAGAGGTAATATTCAAAGTAAAAGAAAAATAAAGAAAAATTCATTAAAATGAGATAGGGATAGAAAATGGAGATTTGTAAGTGTCCATTGCACTAAAGTACCACTTGAGATGACTATGTGTGGCAGTGAGAAGAACTCTCTTCCTCATCTATGGGGTCATCGCCTTCTGAACCAAGCTCTGAGTCTAGTGAGAACTCACCAAGGTCAGGCTCATATGGCTCTCTAGCGGTGGAAGAAGGGCGAAAGAGTCTCTCCGGTGCAATGTGGCGAACTACACGGACTAGGCGTGAGATGAAGCGAGATTGGCATTCCACTATCTTCTCCAGCTTGTTAACACGGTCTAGAGCTTGGTGCGCAGCCATGCCAGTAGTGAGAACATGGCGTTCTTGGAGGCGGCGTTGAGTCTTGACTGCATGCTGAAGTGTGCGATAGGTGAGCATGGGGAATGATGGTTTCTCACTTGATGGAACATAGAAGTCTTCCTCATTGGGCTGGAAAGTGACAACTCCTGAGCGTAGGCTTGGGATGTCTCATGTGGCAGCAAGACAAGGGAAGTGTTGGCTGGACCAATTGGAAACTCATAGCTGAAGGGCATGGAGATCCAAAGGGGTTGGCTTGGGTAGTGGCTCATAGTTGGGAATGTCAATCCCCACATGTTGTACTATGGCCGTGATAAGCCTCCCAAAACGAACACAAAGCTTCTTGTTGCCTTCCAAGTCTTTAGCTAGCTTCCTCACATTGATGAATGTCTTGGCAAGTAAAAGTCCAAGGTTGGCCTTGTACTCATGCTTGATGAATGGTGTGGTGAGGATGTAGAACTCATCAGTTGTGACCTTGTTGGCTTCTTGTTTGCATTGGAAAGTGGTGGAGATGAGGCGGTGCACATAGCGAATGGCTGGATGAGTGATTCTAGACACCTTTGATCTTGAAGGCAAGAATGGTTCATTGGCAAAGTGTGTCCAATCAGCAAAGGCAGCTTGTTTCCTCTTTGAGTTCTCCTTGAAGTCATGTGCTGTCTCATTGGGAAGTCCAAAGAGTTGGCATAGAGCTGAGATGGAGATGCGCCCATTGGCATCGCCTATCTTGAAGAGTAGGAGTCCATCACCAGCTGGTTGGTCTCCATTGTGGTTGGGAAAGGCAAGAGCTACTGTGGAGAGGAACTCCTTGGTGAGTTGTGAGTACTCACTACACTCTAGCTTGAAGAGCTTGCTCAAGCCTAGCTTCCTTATGTACCATGTGACATCATCTCTTATCTTGAGAAGGTCAAGGGTTTGGGTGTCCATCTTCACACAAGGTTCGATGTTCACCTTCTCCATTGCCTTCTTGCACTTTCTTGGGTCTTGGATTTGTTCTCCAACAAAGGTTACAAGTGCCCAATCATCTTCTCCTCTTGGGACTCTCCACATGTTCTTGATTGCATCAATGGAATGTGGTGAAGTTGGTATTGCTGCTCTTGCATTGGAGCTACTACTCCCTAGCTTGATTTGTTTCTTTGGTGGTTCCATGAATGGGTTCTTCTTCTTCTTCATACTCTCATTTCCTTTTGTCTTTGCCATTGGTACCTACAAGAGCAAATTCTTGGGAAGAAATATGAGTTTGTGATTAATGCAAAAGAAGAATAAGCTAATTGAGTTGTAATAATGATATGGAATAATGGAACAACTCAAGGCTTAATCATGAATCAAAGAGACAAAATGAAATTTCACTTTTTCAAAGTTAATTTTCGGATTTTACTGTTCATCCCAAGATTATGGTGCTTAAAATCAAATTTTCAGCAAATCAAGAGAAATTGAGTTTCTAATCCAAGTAATCACTAGATAAACTAATGAATTGAAGTATGCTAAGCAATTTCACCTTTGAATAAGGGGTTTGGAATGCCCAATAAGTTTTGTGAAAAACTATTCAATTGTGAAATTAAACTTCAAATAACTCTAAACCACCTAGGTTCCACCTAGCAAGTTCATTACAAGACTATAAGGATGTAATTTCAAGTTTAGACAAGAGTTTAGACCAAACATGAAACTTATTGAAATTTTCGATCTTGCATAAACATAGGATTAGAGTTAGAAGACATACCTTGTGTGTTGAAAAGTGAATAAGGTTGCAAGAGCAAGTAAATTCCAATTTAGAGTTATGAACAGTAAAAGTTTTGAAATCAAAACTCTTAGAGTTCCTCTAATGGAGTTTAGGGTTTTGGAGAAGAAAGAGAGGTTCTTGTTGTTTTCAAGGGAAAGGTAAAGTAAATAAGATCTAAATCCTATCAATTTTCCTTTTCAAATTCGAATTTTGATTGAAAACCGGTTTAAGTTGGTTTAGATTGGTTAAAACCGGTTTGAATTAATGAAAAGGGGACTTACCTTGGCCGAGAAAAGTTTTGGCCGATGGCCGATTTTGTCGCGGTCGAGCGATTTGGTCGGCCAAATTCGTTTGGCGAGAGATTTCGGCCGAGGCCGATCGTTGTTTCCCGGATCGACCGGCACGGTCGGTCCGTTCCGATACAAAATTTCGGCCGATCGCGGCCTGTTCTTTCCCGGTTCGTGCGTGCCGCGGAACGGTTTCTGTCGCGCGATAGATAATCCGGCCGAGCACGCTTCCTTCCCGGCTCGACCGTACGGTCGGCCCGATTGGAATTGCTCGGCCAAAATTCACTTTTGCGCGTCCGCGGCCAATGTTTGGCGCGGATTGTGTTTTCACACCTTTTTCTCCTTCTATCCTATCTTAAAACAAAGAAAACACAAAAGCAAAACAAAAACTAAGAAAATTAAAGAAAGAAAAGTAAAAGTACCTCATGGGTTGCCTCCCATGCAGCGCTTGTTTTAAGTCTTTAGCTTGACTGTAAGGCTTGGCGCTCAGGAGAAGATGGAGACAAGAGGCATCTTGATCCTCCAAGTCTTTTCTCCTTGCAATGAGTATCTGGTGGGTGATTCACAGCTGGATAGACAATCTCTCCATGAATGTCCCTTGGCACTACTGCCTTAGGAAAAAGCTTTAGAGTTCTTGTCACTTTCTCCTTGAATCCTTCTAGATTCTCATCAATAAGCTCCTTTGGGAATAGAAGCTTCATGTTGCGGCCAGACCTAGGTTTTCTAACCTTCCTTCTTGGCTTGGCCTCATCTTCAATCTTGGTTGATCCCTTGGGCGGTTTTGGTGTAGGGGCCTTAGTCTTACTCCTTGCTTGTTTGGCAAGCTGCTTGGGCTTAGGAATGGGATCTTCCTTGATTGTTTCTTCAGTTTCTCCTTCTTGGGGTGGCTTCAAAGTAGCTTTCTCCTCTTGGACCATGTCAACAAAAGAGTTCTTTGTTGAACACATAGGGAAGAACATACCCTTGTTCACCTTGTTGAAAGAGATTCTTTGATTGGGGAAATCAAATATGGCACCCACAGTAGACAGGAAAGGGGTTCCAAATATGAGAGGTCTATGGCTACTCTCTCTCATTTCCACAATCTGGAAATCAGTAGGGATAGAGCAATTTCCAATCTGCACCATCACATTAGGCACAAAGCCATAGGGGTTTGTGAGAATGAATCAGCATAGTTGATGGAGATGGATGATGGCTCTATCTTGGTGAGGCCTATCTTGTCAGCTATCCTCTTAGACATGATGTTCACATTGGCTCCTGTGTCACACAAAGATTGCTCAAGAATGTTACCTTTGATGATACAAGGCACAGCAAACTTTCCTGAGTTATCTGTCTTGGGGATAATCTTTGGGAAGAGTCTTCTCTTTCTAGCTCGATTGGACTCTCTCTCTGGGTAATTCTCTTCAGGCCAAATCATGCAATCAACAGTAGGTTTTGAAAGCATCCATTCTGGAACTTGGTCTTCAAATCTTTCTTCTATGGCGGCTGAGTTGCAAAAGGACTTCTTGGATTCAGCTTCCTGTCTCTTAACAGCTTCCATAGTTTGAGTGACTTGAGTCTCTAGTTTCTTCACATGAGTGGCAACAGCATCATACTTGGTGTTGAGATTGCTGAACAAAGTGTCCATCTTCTCATACATCTCTTTAGTGTTTCTCTTCTGGCCATCCATGATCTGTTGGAGGATTCCTTCAAATCTCCCACCTTGTTGGTTTGGAGGAGCTTGATTTGGTGAAGAAGCATATGGCTCCTTGGGCGGATATGATGATCTCTGCTCATATCCTTGCCTTGGCTGAAATTGACTTCCTTGAGATTGGTAAGGAGGTCTTTGTTGTTGTGGATACCTTGGAGGATACACTTGGTCTTGAGGATTCTCCACATTGGGGTTTCTATAAGACATGTTGGGGTTTGGGCGATAGCTTGGATTGTATCCCTTGTTCCCATAGTTTCCAATGTAGTTCACATCTTCTTCATTGGCTTCATTAGAGAAATCTCCCATGCATTCTCTTGATGAATCTTCATTAGCATCACTCATCCCTTCTATTGCATTGATATGCTTGAGCTGTCCCTTAAGAACTTGAGCCATCATGTTCTTGAGTTCAGTCATTTGAAAAGAATCAGGGGAGCTAGTAGTGGTGCGGCTTGAGCGGTCATAATCAGGACAGTTGTTACAATCACTAGCTGCAAGATTCTCAATAACCTTAGCTCCAGTAGGATCTTGTGGATTAGGAGGAGGAGGAGGTGGATCTCTTCCTTCTTCTTGAGCGCGCGCCACTTCAGCGGCGTGAGCGCGAGCTGCTTCGTCGGCCATCTCTTGGGCTTTTTGCTTCCTAAGTTGCTTCTCAGCTTGTCTATCTCTGGATGTTCAACTAGGTTGTCCTTGTTGGACCTCCTAGTCATGCACCTGAAAAGAGTCTAGGAAACAAGTTAAATCAAAAGGGAAAAACAAAAGCAAAAGCAAAAATCAAAGAAAAGAAAATCAAAAACTAAAAATTCAAAAGCAAAAGAAAAGCAAAACAGGAAAGGTTCTAGACTAGATCCTAGTCGAGTTCCAAAGGTACTGCTGCAGTCCCCGGCAACGGCGCCAAAAACTTGATGTGGAGTCAGGTTTTACCAAACTCCTAGACCTCTGCAAGTGCACAGATCGCGGAAGTATGGGTATCGAACACAAGGACTGGCTATTGAGTACACTTTGAAACTATGGATTTTGGATCAAGCTAAAACAAAAGTATGATTGAGGTTGTAATGGTGAACCGAACTAGCAAGTATAACGAGGTTGTAAATCAATAAAGGAAAAGCGCTAGGTCATAGGGGCTATCGCAGAGAAGCAAGCAATGATCAATGAAACAATGATAGATGAATTGATTAGGGATATTGGGATATTAAGAACCGTCTAGAACACAGATCACGAATATAAAACCATTCCACTTTCGAGGCTCCGGCTCCTTTGTTAATCTACCTAGTCGCTAAACTTTTGGTATGTCCCTAGGTGATTAAATCAAGCTTTAGAATGAATAGGTTCTGATACAGTTCACTAGATTATAGTAGATCAACTTTCGCAGTCTAAGAAACCTAGCTTGTCAAAGAATATGTCCGGCGAATGATACAACACTGTCGAGGCTCAAATCAACCTAAGATCGGATTACTAGATGCGCGGTAAAGCAATCAGCATTAGTTAAGTGCACAAGACGAGACAAAGACTCTAATATAATCCCTAGCTAATCATCGAAATCAAAGATCATGCAAGCAACTCATTGAATAGTAACCCTAGCAACCTAACTAGTGGATTACTCAGACATGATCAAAGCAAACACACATAGAGATGAAGAAAACATGATTGCAATAAAACTTAGAGTAGGAAATCGAAATACAAGGGCGGCTCTCTTTTCACAAGAGGCTAAAAAGCTATATATATAGTGCTAGGTCTTTTGAGGCGGCTTAGGGTTAAGCCGGGCCTTGAAAATATGAAATCGGGCTTCAAAACGGGCTTCGGGTCGACCGCGGCGTTCGGACGATCGGCCGGATGATCGGGTCATGGCCGCTCCTAGTACGATCGGAACGGTCGTGGCCGGACGGATGCGTGGTCGGCGTGTGGTCGGACGGATGAAGGCCGATGAATTCTCGGCCGGACGCGGGACGTAGTTCCCGGCTCGGACGGCGCATCGGCCGTGGTACGCGAGAGGTTGCGCGGCCGCGAGGCTTGTTCCCGGCTCGCGCGCTGGTCGTGCGCGGCTGTGGCGTGAGCGGTTGTGGCGTGGCCGACCGCGGGCTTAGTTTCCCGGGTCGTGATTGCGTTCGGCCGAACGGTTTTGGACTTTGGCCGAGACTTCAGACGGACGGACGAGATTCTGGCCGAGCGTGAAACGTTCGTTCCTCGGCCAGCCGGACTGCGCGGTTGGGCGCTGATTCTCGATAGAGCCGTCTGGACAGTCTTCACTCTTTTGGTTATAACTCCTTTTCTACTCATCCAAATTAGGCCATTCCAGTTGCGTTGGAAAGTTAACTCAATCAGAGCACGCAGGGAACTGGTCTTGATGAAATCCATTGAGTAGATCTTTTTCTGGGCCCTCTTAAAGTTGGTGCTTGTGCATGGAGCGGCTTGAAGTGCAAATCCTATGGTTTTGCTCCAAAATGCATCATTTCACCTGTTTAGACTCTAGACACTATAAACACAGTAAAACTACCTTTTTAGATAGAAAACCTGCCAAAAACCATTAGAAAACAATGCTAAAACAGTATAAAAAGCATGTAAAATAGAGGTATATCAGTTCCCTAAATGAGAAGTTCGCTTTCGTATGATATCGATTATGATAAACAATTGATGAGAGATGATTGTAGAGAACGATTGATAGCAGAGTACTCTGTTTAAAATACTTACCACTTAATCGACGAAGATAACATCTAACCCTTCGACACCTCTGGGATCAGCATCAACCCACTTTTTTAAAACCATGACTCTTAAAAAAATCGGATATGGGCTTTTTCATGGTTGTGTTATACGCTGGACAATGTTAGTCCATGTTGGTTTACATCTGGCGTTCGCCGATTGGAGTATTATAACGGTGAAAGCTAGCCTTTTAGTTCTAAGAAGATGATCACGATGACTAACATCTCATCGTCATGAAGACAACATTACAAAATGGATCCGATTACATTGCCAATAATTCAATATGACCGTCATGAAGACAACATTATAAAATGGATCCGATTGAACGATTCTTAGATTATACTCAAGCAATATCTCATCGCTCATTTGTCTCAAGTCAGTGGTTCATCGCTTCCATTCACTTCACTTGCATCTCATCGATCTCATCCATTTGCACGCTCGCATCTAACCACACAATAAATAAAACGTACTACTAACCAAAGGTAAGCATTCAGAGTTTCGATATCGACAAAAACATAGATAGTTCTTCAGCATAAAATAGAACATTTAAAAAACATTTTCCTCATAGTAAGGTTTCATAAAAATAGTTAGACATATAATGTAGACTTCAAACTTTGTCAGACTTTTTAGAAGAACTTGATCCCTTGTGGTAACCGATTTTGCAGCATTCCATCTCATCTTTCTCCATTTCCTCATCTTCTCCTTCTTCGCTAGATTCAAAGGCACTAAAGCTGAAGAGGAAAACGTTATTTATGTTATGCTATAGCAGGAAATCATGAGACAAACAAAAAGTTAATATCCAAACGGCAATGAGATCGTCCTACTACTTACAAAATCTGGGCGAAATTATAAACCTCATCGTAGCCCTTTGGATCGTAATGAAACTTCGAGATTCCTTCTTCATCTTCGACATGAATAGGACCTAAAAATTTAATATTCACATGTCAAAACAGAATAATTTACAATTAGCAGAGTTATAGCAATAAAAGTTTCTGATTTTTCATGAACATCTGACCTTCTGAGGAAACAATGCTCCAATCAGTTAGCAGGCATACGATATGGTCTCTCTTCTACCAAAGCAAAGCCAGTAATTTTTGAATTTTGCTCTTAAGGCACCTTTAGCACGACATAAAAGTTCACTCCCACTACAATAGAGTTATATATATCTCTTAAAGTCAAAATTCAGAATCACATTATCATAGTAGAGAATTTTATGTTTAATGTCTTCATATACTTACTTGTAGTTGTGTAGGATAAAGTCAATCATGTTAGTGGTCTTAGGAACATCGTTAAATGGATTCCTGGGCATAGATTCATCTTTGGCAAGCGTAACATCTTCAACGGAAAATATTATTCCCACAAAGTCTTTTAATAAAAAGAACAACGAAACACAATCAGAACATATAAGGAAATGAAATATCATTTAGGTTCAATTATCTTTAAAACAAAATATAACCTCTAAGGTAAGAAGTTCCATCATAAACAGATCCGTCCCAAACATCTCCAAATGAAACTATATCAAGCAGATTCAAAGCACCCGAGTTCTCAGCGGGTATGACTTGGGTGTTTGACATCAGAGCAATCTTTCTTCTGGATCTCGTCAGACGAATCTCTGTATCAACCATGGATACTGAGACATTCGTTATAATTTTCCATTCTCCTTCGTGAAGTAGCCTCTTAAACCTTATCATCTGATCTCGTTCCTCGACAAACGCATGCATCTTTGTACCCTGTTCGATATACCAACATCAGTTAGAAAGATCATTTTGAAACATGATGAATTCATATAACATCATCTATAAGAAATTGATCACAAACCTCAGCATCAACAAAAAGGAAGCTTAACCCTTCACCTGCATCTAAACCGAAATCCACCAAAGCACAAATAAAGATAACACATATACAGATAATGAAGATAACGTTTTAGTAATCAAAACAGCTACACATCGATATACAAAACTAAATACAGTTTTTTGATATATTATATTTAGACCGAATACATTTGCACAGCCATTAAGGATTTCAGAAACGAACCCACAAACTGAACAACATGATTCTCCAAAACCCAATAGCTCTCCGAACAATCCCAAACAAAACTGCGTCGAACACATTTACCTGATCACAAGAACACTATCAGCAACATCATGAAAACACTTGCAACCAATAAATACACATTATACTATTTAAATAACGCGATACCAACAAATGTACATGAATAAATACCGACCTTCGCTGGACACTGGCAGCTGCGAAGAAGTCGAGTTATCTAAATTAGAAGCTAAAGTAGATGCTGTAAAACAAAAATTGTCAATATTTAAAACAGAAGAGCTATAACCATCACCTCCAAATTCAATAAAACAATATGACGAACCTTTAATTATTGATAATCGCTGAAACCCTGACATAATTTTGGATGCTGCCAGTTAAGAAAAAAACAATATTTAAAAATTTCAGATCAAACGGTAATATGTTAAAATAACACTAACAGAAAGATTAATACCTGTTTTGTTCGTTAGGTCGAACAACATATTATATCCGCGGTTATCGATATCAGATTCCGTGCGATAAAATCATAGTTTCCGATTAGACAGAACTGCAAAAATATTACCACGAAGATCCCATCCGTCGTAAAAGCGCGAATTCAATAGACTCTTGCCGAATCCTACATCAGAACGGTAATCAATATATATACAAAGTCATACATGAGAAACGGTAAACAGCTAATATAATGAAAAACGATGTACCTATTGACACGTCATTAAGTTAACACGTTAGCATAACCTTGCCCAGAAGGAATCCAAGACCCAAGGAAAAGGTTACTAAACCTGTGTCCTTCCAACGATACATCAGAAAGGGTAGAGTCTAGAGAGCTATAAAAATATATAATTCATTAGCTCAGATTAACTTAAGAGTATTATCTCAAGCCTCTGAACGAATGATACTTTTTAATTATTTATAGCACTATATAAATCGAGTTTTGATATTAAAATGTTAACTATGAGATAAAGATGGAAGAAAGATATTATTTGTATCTATCACCCATCCGATGCATGCAATTATCTCTTAAATTAAGCCATGAACAAATTACAAAAATAAATTTATCAAATAGAAAAATCATAATTATATTGGTTATAATCACGATATATAACAAACAGGAAAATATCCTCTTCTCGGTTTTACTTATTTAGGGCTAATCTAGAATCATCGCAATACAAAGATTACAAAAGTCTGTAGTACAAAGACATATTCTGTCTCACATCCGGTTTATAACAATTAAACGGGCTTTAAAGCCCATAACGAATATCGCCACCGACGATTATCTGGTTAAATCATAATGGCCAGTTTTAAATTACGGAAAAGTAAATATTTCAATGAGATACACGGTATAAAGTAATTATACCAATGAAATGGTAAAACTATAATTTCCGAATCATATAAAACAATAGAAAATTCAGAAACATCTATACATCAAGAAACAGGGTGTCTATAACGAAATAGTAAAACTATGAACTCTTCTAATCATATACCAATACGAAATAATACTAATTAAGTTTTTGGACATATGTACTTTTTTTTTTTGGTTTTAAAAATATAAAAAATATCGCGCTTGTGAACTAACATTTACCAACAAAACCGCAGTTTTAATATAAACATTTTAGATTTAGATAAGTACGAAATGTATAAGACAAAGGTGGTGGTACCATAGCAGTAATTACAGAAACTAAACACATAACAATAAATGTCCGACGATAAAAGAAAACAACATTCTGAAACATCTCAATATCAGGAAAGCAGAATGTCCATAGCCGGTTTGGTTCTTCAGATTCTCTCACTGAAATAGCTAGTCGCTACGTGGAGAACCATCACAATCGCTCATACATTCGTCGGTAGTCCTCCACCTGTTAACATTAGTAAAATTTATATCATGTTTATCTAAGAACATCAACATTATTTTTCATAAAGCTAAAAACAGAGCCGTTAAAGGGTCAGAAAAACTAACGTTTCCTCGACGAATCTGTACGCATCGAGATTCACACTCCACTGTGGATTGAATTCGAATGATGAAATCTTCCCAGCATTTTCAACGTTTATCCTGTCTACTACATCAGAGACAAAATATTCGTCACTATTACTTTTGATTATGTGGGATAATATTTTGCAATGAACATAACAATATATTTAATTTATGTCTCTATATATTGGTTTGTATAATTACCATGGTGATCGCTGATTCTCCAATTGTGTAAAACACAGACAGAATCCAGATGGCGGTCGTGGAGCCATCTCTCGTAAAACATATCTGCAAGCTCTCCTTTAACACGGCACATGATCTCTTTTTCCCTAAGTTTTATCATAGAAAGTATATAGGGGTTTACGAAACCAATATATTTGGAACGTAAGCGTATCAACAAAATAAATAAAGATATACCACTTACTCATTGTCCGTAAGTCTAAAATCAACATAAGATGTCAACTTTGGCGATCTGTTTCCATCAGCACAGATGATGCAATTATCGATCATGATGTATAGACTTTTGACATAATTTATCCTGCCTATAAAGTCTGAAGAATACTGGTAGTTTATAATAAGAAAAAAAACGAAAAAGGAGTATATATTAATGAAATTGATATGAATATAACATGTACTGACCAACAGTGTAAGATTCCCAGATTTCGGTGGTACGGTCGAAAACGTCTGCAAACCTGACCAAATCCATCAGTTGATATGCATGTGGATCAACACCTGGGGAGACTCCGGTTCTATCTATGAGGACAATTCTCGCTTCGATCTTAGTCAAGCGTCTCTGAGGTTGGTCAATCAGAACCGTGAAGTTACGAATGACCTTCCAGCAATGAAGATTTAAAGATCGTTCGAATCTCTCTCTCCTAAGAGAGTCACTGATGGATGCTTTTTCCCCTAAATTCGAGAGAAAACGAAGTTCATTTCCTATCCATTTCTGTATATCTATTGAAAATCTTAAAACAACTTCATGAATGGACATACCTCTGCATCTATGAGTAGGAAATTCAAATTAACCAATCCGTCAGACTCAAACGACTCTCATGTCTTAGCCACCTTCACACATATGCACCGGTTCGTCCTTTCCGATGCCAGATCGCCAACTTTGTCAAACGCTGCCATCGCAGTATCTATTTGAGTTCTGGAAAGAGAATAATGCAATGCCTCTCCGTTTTTGAAATGTTGGTGTGGAAAAAGAAGGTTTTTAATGGTGTGTTTATTAATGACCATGATTTTATGATATTAAGTGCGTAAAGTAAAACGAAAAGTTTCAAAAGAGGAGTTGCTATTTGTAAATGAAATCGGTTCAAATAAAAACCGCTAATTGGTTAGCTATTTTCATGTCAGACTGCTCAGCGAATATATCTACTTTCCATGAAACTTTTGCTGTTCGATTTAATTCGACGGTTGTGATGACTTTATATTTAAAAAGAAATTTACATTAAATGGTAAATGTTTGGCTGAAATTGAACTCTAACGCATATCATCTCACTGTGTAATATATTGATGTTTAATTGTTTGTTTACAAAGTGTCCCTTAAGTCTAATCACAATGAGAACGTTAAACACCTCTAAACGTACATATGTATGTATAAACATCAATAAACCTAACATCTTCAAGCTCGCCAAAAGGCTTATAGCATCGATCAGAAAAGAGTATAGTTAAATGCGATATCGTCTTCAGTTAAAGAGAGAATTCAGAAAACATATTACACATTGTACATTCATTAATCTATTATTATTATACACTCCAAACTTAGTCTCGATTAAATACATTGTAAGAAAGCAGACTATAGATTGACCACTCTTGTAAATAAACAGGCTCCTGACATAGGACAAATAGTAAATCATCTGGAGATGCTGCAAAGCCTAGGTCTCTGAGTCTCGCAATACACTATAATAAAGATTGTAGCAGTAGAGATCTTGACGTGTTGAAAACATTAAACTTGTGTCTCAAATATCCAAAAGATCACAAACTGAAAGGTAGGAAATACCAATTCCTTATCCGGAATAAAACAGAGTTAAAAGACGCTACATACTACATATTCTTTTGATAATCAATAATTATGAAATCAGAACGAAAACCTCAGACAAGAGAAGGTCCGGCATGAAAATCTCCAGCACCAGATGGTCCTGTACAGAAATAATTCCACCAGATCAGCTTCCCCAGGAGTTGCTAGTTGAAGAATCAATCCTCTTCTCCATTCTGACGACTCATCCTCTTCATCAAAACTGATACATGAGAACGTGTTATGAGAAAATATAATCATCGATGACCAACGGATATACTACTCGCGATTTATCCATACACATAACCGAAAAGAGAAATCGGAACATCGACACTATAAGTCAGAATGTGTAAATATAAATATACATATACATATGTACAAAAAAATAGATGCCATAAAAAATCAGAATATTCACCGGCCAAAACTAAAGCAACAGCGATATAATATTATCGATATGTAAGATGCTCAAAGTGCACACCACAATATCAATATATGGTTTAACCGCTATCGAAAATAAGCAGGCTCATAAGAAAGAAGAAATACAAAACCCTTTACGATGAGGAAAGAGAAAACATCAAAGAGGTTATATGTTTTATTACAAAGAACTTCGCAATAATGATATGTGTTGTAACATCCGTAGCCCTCGTTGGTGAGTTTTAGAAGTTGGGTTGCAGTGTTGCGTCGGTCGACGCAAGAATTTTAAAATCGGACCCGGTTCAATTTAAGTCAATTGGGCCCGGTTTAGCCTGGTTTGGGTCTGGAAACCCTATTTTTGAGTTAAAAGTCGTGGAGCAGCCTTCTTTTGGTTGTTTAGCGGCTCAGAAACTTGAGAAAAGAAGAAGAGAGGTGATTGTGGTGATTGGGAGGTGTCTTGAGCGAATCTGTCGTGATTTGTGGCTGTTTTTCACTGCTTCTTCTCCTTTTCCTTGTTCAATCTATTGTCAAGGTAAGTGCATGACTATAGGTCTGCAAATCACTAGATTTGGATTGATTGAATGTTGTTCTTGAGGTGTTCTTATGATATGAGGTTTATGTATTGATGTTTGGATGATTTATGTGTTAATTCTGTGTTTCTGCGTGATTTGTTGATATTTCTGTCGACCTGACGGACGCAAAGTGGCTTGCGTCTGGCGACGCAGCCGGTTCAATTTGGTTCAATTTGGTTCAATTGAAAATTGATTTCTGGTTTAATTCAAATTAAATTAATTCCTGGTTTTGTCTGGTTAATTGGTATTTTTGGATTTAATTAATGAATGAGTAATTTAATTAATTAATTGGCTTTAAAATATGGAAAATTATTATTTAATTATGAGAATCTTATATATAATGAGAGGATAACTCTCTCCAGTTGAGTGACACCTGCATCTCTTCATAAAAAAAAAAAAACACAAATGTTTTTAACTCTTCATCTTTAAGACTGAGTATGAGTCGGGTACCCGGGACTTTTGCCTTACCCACGACCCGACCCGCCTTAACCAAGTATAAAACATAAATTTTTAATTTTGTTTTGGGCTTAGAATTCTATTCCCAAAAGTAATGGGCATTAGAATTTAGTCCAATATAGTGCAAATGAAAGGAAGTCACATTTCCTATTTATAAAGAAAAAGTTAGCTTCTATTGTGTGTATGTTTCGATGTGGGACAAAATAAAAAAAGGGAAGGAATACAGATTTTTGTCCCACATCATTTGTATCATTAACAGAAAGTTTCAATCACTACTATAAATATACATCTTTAAAAACAAGTCGTATCATGTTTTCAAATCTTTGAATAAATAGAAAAAAAAAAAGAAAAAAATTATTTGTTTAAAGAACTGAACGGGACCCACATTCCAAAGACAAAGAACACAAAGGCGGACAAAAATTCAGTTCCACCGGTTTTGCTTCCCGAACCGTTTTAGGAACTTAGGCTGTTGTAAAAAAAAAGAAAAAAAAAAGAAAAAAGAATTGAACGGGTCACTCTCACGGGTCAAATAGTTAAATTTTTTATCTACTTGGTGTTAGCTTTGATGGGTTCTTGTGTTTTAGTGATGCTGATCAAAGGTGAAGACGTTTATTTAATGAATCAAAATTATGGTGAAATCTGGGTCTGTCGTTAAGCAGGAAGAAGACAACAGCTACGACAACGTCACTCAAAATTTTGCAAATTGTATCAGAGTGACGGAAGCAAGTTTGCAAATTTTCTGGATCTGGGGAGACGGAACGAAGAGGGAAGAAGAATGGTAGAACTCGAGGAAGATGAAACGTTCTTGACTTCAATGCAAATTACGTAAAACAAATTTTTTTTGACCTTTTTTTTCTTAAGTGGACAGGTGTTCTTCTCTTAAATTCCATAATTTGTTGTTATTGGTGGAATATCCACCGTTTGGTCTACCGATGTAGCCGGACTTGTGATGTTCGACGTCCATATCTACGTGGCAAAGACACGAGAGAGTTTTTTGGTTTCTTCTGTACTTTTGTTCTTTGCTTGTTTGGAGAGAGATAAGTGTAAGATAAATTAGATGCACATTGTCTATATATATATATATATATATATATATATGGAAATGCCATTGTAATATATGAAGATGACGCCATAAGTAAAAATGTATTAACTATATGATGTTACATTAGAACGTTTTATAATGCTTATACAATAATCATACATAGCTCATATTTCAACTTTTATATTCTTATTTTTCATTCAATTTGGATGCAAGTAATATGAGATCCGATTGAAATTGACCAGAAAATATCTTTTTGAAAAATTATATTAGAAATCTTATTAAAAAATATATTTATAATGTCATAATAATCCATAATTCGGATAATATGGGGTATCTGATTTCATTCAGCTATTACCTAATTTCCATGGGTATCAAATATTTATTTAATGAGTGATTTACTATATACCTAAAATCAATTGGGTAAGAGTATTTTGGGTCTGTATGGTTCAAATTTTTAGGTATAGGTTAAAAGTCTTAGGCAAGAAGCAATATACATTTATATTTCTACCGCGTTAACATATTTGAAAAAATATAAGAGAAAATATTTACAAAATTTAAATGACAATTAAAATATAAGTAACAAAACCGCGCATCGCACGGGCTTAGCCCTCGTTATTTAATAATTGAGAAATGAAGTTTTAATTATGAGAATTATTTAATAATTGAGAAATGAAGTTTTAATTATGGAGAATTATTTAATAATTGGAAAATGGAATTTAATAACTATTGGAGGTTTTAAATATTATTAAATGTCTAGTAAATTGCATAAATGGCGTGTAGGCAGAGTGATTGCCTCACTAAGTATTTATTTAATATTTATGTAACTCCATTCCAATGTGTTGCATGTAAAAGGTTCTTGTGATCGCGGAGTCGAGGCTGAAGAGGGGATGATAGAATTTATTTATTTGCATTGTTTTGTTAGACTTTGTTAATAATTTATTTGCTTCCGCGGAATTGAATTATTTGTTTTGATATATATATTTTAATGGTTATTTATTTTAAAGACCTTCGCTAGAATTGTTTAGTATTTATTTTATTTTTTTTAAAGTGTTGGTTGTTTCATGTGTAAAATATAAACACCATAGCGAGAACTTACAATACTACCTAGTAAACTGCAACATTAACCTGTACACAGGTCAAATAATCACAGTTAGATTTATGTGTAGGCAGACAAAACTCAAACATATGCGAAAACCATGATAGAATATGAAAACAAAAAAAATATCAATCCCGATACAGGTCAGAACTGAAACATAAAACCTATAAATGATATGAGAAAAAAGAGAAACATCCGCAGAAACCACGCTATAAGAATGTATACACAATATGAGAAGCCAATACGTCTATCGAATAAACCTAAAACAGAATATCAAAAGAGCATACACAATATGAGAAATACACCAGTGTTTAATATGAAAAAATAAATTCAATCTATCGATACACCGCACTCCCAAGAAATTGATCGGGTTCACAAAAAGAAAGAATACACGAATCCTTTGATAGTCCTGCAAGAAAATCATAGACGTTAAATAATATTCTTATCAGAACTAACAAATATATCAAAACGATATGACGAAAAATGAAACGATGTTGCACAAATCTTACATAAGGAACGCGACAAAACATCCTAGCAACTGTGACTTCGACCTGGCCAGAGAGAAGACAGACGTTATTAGTTTCGGGCGAAATAAAAACTAAAATATCAACATATGCGGAAAGCATAAATAACATGACACCATAAATCTATGCAAAACAGAACCAGCACAAAACGAAACAAACCATTGATAAATCCCTTGTTGAGAATCGACACTTTGAAGCAAGTAGAGGTTGGATTGAAGCGATGGAGTGATTGGAGTCAAAGGACTTGGCGGAATGGATAGAAATGATGGAATGGTGAATTGATTGATGGAAGATGATAGATGAGGATGGATTGAATGGCTATACCAGAGATCCAATGGAAAGGAATCTCCAACACCACCTCTAAAGTAGTTGATACAACAACTCACAACTAATCTAAAGGGATTTCTCGGATTTAACACACCAAGAGAAAGGGTTCTTAGAATCACACTAAGAGATCTTTGAATAAACAAAGGAAAAGGGTTTTTCATTCAAGGTTGCATAAACTGAAAGGGAGATTCGTCCAGAACATATAAAGGAGAGAAGAGAAGAGAGAGAAGAGATGAGTCAATGGAACAGGCTCCATGACCATCTCGGAAACACACAAAACATTAAAGACAAAGTTTGAATAAAAAGAGACCCTTCAGTGCCCTGGGCGGCAAGACTTAAGTTGAAGAAGGGAAATGGGCCGGACCCAAACAACATGAGACAAAGAAGGGATGGGAAGTGGACTTTAGGCCTCGTTAAAAACCTGCCAAGGAAAACCCAAAGGGACAAAACCTTGGCAGGGAAAAAGAGCACACTAAAATCCACTTGCTTCTTTATCCCAAGTGTTGGGCTCTCAAACAAACCAAAGTGGAATGTTTAAGCTCCTGATCATGCCGACTCAAACGGCTAAGTACTCTTCCAATGTCTTGGTTGAGCATCTTAGTCTGGGACCTTGTGATGGGACCAGTTGGTAAGGCCAAGGCTTCCAAAGCTTCCTCAGGTTCAAGCTGCTCCTCCTCTGCTACAAGCTCTCCAGCTGCTTCCTGGTCCAAGTTCCCAGCAACCTCCTCCATGATCATATCATCCCCTCCCTCTTGAAAAGGATTTGTCCTCAAATCTGGTTCATCTGCAAGAAAAGGAGAAAGATCAGTAACATTAAAACTGAACTTATGTTATACTTACCTTGGAGATCAATTTGGTAGGAGTTGTTGTTGATTCTTCTGGTGATCTCAAATGGTCCATCTATCCTTGGCATAAGTTTGGATTTGCGCTCGGCCGGAAACCTCTCTTTGCGCAGATGGATCCAAACCTTGTCTCCCACTTCAAAGACCATTTCTTTCGGCCCTTGTTGGCATGTTGAGCATACTGCTTGGTTTTGGCCTCAATGTTCCTTCTAGCTTGCTCATGGATCCTCTTGACTGTCTCTGCCTTATGCTTTCCATCTGTGCTTAATCTTTCACTCAAAGGCAAAGGCATCAAATCCAAAGGAGAGATGGGCTTAAACCCATAAACAATTTCAAATGGAGAAAACTTAGAAGCAGAATGCACAGCATGGTTATATGCAAACTCAATATGTGGCAAACAATCATCCCAGCTTTTAAGATTCTTTTTAATCAAGGCGCGCAACAAAGTTCCAAGAGTCCTATTAACAACTTCAGTTTGGCCATCAGTTTGAGGGTGACAAGTAGTAGAAAATAAAAGCTTAGTACCCAACTTAGACCACAAAGTTTTCCAAAAATAACTCAGGAACTTTGTATCACGATCAGAGAAAATGGTGCGCGGCATGCCATGCAATCTAACAATCTCTTTAAAGAACAGAGCAGCTACATGAGATGCATCATCAGTTTTACGACATGCCACAAAATGAGCCATTTTTGAGAACCTATCAACTATCACAAAGATAGAATCTTTTCCAGTTCTAGTCCTAGGCAATCCAAGCACAAAATCCATGGATATATCAGTCCAGGGATGAGATGGAATAGGGAGAGGAGTGTACAAACCGTGAGGTTGAACCTTAGATTTGGATTGTTTACAAGTTGCACATCTAGAACAAATCCTCTCCACATCTCTGATCATGTGCGGCCAATGAAAATGATCCCTCATGACTTGAAGTGTTTTGGCCACACCAAAGTGTCCCATCAAGCCTCCTCCATGTGCCTCCCTGACAAACAAGTCCCTCAAAGAACAATTAGGCACACAAAGGCGGTTCTCATAGAAGAGAAACCCATCTTGTCTAAAGTATCGGCCAAAAGCAAATTTAGAACAAGACTTGTAAATCTCAGCAAAATCAGAATCAGAATCATACAAGTCTTTTATCTGTTCAAAGCCCAAGAGTTTAGCATCAAGAGTTGAGAGAAGAGTGTACCTCCTGGACAATGCGTCGGCTACAACATTGTCCTTACCTTTTTTGTACTTGATGACATATGGGAATGTCTCAATGAATTCAACCCACCTGGCATGCCTTTTGTTGAGCTTTTTGGCCCTTGAGATGTTTGAGAGATTCATGGTCTGTGGATGACAAACTCCTTTGGCCAGAGTAGTGTTGCCAATGTTGCCAAGGCATAGAGTTTTGTCATAGGTTGGATAGTTGAGAGTGGCTCCTCCAAGCTTTTCACTAAAGAAAGCAATTGGCTTCTTATCCTGCATCAAGACAGCTCCTATGCCAATACCTGAAGCATCACACTCAATCTCAAAAGTTTTCAAAAGTCAGGTAAAATAAGAACAGGGGCATTAGTCAAGCGATCCTTGAGAGCTTGGAAAGCATCCTCCTGTGCTTTCTCCCACTTGAATCCAACTTCTTTCTTGATGACTTCAGTTAGAGGTGCGGCCAAGGTACTAAAATCACGGACAAACCGCCTATAGAACCCAGCTAGGCCATGGAAGCTTCTGACTTCACTCACTGTCTTAGGGCTCGGCCATTCTCTAATGGCTGCAACTTTCTCTTCATCCACCTTGACTCCATCTGCACTCACAACAAAGCCTAGAAAAACCACATTATCTGTGCAAAAAGTACATTTCTTAAGATTGGCAAACAATTTTTCTTTTCTCAGCACAGACATAACAGATGCAAGGTGATCTAGATGCTCTTCAAAGTTCTTGCTGTAAATCAAAAGTCATCAAAGTAAACCACAACAAAATGACCAATGAAGTTTCTCAAGATATGATTCATCAGGCGCATGAATGTACTAGGTGCTGATGTACTTGCATTTTACATAGTTTTAGTACATCTTTTATGCATCTTTTGCATAGTTTTAGCATCCATTAGCATCATATCTTGTTCCTTTTCTCTTCTTATGCATTCATGTAGTTTTAGGTTGCATTTGCATACATATGCATGTTTGGTCCTTTGAAATAGGTCTTTTGGAGCATTCTGGAGCATATGGGACGTGAGGAGCATGGAGGGACTTGGCATGGACGCAGCTCAACTGGATACGCAAAGGAAGAAGGAAGCCATCTTGAAGACCAGCTCGACCACCACTCGACCAACGGTCGAGTTCCTCAACTCGGCCAAGCTTCAACTCGATCGAGCTGGAAGTCAAAGTCAAACCCGAAAAATGTTGCTTCCCCCTTGACTTTCCTTTGACCCTAAACCTAATCCTCTTGTATTTAAAGGCTAAAAGCCACGAAAAAACCACCAAGCTTTAGATTACTTTTGTTTTAGTTTCTTTTAATTTATTGTCTTTTACTTTTTAGAGCTCTAATCCCATCTTTGTGTTCTTGAAGCTCTTGCTTCTTGAATCCTAGATCCTGGATAATCTCTTTGTATTTGCACTTGCTTATTTCAATAAAAGTTGTTTAATTTCATCTCCTCTTTCTTATGATGTCTTTTTCATTGCATTTGTTTACATTCATGTGTAGTGAGTAGTTACCCATTAGGGTTTGAGATGGGATAGATTAGAGGTTTCATATGCTTAATCCTTCTAGCTTATGGTCTTAATCTAGATTCTCTCTCTTTTGGATAGATCTTAAGGCTACATGACCACTACCCCTGGCTTGTAAGTCCTTAGGCGATTCTCCACATGGAAGTGATGGAAATTCGCTGGAAAAGATCCACTAAGAGCTCCAATATCTCTTGCTCTAGAAATAGAGGTCTAAGGGGTTGGATGGATTAGTTTGGGCAATGATCCTATGGCCTCCAAGGTTTGATTCTCACTGGCTAACCCCCTGTTTCTGAGATCATTCCTTGGTTGATAGCCTCCACCTTGGGAAAGGGTTGGCTAGGCATTGAGAAGCCCAATATCAAGAGAAGCCTTGATACAAGGAGTTTTAAGAGCTAGATGATTAAGTGTAGATTCCTTTGATTGCAAAACCCTGTCTTGAACCCTAATTCTCTCTTAGCTTGTTAAAGTCGCTGCCTTTAGCTTTTTCTCAACTCGACCCTAAACTCGATCGAGCTGGTACTCTGTTCCACTCGACTCGAGTCCTTGGTCGAGCTGTTGCTTACTGCTTTTTTACTTTTATTGCATGCATTTCATTTTTTAGGTTGTTAGTGTTACTTCAAATCTATACTGCTTGCTTGACTTCCTGGTTGTTTCATATTCTCATAGAGTGACAAGTTTCCCATTTTGGATTGATAACCCTTTGCTATAATGACTATCATGGTTAAAGGGAATTGTTGACTGTGTTTGTGTTTGCATCTTACCACCTCATCATATACCACTGTTGCATTCCACCACATCTCATTTCATATCTTTCACATCCACACACAAATCCTATCATCAATTTGGCGCCGTTGCCGATTTGGGATATTTTTGTTGCATTTGAGTTTCAAACACACTTGGACGATCAAGCTATACCACCCCTGTTCTATTGTACTGCTGGGTTTTTGTCTCTTTTTGCAGGTGTATGCGAACTCGATCGAGTCGGTCTACAGAAGACTTGGTCGAGCTAGACTTACAACGGGTAGAAAGAGGGTTCAGAGGTCACAGAGGGTACAAGAGGAACCTGAGGTGCTTGTTGCTGATACAATGGATGTACCAGAGGGGAATGGAAACCCTTTGGGCAATGGACTCGGTCGAGCTAGGCAAACTCGACCGATTGGTCAAGGAGATGCTCCAAACCGCCACCAACAGAGACAAGGGATTGTTCCACCACCAGTGCAGAACCACAACTTTGAGATCAAGCTGGGAATGATCAACCTTGTCCAGAACAAGATGTTCCATGGATTGCCAAGTGAAGACCCCATTGACCACCTTGATGAGTTTGATAGGCTTTGTGATTTGACAAAGATCAATGGTGTCTCTGAAGATGCCATCAAGCTGAGACTCTTTCCTATGTCTCTAGCTGACAAAGCTCACCAATGGGAGAAGAGCTTGCCCCATGGCACAATCACCACTTGGGATGAATGCAAGAAGGCCTTTCTTGCTAAGTTTTTCTCCACCGGTCGCACAGCCAAGCTTAGAGGAGAGATATCCAGCTTCATCCAGCGAAACAATGAGACATTCGCAGAGGCTTGGGAGAGGTTCAAAGGCTACACAAGTCAGTGCCCACACCATGGATTCAACAATGAATCACTACTCTCACTCTTTATAGAGGATGCTTGCAAGGTATAGAGAGATGTTGGACACAGCCAGCAATGGGAACTTCCTCAACCAGGATGTGGATGATGGCTGGCAGCTTGTGGAGAACATGGCCATATCAACAGAATGCTATGGAGAGCATTATGAAGTACAGACTGGAGCTCGACCGCGCACTCGATCGAGCTGGAGCACAGATGAGAAAAGACATGCTTGCACTCAACTCGAAGTTGGACAAACTGATCCTAGCCCAATTCCCTGCCAAGCATGTCAATTATGTCTCAGAACAAATTAGTGGCAAGTCTTCAAAAACAGGAGGGGAGGAGACATGAGGTTGCTATTCAAAATAGACAAGCTATAGGAATCCTCAACAAGGGAATAAGTTATCCCCTGGCCGCAACAACAAAGTGTTCCACAAGGCTTTCAACCAAAGGACTACTCATACCCAACCCAAGATTGGGATATGAAGGAAATGCTCCAACAACTTTACAAGGGCAAGCCAAAGGTTCTCTGGAAATGAACAACAAGCTGGTTGAGATACACTCTAAACTAGAGTCATTGACTTCAAGAGTCCAAATCATTGAGTCTTCAAGTGCATCATCCTCTTCACCACAAGAGTATGCCCAAGCAGTTACACTAAGAAGTGGGGAGGCAATTCCCGAGTAGAGGTATCGAGCTGAGAAAGAGCAGACAAAGCAACTCCAGCCAACCACTAAACCTGTTGAAAGAAGAAAGACACTCCATCAGGACCACCACCATACAAACCCCCTCTACCCTTTCCAGGAAGGTTCAAGAAACAACTGTTGGAAGCACACAAGGCCAAGTTTGATGAACTAATGAGACAACTTGAGCTGAAGTTGCCTTTCATCGACGCCTTGATGCTCATTCCACCTTATCAGAAATTTCTGAAGGATGCTGTTCAGCAAAGAACCAGGGAAGCACAAGGGATGGTAGTGTTGACTCGTGAGTGCAGTGCAATCATTCAGCGGAAGGTCATCTCCGACAAAAAGGAAGATCCGGGGAGTTTCACTTTGCCTGCATGTTGGGACCCCTATCTTTCAAAAACAGCCTCTGCGATCTAGGATCATCTGTCAGCCTCATGCCTTTGTCTGTAGCAAAGAGACTGGGATATCACAAGTATCAAGCCTGCGGAATCTCACTAGTCTTGGCAGATAGATCGATAAGGTTACCAACTGGGAATGCTTGAAGACCTGCCTTTGAGGATAGGGAATGTAGAAATCCCCACGACTTCATTGTGCTTGAGATGGATGAGGAACCAACAGATCCATTGATTCTAGGAAGGCCATTCCTAGCTACAGCAAGAGCAATGATAGATGTCTGTGAAGGAACAATTGAGCTAAACTTGGGAAAGGACCTAAGATGAAGTTTGACATCAAGGATACAATGAGGAAAGCCAACAATAGAAGGTCAGCTCTTTTATGTTGAGGAAATGGATCAGTTGGCAGATGAGCTTTTAGAAGAGCTATCAGAGGATCCCTACAAGTTGCTTTGACCAAGGATTCTTCAGAAGGGATATGTGAGCTCAGAAACCGAGGAATACAAGAAGCTCCTTGACACCTTCAGACCAGTTCCAAACATTCTGAGCATTGAGGGTTGGACAGGCCAGTTTGCGAAGTCATGGCAGTGAGCTCGATCAAGACTCGATCGAGTCGAGCCTCGAACAAACGAACTCGATCGAGCTGGGGACTGAATGCAAGGAACAAGCTCAAGGAGATTGGTCTGAGCTCAAGGCGCCTAAAGGTCGACCTCAAACCTTTGCCTGAGGGCCTCAGGTATGCATTTCTGGGTGAAAACTCAACTTACCCTGTCATTGTGAACTCTGATTTGGAACCTGAACAGTTGAGTGCTTTGCTTGTTGAATTGAGAAAGTACAAAAAGCAATAGGTTACACTCTAGATGATATCAAGGGGATCTCCCCTGACCTATGCATCCATAGGATTCATCTAGAGGATGAATGATATCAAGGGGATCTCCCCTGACCTATGCATCCATAGGATTCATCTAGAGGATGAAAGTAAGTCAAGCATTGAACCTCAGAAGGAGATTGAACCCCAATCTAAAGGAAGTAGTGAAGAAAGAGATACTCAAGTTGCTTGATGCTGGGATAATCTATCCCATCAGTGATAGCACTTGGATATCTCCAGTTCATTGCGTCCCAAAGAAAGGGGGGATCACTGTCATTAAAAACGACAAAGAGGAGCTGATTCCCACTAGAACAATAGTGGGGCATCGCATGTGTATTGACTATAGGAAGTTAAATTCAGCATCTAGAAAGGATCATTTCCCTCTCCCTTTCATTGATCAGATGTTAGAAAGATTGGCAAACCACCCTTTTTATTGTTTTCTTGATGGCTACAGTGGTTTCTTCCAAATCCCGATCCACCCTAATGATCAGGAGAAGACCACTTTCACATGCCCTTATGGCACCTTTGCTTATCGAAGGATGCCATTTGGGCTGTGCAATGCTCCAGCTACTTTCCAGAGGTGCATGACCTCCATTTTTTCAGATCTGATAGAGGAGATGGTAGAAGTCTTCATGGACGATTTCTCAGTCTATGGAGCATCCTTCTCCTCATGTTTGTCTAACTTGTGCAGGGTGTTGCAGAGGTGTGAGGAGACCAAATCTAGTACTCAACTGGGAGAAGTGCCACTTCATGGTTCGAGAAGGGATTGTGCTTGGACACAAGATTTCCGAGAAAGGGATCGAGCTCGATCGAGCTAAGGTGGATGTCATGTTGCAGCTCCCTGTTCCCAAGACTGTGAAGGACATAAGGAGTTTTCTGGGTCATGCAGGGTTCTACAGAAGATTCATCAAGGATTTCTCAAAGATAGCAAGACCCTTGACAAGACTTCTGTGCAAGGAGACAGATTTTGAGTTTGATGAAGAATGCCACAAGTCTTGGACCTTGCTGAAGGATGCTCTGGTATCTGCCCCAATAGTTCAAGCTCCAAACTGGGATCACCCATTTGAGATTATGTGTGATGCATCTGACTATGCAGTAGGAGCAGTGCTTGGCCAAAAGATAGACAAGAAACTCAATGTCATCTACTATGCAAGCAAGACTATGGATGATGCTCAATGCAAGTATGCAACCACAGAGAAGGAGCTCCTTGCCATAGTCTTTGCCTTTGAGAAGTTTCGAAGCTATATAGTTGGGTCCAAGGTGATTGTGCACACTGACCATGCTGCCCTTAGGCACATCTTTGCTAAGAAAGATACAAAGCCAAGACTTCTCAGATGGATCCTTTTGCTTCAAGAGTTTGACATAGAAGTTGTGGACAAAAAGGGAGTAGAATGGAGTTGCTGATCATCTCTCTAGGATGCGAGTTGAAGACATAGTCCCCATCAATGATTCTATGCCTGAAGAACAGCTTATGGCAATCATGATCTTGAAAGGAGTTTTGATGAGAAAGCAGGCTGGAAGAAGTTAAGGCTCTGCGTGATGAGAATTTGCCATGGTATGCTGATATAGTGAACTTCATGGTGTCTGGAGAAGTCCCTAGTAGTTTTGATGCTTACAAGAGGAAGAAGTTCTTCAAGGATGCTAGGCATTACTATTGGGATGAGCCTTACTTGTACAAGAGAGGACCAGATAGCATTTACAGGAGATGCATAGCTGAAGAAGATGTACAAGGAGTTCTAGAGCAATGCCATGGGTCAGCTTATGGAGGTGCACTTTGCTAAAACAACAAGGTTCAATGCACAGCAACTAAGGTTTGCAATCTGGTTTATGGTGGCCTACTTGTTCAAGGATGCAGCAAGTTACATTGCCAAGTGTGATCCATGCCAAAGGAAAGGAGGAATCACCAAGAGGGATGAAATGCCACTAAACCCAATTCTAGAAGTTGAGATCTTTGATGTATGGGGAATAGACTTCATGGGACCTTTCAAGCCTTCCTCAAACGGGCACAACTACATTTTGGTTGCTGTGGACTATGTGTCCAAATGGATTGAAGCCATTCCCTGCCCAGCCTGTGATGCCTAAGGTTGTTATCAAACTTTCAGAACCATCATCTTTCCAAGATATGGCATCCCAAGGGTTGTTATTTCGGATGGAGGTTCCCATTTCATCAACAAGGTGTTTGAGAAGTTGATGAAGAGTTATGGAGTCAAGCACAAAGGTTGCCACACCCTATCACCCTCAAACCAGTGGGCAAGTTGAAGTCTCCAACAGACAGATTAAGGCCATATTGGAGAAGACTGTGAGCTTCACTAGGAAAGGATTGGTCAGCAAGGCTTGATGAAGCACTTTGGGCTTATAGAACAGCTTACAAAACCCCCATTGGAAGGTCTCCTTTCAATTTGCTATATGGGAAGGATTGCCACTTACCTGTGGAGGTCGAATACAAGGCTTTATGGGCAGTAAAGATGCTGAACTTTGACATAAAGGCAGCACAAGAAAGGAGGGTAATGAACTTGTTTGAGTTGGAGGAAATCAGAATGAATGCCTATGAGAACTCCATGATTTACAAGATGAGAACCAAGGCAGCCCACGACAAACTGATTCGCCTTAAAGACTTCAAGGTTGGGGACAGTGTGCTCTTGTTTAACTCCAAGTTGAGGTTGTTTCCCGGGAAGTTGAGGTCAAAGTGGTCGGGGCCATTCAAGATACATGAAGTTCTACCTACGGATCACTCACTCTGCTCAACCAAGAGGGGAAAGAATTCACAGTGAATGGGCATAGATGCAAGCCCTACCTAGGAATGACCCCCACAGAGGATGTAACATCCGTAGCCATCGGTCGACGCAAAGATTTCAAAATCAGACCCGGTTAGATTTAAGTGGTCCGGTTTAGCTGGTTTTGGGCAGAAAAGCCCTAGAACTCGAATTAAAAGGTGCAGCCGCCTCCTTTTTGCACAGTTTTCGAGGCAGAGAGTTCTGGAGAGGAGAAGAGGCGATTTTGTGCAGGAAATCCGAGTTTTAGTGGCAGATCGAAGCAGATCAAATTCTTCTTTGCTGTTTCCATCGTTTTTCTCCTTTCAAATCCGTTTTCAAGGTGAATGCATGACTGTAGCTCCACAAATCACTAGATCTGGATTGATTGAATGTTGTTCTTGAGGTGTTCTTATGATATGGGGTTTATGTGATGATGTTTGGTTCATTTCTGTGTTAATTCCGTGTTTCTGCGTGTTTTGATGATATTTTTGTCGACCTGACGGACGTGCGTTGGGCGACGCAAAGTGGTCTGCGTCTGCGTCTGGCGGTCGACGCAGCCGGTTCAGTCTGGTTCAATTGGAAATTGATTTCTGGTTCAAATTAAGTGATTTCTTTAAAATCTGGTTAATTAGTTTAATTCGGATTTAATAATTAAATAATTTAATGAATTAAGAGGCTTAAAATAATTGTTTAAATTATTTTAAAATATGGAAATTATTATTTAATAATGAGAATTATTTAATAATTGAGAAATGAAGTTTTAATTATTAACTTATTTAATAATTGGAAAATGGTATTTAATAATTATTGGAGTTTATAAATATTATTAAATATCTAGTAATTGCGTAAATGGCTCGTAGGCAGAGTGATTGCCTCACTAAGTATTTATTAAATACTTACGCAACTCCATTCCAATGTGTTGCAGGTAAAAGATTTGTGTGATCGCGGAATCAAGGCTGAAGAGGGGGATGATAGGATGTTTACTGTTTTATTGTTTTGCATTGTTTTGCTAGACTTGTTTAATTATTATTTGCTTCCGCTGAACTGATTTATTTGTTATTGATTTTTATTTATTTAATTTATTTTAAAGACTTCGCTAGAATTGATTATATTTATTTATAAAAAAAAAAAGTGTTGGTTGTTTCATTTTGGTATCAGAGCCTAGACGGTTTTAGGACTGTTAGAATTGCTAGGCTTAGTATCATCCCCTTCAGCTACAGGAGATTCCGCGGTGAGTTTTGGTGTTTGTGTTTTGTGTTATTGTCTAGTTGCTCATGTTCGGGTCCATGCAGTGAGATGGACGGAGCTCCTAGAGGTCGTGGCGCGAGAGGGCGTGGTGCTAGAGGTCGTGGCGGCAGAGTTGGCCGTGGCGGCAGAGCTGGTGGTAGAGCTGGAGGCCGAGCAGGCCGAGGTCGTGGTCGTGGACTTCCGGAGGAGTCGGGAGAGAGTGCGGCACCGAGTGTGCATACTGCGTCGGTGACCCAGTCAGTTCCGTTGGCGGGTGATGCCAGTGCGAGTGTTGGTTTGGGAGCGGGGGCTGCTCCGGGTGGGGGTGGCGCTCCGGCTCCGGGTCGTGATGACTTAGTGGTGGGGTTGCTGACGCAGCTATTGGCTCGTTTTCCGCCGGTGGTTCCACAGGGGGCTCCAGGAGTACCGCCAGTGGCAGAGGTGCAGCATGTTGCTGCAGACGTTGCGCAGCCGGAGGCTGTGGGTGCGGGTGTGACCCGTTATTTGGAGTTTATGGGCCACATGCAGAGGATTGGTACGCCTTTCTTCGAGGGCAGAGTTGGTCCGGAGGAGGCAGACGCGTGGCGTCAGAGAGTGGAGCGGAACTTTCATTCGATCCGTTGTCCTATGGAGTACTGGGTGGAGTTAGCGGTCCACTATTTGAGTGGCGATGCTCATTTGTGGTGGCAGGCCGCGGTGGGCCGGAGGGCATTTTGGACTTGGGGCGACTTCCTTGTGGAGTTCAACGCCAAGTATTTCCCGAGGCAGGCTCGTGATCGTCTTCAGATGCGGTTTATGGACATTGAGCAGGGTTCGCGTACTGTACGCGAGTATGATGAGGAGTTCAGCCGTCTGTTAGTGCATGCGGGCTTTGGTATGGAGGCTGAGCATCAGTTGACGAACCGATTTCTGGAGGGACTTCGCAAGGATATCCGGACGCTATGCAGAGTAGTATGCACACTTCGAGGGCGAGTCTGGTAGAGTTGGCCGCGTCGGTAGAGGCGGATTTGAGTGGGCCAGTTGGTCCGGTGGCTGTGCCGTCTGCTCCTGCTACCCAGCCTCGGAGTCATCAGCAGCAGCCACGCAGCAGCAGCAGCAGCGCAGAGGTGGCGAGTTTCAGTTCTGGTTCTGGCAGGGGCGGTTTGCCTGCGCAGGGTCAGAAGAGGAGTCGAGAGAGAGCTCTGGTGCTAGTCAGTTTCTCGAGGTGTTGTTACCGTTGTGGGAGCACGGAGCATCGTGGCGAGTGTCCTAGGAGAGAGGCGGTTCAGGATGCCAGGGTGTGTTATATTGCAGGCAGCCGGGTCATCTCAGACCGGCGTGTCCCCAGTTGCAGAGGATGGCAGTGGCAGCGATTCAGCCGGTAGCGGCTCAGCCGGTGAGTCAGATTGCGGCGGTGCAGCCAGCGGGTCAGAGTGGATCAGCACCGCGGGGCTATTCTTCAGTGGAGACCGGCGGGACCAGTCAGGCCGGGCAGATCACAGGTAAATCTTCGACTCAGACTTTGTAAATTCTTAGTATAGAATTTGTTGTTGTGTTATTGTCTGTTAGTCATTTTTATCTGTGATAGTCTTGTGGAGGTTCTCAACGCAATTGAATGTGTAGGGACCTTGTTAGTGGGCGGTTTTGAGTCCCACGTTTTATTCGACTCTGGAGCATCGAATTGCTTCATTACACCGGAGCGTGCCGAGAAGAGTGGCATCCGGAGTAGCGCGGGCGAGAGCGCGGGCATGGTCAAGGTGGCGGGAGGTGGATTCTTGTCTACTTTGGGCCGTGCTAGAGGAGTCGAGATCGAGATTGCGGGGCAGTCAATGCCAGCAGACTTAGTCATCAGTCCGGTGGAGCTGTATGACGTTATTCTCGGGATGGACTGGTTGTCACACTACAGAGTTCATCTGGATTGCTACAGAGGTAGAGTGGTCTTCGAGCGAGATGCAGGGAGGTTGGTTTATCAGGGAGTGAGACCGACTTCCGGGAGTATTGTGATATCTGCTATTCAGGCCGAGCAGTTGTTAGAGCGGGGCTGTGAGGCGTATCTGGCGACGATTTCTATGTCTGAGTCAGGAGCTGGAGTTGTTATGGGAGATATTGAGGTTGTCCAGGATTTTGAGGATGTCTTTCAGTCACTGAAGGGATTACCACCATCTCGGTCTGATCCTTTCACGATTGAGTTAGAGCCGGGGACAGCACCGATATCGAAGACGCCTTACAGGATGGCGCCAGCTGAGTTGGCAGAGCTGAAGAAGCAGATAGAGGACCTTTTGTCTAAGGGGTTCATTCGACCAAGTGTTTCACCGTGGGGAGCACCGGTGTTGTTTGTGAAGAAGAAGGATGGCAGTTTCAGACTTTGTATCGATTACAGAGGTCTTAACCGAGTCACTGTGAAGAACAGGTACCCACTCCCGAGGATTGATGAGTTGTTGGATCAGTTGAGGGGTGCTACTTGGTTCTCCAAGATTGACTTGGCATCGGGGTATCATCAGATCCCGATAGATGAGGCAGATGTCAGGAAGACTGCTTTCAGGACGCGTTATGGGCATTTTGAGTTTGTGGTTATGCCTTTCGGTTTGACTAACGCGCCGGCAGCCTTCATGAGATTGATGAACGACGTGTTCAGGGAGTATTTGGACGTGTTTGTCATCATTTTCATTGACGATATTCTGGTATACTCGAGGAGTCAGGAGGAGCATGCGACTCACTTGAGGTTGGTTCTGGAGAAGCTTCGGGAGCAGAAGCTTTTTGCTAAGTTGAGCAAGTGCAGTTTCTGGCAGCGAGAGATGGGATTTCTTGGCCACATTGTTTCTGCAGAGGGAGTTTCTGTGGATCCGGCTAAGATTGAGGCTATCAGAGATTGGCCTAGACCTAGTAGTGCCACGAGATCAGGAGTTTTCTGGGTTTGGCAGGATACTACAGGAGGTTCGTCAAGGGGTTTGCTACCATGGCGCAGCCGATGACGAAGTTGACTGGGAAGGATGTCCCGTTTGTTTGGTCAGCTGAGTGTGAGGAGAGCTTTAGTCAGCTCAAGGAGATGTTGACTACTACACCAGTGTTGGCGTTACCCGAGCCAGGGAAGCCTTACATGGTGTATACAGATGCTTCAGGCATTGGTCTTGGTTGTGTGCTGATGCAGGAGGGCAGAGTGATAGCATATGCTTCGAGACAGTGGCAGGGCAGTGAGCGTAACCGTCCTACACATGACTTAGAGTTGGGAGCAGTGATCTTCGCGTTGAAGATTTGGAGGTCTTACTTGCTGGGTGAGACAGTACAGGTCTTCACGATCACAAGAGTTTGCAGCATATCTTCACTCAGCCGATGATGAACGCGAGACAGACGCGCTGGGTTGAGTTCTTGGCGGACTATCAGGTGAGCATTAACTACCATCCGGGCAAGGCTAACCTAGTGGCGGACGCGTTGAGTAGACGGAGGTATGATTCCGCAGTTGAGCGAGATGTGGAGTCTCTGTTGGCGAGATCAGTACCTTGCGTTTGTGTGCCATTTCGCAGGAGCCTTTGGGTTTAGAGGCAGTGGATCAGGCGGATCTACTTAGCAGGATCAGAGTTGCTCAGCAGAGTGATCAGAGTTTGCTGGATGCGACGAGAGTGACTGGTTCTGAGTATGAGGTCTCTGCGAATGGGACTATCTTGGTTCGTGGGCGAGTTTGTGTGCCTAAGGATGTGGAGTTGAGACATCAGATTTTGGGAGAGGCTCATGCGAGCAAGTTTTCCATTCATCCAGGGCGACCAAGATGTACCATGACCTCAAGAGGTACTATCATTGGGTCGGGATGAAGAGGGATGTAGCAGACTGGGTTGCGAAGTGCAACACTTGTGCCTTGGTGAAGGCAGAGCATCAGGTTCCGGGTGGTCTTTTGCAGAGTTTACCCATTCCAGAGTGGAAGTGGGACAGGATTACGATGGATTTCGTGGTTGGACTACCTGTTTCGAGGACTTTCGATGCTATTGGGTGATTGTGGATCGGTTGACTAAGTCTGCACATTTCTTGGCCATCAAGAAGACAGATGGAGCTGCTGTCTTGGCTAGGAAGTTTGTGCGAGAGATTGTGAGGCTGCATGGAGTGCCAGCTAGTATTGTGTCAGACCGTGATCCCAGATTCACTTCAGAGTTTTGGAGGGCGTTTCAGGCAGAGATGGGCACTAAGGTGCATCTGAGTACAGCTTATCATCCGCAGACAGATGGTCAGTCAGAGAGGACTATTCAGACTTTGGAGGATTTGCTGAGGATGTGTGTGTTGGATTGGGGTGGCCATTGGGCAGATCACCTGAGCTTAGTTGAGTTTGCATACAACAACAGCTTTCAGGCGAGTATTGGCATGGCTCCATTTGAGGCTTTGTATGGGAGGCCATGTAGGACACCCCTATGCTGGACCCAAGTGGGGGAGCGCAGCATGTATGGAGCTACTTATGTTCAGGAGACGACAGAGAAGGTCGTGTTGTGAGGCTGAACATGAAGGAGGCTCAGGATAGGCAGAAGAGTTATGCAGATAGACGCAGACGAGAGCTTGAGTTTCAGGTGGGAGATAGAGTTTATCTCAAGATGGCTATGTTGAGGGGTCCTAACAGATCCATAGCAGAGAACAAGCTGAGTCCGCGTTTTATGGGTCCGTTTCCAGTAGTGGAGCGAGTTGGGCCATTGGCTTACAGGCTGGAGTTGCCTGAGATTATGAAAGCCTTTCACAAGGTTTTTCATGTGTCGATGCTGAGGAAGTGTCTTCACCCTACAGAGGAGTTAGTGGCTAGGATTCCAGAGGATCTTCAGCCAGATTTGACAGTGCCGGCAGTGCCTGTGAGGATTTTAGAGAGGAGGGAAAAGGTTCTGAGGAACAAGAGGATTCCCTTACTGAGGATTTTGTGGGATTGCAGTGGTTCTACAGAGGAGACTTGGGAGCCAGAGGCAAAGATGAAGTTGAAGTTCAGGAAGTGGTTCGACAAGCAGGTCGAGGAGTGAGCTTATTTCATTTTGTAGTTCCCAGTTGTTTTTTGGCTTTGTACTTGTATTTTCGTTTTGGTTGTAACGATATACATTTTGGAGTTTTAATGAGATGCAGTTTTCCTCATTTTGTCTTGTGTTGTTTAAGTGGTATTTCGGATGTTACAAGTGTTTGACCAGTTGGTCGTGAGACAGTTCTAATTCTATTGTTATAGACGTCTTGGAATTTTTACTCTAAGGATTGCGATCCTGAATAACTCATTACGGTTTTGGAGACTGGTTCTCTGGCAGACTCATCTGAGTGTAGTGGCCTCAGTATGAGTGACTTAGCTGAGTGTAGTGGCCTCAGTATAAGTCGTGGCTGACTTATTTGGGTGTAGTGGCCCCAGTATAAGCAGCGGTTGGCAAGCCCTGGGTGTAGTGGCCCCAGTTTGGGTAGGTGCAGACTTGTCTGGGTGTAGTGGCCCAGTACAAGTGGTTTGAGATGATGAGTTAAGAGTAAAGATGTCTAGAGACGGGCGTATACATAAGTTTGGATGTGTGTCTCGGGGATCAGGTGAGGATCTCCGGTGTTGTGGCCTTGCGAGGTCGGGTTTTTGTGGTCTTGTGACGTTTGTGTTGGGATTCGAGGTCGAATCCAGTTTAGTGGGGAGAGTTGTAACATCCGTAGCCTTCTCTGGTGATTTTTGGAGTTGCGTCGGGCGACGCAAGTGTGCGTCGGTCGACGCAAAGATTTCAAAATCAGACCCGGTTTGATTTAATGGTCCGGTTTAGCTAGTTTTGGGCAGGAAAAGCCCTAGAACTCGAATTAAAAGGTGCAGCCGCCTCCTTTTTGCACAGTTTTCAGGCAGAGAGTTCTGGAGAGGAGAAGAGGCGATTTTGTGGAGGAAATCCGAGTTTTAGTGGCAGATCGAAGTGCCGTTCGTTGTTCTTTGTTGTTTCCATCTTTTTCTCCTTTCAAATCCGTTTTCAAGGTGAGTGCATGACTGTAGGTCCGCAAATCACTAGATCTGGATTGATTGAATGTTGTTCTTGAGGTGTTCTTATGATATGAGGTTTATGTGATGATGTTTGGTTGATTTCTGTGTTAATTCGGTGTTTCTGCGTGTTTTGTTGATATTTTGTCGACCTGACGGACGTGCATCAGGCGACGCAAAGCTGCGTCAGTCGCGCAAAGTGGTCTGGTCTGACGACGCAAAGCTTGCGTCGGTCGACGCAGCCGGTTCAGTCTGGTTCAATTGGAAATTGATTTATGGTTCAAATTAAGTAATTTCTGGTTAAAATCTGGTTAATTGGTTTAATTCGGATTTAATTAATTAAATACATTTAATTAATTAAGAGGCTTAAAATAATTATTTAATTATTTTAAAATATGGAAAATTATTATTTAATTATGAGAATTATTTAATAATTGAGAAATGAAGTTTTAATTATTAATAATTATTTAATAATTGGAAAATGGTATTTAATAATTATTGGAGTTTATAAATATTATTAAATATCTAGTAATTGCGTAAATTGACCTGTAGGCAGAGTGATTGCAGGTAAAAGATTTGTGTGATCGCGGAATCAAGGCTGAAGAGGGGGATGATAGGATGTTTATTGCTTTTATTTATTTTGCATTGTTTTGCTAGACTTGTTTAATTATTATTTGCTTCCGCTGAACTGATTTATTTGTTATTGATTGATTATTTATTTAATTTATTTTAAAGACCTTCGCTAGAATTGATTAGTATTATTTATTAAAAAAAAAAAAAAAGTGTTGGTTGTTTCAGAGGAGATCATCACTCCTCTTCAAGATCCAACCCCGGCCTAAAAGGTTCAAGGTCAAGCTATGAGACCTAAAACAAGCTCACTTGGGAGGAATTCCCATGTCTATCTTCTATATATCGCTTTTATCTTTTATCTCTGCGTTTTTCTCAGCTAAGTCTTGCAAGGAACGGTTTTAGGAAGAAGAGGAACCAACTCGAGGACAACTCGATCGAGCCAGAGCAAGCTCAAGTGACCCGGTCGATGGAGTGCTCCTGATGGCCGTCTCCCTCTCCAGACCACGACCTTGCCTCCCAGTTCTTTGGGGGGCACTGAGGTATCCAAACACCAACCCTTGTATATACCATTTCATATTTTCTTGCATTTGTTCTTTTTTTTCTTGGTTTTGCCCTCTTGAATCTTTCACTAAATTTTCTCACACAAGGGACTGTGTGATTTAAGTTTGGGGGAGGGTTCAAGAGATGATTTAACCTTGTTTTCTTTGTTCTTAGTTTTTCATTTATCTTTTGCATAGAAAAACCAAAAAAATCATAAAATTTTCAAAAAATCCAAAAATATTTTCATCTTTTTGCATTCATATTTGTTAGACTTGTTTAGGATTGCATTTTCACTTGCATTGTTGATTTGACTTTGAAAACTTGTTCATCGATTGATTGAGCAGCAAGAACCATGTTTATCTTGATCATATCACTGCATGCACATCTCATTCAACCATTGCTGTGATTTGATGCATTTCCCTATCTATTTGAACCATAACTTGATCTTTAATTACCAATGCTTGCATTTGATTTCAACTCATGGCTACCATTTTCATATCCCTCTTGCTTGTCCAGATAGCTGATCTCTATCTTTGAGACAGTTACCACACCTTAAACCTAAGCCTTTTCATTTCAAACCCCATATTATCTCTTGTGCGAATGTGAGAACCTTTCTTGGCTTTGCTTAGCATAAGGTGTTGTGTTTAAACCGGCAGGGGCAGTAGTTCTAGTTGTCTAGTTCTCTTGGGATTGTTTTCAGGCTAAGTTTGGGGGTGCCAACTCGAGCTCGATCGAGTTGGGTGTAAAAACCAGAAAAGTGGTAAAAGTTGGGAAAAACCAAAGGAAAAAGAGTTTAGTTAAGTCCAGGGAGTTGGCAGTGTTAAAAAGGGTCTAGTAAAGGTTTGGGAAGTTAAAAAAGGAAAGTAAAAAGGGTTCTAAGTAGAATGAAAAGAAGGCAAAGCCTCAAGTGTCAAAAAGGAAAGAAAAGTTCCCTAAGTGTTTAGAAAATCCCAAACCGCTAGATGTTACCTCAAGAAGCCTCTCCCTAGGAAGTTCTTAAAAGAAAAGTGAGCAAAGCTCCTCAGTTTCAAAGGCGAAATGCCAAAAAGGGTAGTTAGGATTTTGTTCTAAAAAGCTCTAAGTGTTGAACTCGATCGAGTTAGGATTAGGCGGCTCGAGCTGCTGTTCTTGCATCATCTTTGGTTCTAACACTTAGCCTTCTGCCAAAGCAAAGCCACTTTCTTGAGAGATCCCTGTTACTAAACCACCATACAAAAGAGACCCTCTTTGTCTCTTAACCCATAAACCCTTGAAACCAAATGAGTTGATTGATCTTGCATGTTTTTGGTTCACTGTTTTTGCTTAATGAATGTTAAAGGGATTTGCTGATTTGAATGCATTGTTTGAGTGACTGTGAAGTGGGATTGATGTTGATAAGCATGGTTAAATCTTAATGAATATCTCTCACCTTGTTGCATTCTAGAATCTCTAAGTTGGACATTTAGCAAATCGCTTTTGAGGACATGTTTTTAAGTGTTGAATCAGCTTGTTTTCAAACCTCATCTCTTTCTTGTTCTATTTGTTTGCTTGAGGGCAAGCAAAGTTCAAGTTTGGGGGTGTTGATGTACTTGCATTTTACATAGTTTTAGCACATCTTTTATGCATCTTTTGCATAGTTTTAGCATCCATTTGCATCATATCTTGTTCCTTTTCTCTTCTTATGCATTCATGTTAGTTTTAGGTTGCATTTGCATACATATGCATGTTTGGTCCTTTGAAATAGGTCTTTTGGAGCATTCTGGAGCATATGGGACATGAGGAGCATGGAGGGACTTGGCGCATGGACGCAGCTCAACTGGATACGCAAAGGAAGAAGGGAGAAGCCATCTTGAAGACCAGCTCGACCACCACTCGACCAACCGGTCGAGTTCCTCAACTCGACCGGCCAAGCTTCAACTCGATCGAGCTGGAAGTCAAAGTCAAACCCGAAAAATGTTGCTTCCCCCTTGACTTCCTTTGACCCTAAACCTAATCCTCTTGTATTTAAAGGCTAAGCCACGAAAAAACCACCAAGCTTTAGATTACTTTTGTTTTAGTTTCTTTTAATTTATTGTCTTTTACTTTTTAGAGCTCTAATCCCATCTTTGTGTTCTTGAAGCTCTTGCTTCTTGAATCCTAGATCCTGGATAATCTCTTTGTATTTGCACTTGCTTATTTCAATAAAAGTTGTTTATTTCATCTCCTCTTTCTTATGATGTCTCTTTTATTGCATTTGCTTGTGTTTACATTCATGTGTAGTGAGTAGTTACCCATTAGGGTTTGAGATGGGATAGATTAGAGGTTTCATATGCTTAATCCTTCTAGCTTATGGTCTTAATCTAGATTCTCTCTCTTTTGGATAGATCTTAAGGCTACATGACCACTACCCCTGGCTTGTAAGTCCTTAGGCGATTCTCCACATGGAAGTGATGGCATTCGCTGGAAAAGATCCACTAAGAGCTCCAATATCTCTTGCTCTAGAAATAGAGGTCTAAGGGGTTGGATGGATTAGTTTGGGCAATGATCCTATGGCCTCCAAGGTTTGATTCTCACTGGCTAACCCCCTGTTTCTGAGATCATTCCTTGGTTGATAGCCTCCACCTTGGGAAAGGGTTGGCTAGGCATTGAGAAGCCCAATATCAAGAGAAGCCTTGATACAAGGAGTTTTAAGAGCTAGATTGATTAAGTGTAGATTCCTGATTGCAAAACCCTGTCTTGAACCCTAATTCTCTCTTAGCTTGTTAAAGTCGTGCCTTTAGCTTTTTCTCAACTCGACCCTAAACTCGATCGAGCTGGTACTCTGTTCCACTCGACTCGAGTCCTTGGTCGAGCTGTTGCTTACTGCTTTCTTTACTTTTATTGCATGCATTTCATTTTTTAGGTTGTTAGTGTTACCATATCTTTACTGCTTGCTTGACTTCCTGGTTGTTTCATATTCTCATAGAGTGACAATTTCCCATTTTGGATTGATAACCCTTTATGCTATAATGACTATCATGGTTAAAGGGAATTGTTGACTGTGTTTGTGTTTGCATCTTACCACCTCATCATATACCACTGTTGCATTCCACCACATCTCATTTCATATCTTTCACATCCACACACAAATCCTATCATCACGTGCATTAGTGAGACCAAATGGCATGACAAGCCATTCATATAAACCATGTTTAGTTTTAAATGCAGTTTTCCACTCATCACCTTCTTTCATCCTAATCTGATGATAACCACTTTTTAAATCAATCTTAGAGAAAATGCTAGAACCATGCAACTCATCAAGCATATCATCAAGTCTAGGGATAGGATGTCGATAATTTACAGTGATATTGTTGATGGGTCTGCAATCCACACACATGCGCCAACTCCCATCTTTCTTGGGCCCAAGAAGAACAGGAACAGCACAAGGGCTCATGCTTTCCCGGATGTGACCCTTGTCCATAAGCTCATCAATTTGGCGCTGGAGTTCCTTGGTTTCAACAGGATTGGTTCTGTATGCTGGTCGGTTTGGAAGTGTGGATCCAGGAACAAAATCTATTTGATGCTCAATGCCTCTGACTGGTGGCAATCCTTTTGGGCAATCATCTGGAAACACATCTTGAAAATCCTGTAAAAGCTTAGACATCTCACTCGGAATCTCCGGTGCATTATCAACAAGAAGGTTAAGTGATCCTTTAAACATAAATAAGAGAAAAGGCTTATGAGAAGACATAGAACTTTTAACCTGTTTGGACTTGACCAGATAGTTCAAGGACTTGATTGGATTGGGTGGCTCCTTCTTGGCTTGAGGTTTGGTTCTCTGACTGCACAGCTGGACTTGATCTTCATACACCTCTTGAGGGGTTAAGGGAATAAGAGTGGTCTTGCGCCCCTTGTGCAGGAAAGTATACTTGTTTGTGAAACCATCATGCATCACTCGCCTATCAGATTGCCAAGGCCTTCCCAAAATGATGTGTCCAGCATCCATAGGCAGGACATCACACAAAATCTCATCTTCATAGCTTCCAATGGATAATGGCACAAGCACCTGTTCCTTCACGCTCATATCTCCAGTCTCATTGATCCATTGTAACTGATATGGCTTGGGATGTTTCTGAGTCACAAGACCAAGTTTTTCAACCATGGCCTCACTAGCCACATTAGTACAGCTGCCTCCATCAATAATGAGACTGCACACCTTCTCCTGGACAAGACAGCGTAAATGGAAGAGATTCTCTCTCTGGGCTTCCTTTGGGGTTTGGACTTGAGCGCTTAAGATCCTTCTGGCCACCAAGAGCTTTCCCATGACAGGAACGGCCTCATACTCTTCTTGTTCCGGCTCCTGCTCTGGCTTATAGACAATGATCTCCTCTTCAGATTCAACTTCTCCATTGTCTCTTATGATCATCATCTTCTTGTTGCGGCATTCATAAGCATAGTGTCCAAAGCCTTGACACTTGAAGCACTTAAGCTCGCGAGCTCTAGGGCCAGGAGTGGAGCTGGTTTTGCTCTTGTCCTTGTCTTGACTGTAAGAGGCTCCTCTTGGCTCAGACTTAGGTGAGAACGCCGGTTTGGAGTCTCTTGGATACATCGGCCTGCGCTGATCAGCTCCATAGCGCGAGGGTGCCTTTCTCTTGAGCTGTTGCTCAGCAAGGACGGCCTTGTGGAGCATAGACTCTAAGCCCACACAGTTTTGCATCTCCACCACATCTTGGATCTCCTGGTTTAATCCTCCAATGAACCGAGACATAGTGGCCTTTCTGTGTTCAATAACATTAGCCCTCATTATCATAACCTCCATCTCCTGGAAGTATTCCTCAACAGTTTTGGATCCTTGAGTGAGCCTACTGAATGTAGCTCTCTCTGATAATAGCTAGGAATGAACCTCTGCCTCATGATCCTTTTCATCTCTTCCCAGGTAGAGACTTCAAGAGCTCCACCAATCTCCCTCGCGGTCACGACTTGTTCCCACCACCTTAGGGCATAGTCATTGAACTCAGAGACCGCCAGTTTGACTCTGTTGATGTTGGTTATGTTGTGTAAGTTGAAGTTGAACTCACACTTCTTCTCCCAGTCCATGTACTCATCAGGTTGTTGTTGCCATGGAAAGGGGGAATCCGGATCTTGTAACCTCCAAGATTTTCGACCAAACGGTCTGGATCATCGCGATGCCTCCTTGAGCGGCGCCGACTGCCTAGAGAGGAGTGGCCACTGTTGTAGTAGGTATTGGCTTGCTCATCGGCCATCCTTCTTGAGGCCATAGGGTCTTCCTCCTCTCCTTATCCGAGATATGGATATGATCTCTAGACTCTTTGCGCTTCCCTTCTTTAACTTGTTCCCTCCGATCAAACTCATCCCTCATTAGCTTCTTGATTTGCTCCAGAAGGGATTCACTGAGACTCTTGTTCGAATCCTCTTCATCTTCGTTCTCAGAGTTATAAGGAAACAAACCCAGAAAAATTCTAGAAATTATGTAAACAATTTCTAAAAATAGTGAAACACTTGTGAATAGATAGATCTATGGTGGGATGATCAGGATTAATTATTTCAACAATTTTAAAATTATGCAAACAAATGAAACTGGCTAGATCAAGATCAGAAGATGAACAGTCACAATTGTCAAAGATGCACAAATGAAAAATTGAAAAACAAAAGATAGATTCACTTAGCTTCAAAGTGGCTCTGATACCACTTGATAAATCCCTTGTTGAGAATTGACACTTTGAAGCAAGTAGAGGTTGGATTGAAGCGATGGAGTGATTGGAGTCAAAGGACTTGGCAGAATGGATTGAAATGATGGAATGGTGAATTGATTGATGGAAGATGATATATGAGGATGGATTGAATGGCTATACCAAAGATCCAATGGAAAGGAATCTCCAACACCACCTCTAAAGTAGTTGATACAACTCACAACTAATCTAAAGGGATTTCTCGGATTTAACACACCAAGAGAAAGGGTTCTTAGAATCACACTAAGAGATCTTTGATAAACAAAGGAAAAGGGTTTTTCATTCAAGGTTGCATAAACTGAAAGGGAGATTCGTCCAGAACATATAAAGGAGAGAAGAGAAGAGAGATGAAGAGATGAGTCAATGGAACAGGCTCCATGACCATCTCGGAAACACACAAAACATTAAAGACAAAGTTTGAATAAAAAGAGACCCTTCAAGTGCCCTGGGCGGCAAGACTTAAGAGTTGAAGAAGGGAAATGGGCCGGACCCAAACAACATGAGACAAAGAAGGGATGGGAAGTGGACTTTAGGCCACGTTAAAAACCTGCCAAGGAAAACCCAAAGGGACAAAACCTTGGCAGGGAAAAAGAGCACACTAAAATCCACTTGCTTCTTTATCCCAAGTGTTGGGCTCTCAAACAAACCAAAGTGAAATGTTTAAGCTCCTGATCATGCCGACTCAAACGGCTAAGTACTCTTCCAATGTCTTGGTTGAGCATCTTAGTATGGGACCTTGTGATGGGACCAGTTGGTAAGGCCAAGGCTTCCAGAGCTTCCTCAGGTTCAAGCTGCTCCTCCTCTGCTACAAGCTCTCCAGCTGCTTCCTGGTCCAAGTTCCCTGCAACCTCCTCCATGATCATATCAACCATGCACCCTGATCTACATATATAACTCCGATTCTGACAAAACTGACTATATTGACGAACCTGCAAAAACATACAAATGTATAGCCAGGATTTTCAGATCAAAGAAACGAGACCAAAGCGATGTAGACAAAATATTAGAAGTGTGTTAGAAACTTACAGAACAACACACCGCAAAACGCCAAACTGCAAATAACCCTAGCTGCGCAAAGAGGAAACATATAAAGTTAGAACCGTGTGTAAACGAAAAGCATCAACGAATGCAAAAAACCCTAAAATAACATGAGAGTATGACTAAAACATATATCGACGACAGCTAAAGCAAGAAACAAAAAATAAAACAGTAGACGATATGGGAGCTACTTGAAGTATATATATAGGTAACATGAGTGAGGGTTTCAGCGATTAATCCGTCCAATAAAATTAATATCAATGATCCGATAAATGGAAATCCGAGTCTATCACCGCCACCGAATGCGAAACTATCCTTTTATGAATATATCTTTCCCAACCACACGTGATTATCTCCTAACCAAGATAAAAGGAAATATAACTTTTCCAATTATACTAATTCGTTTTAATTAGCATATTACGGGAAAGACGCAATTAAACATGTCATTAGGCGAAGTTAGACAAATTCATTAAGGGCATTGGGGTAATAGTTAGTGAGGAGTGCTGTGGTGCGTTTTTACTTCGCAAATAATGGTATAGATCACTTAAATAAGTATTTCATTATGAGGAAAAGGTTAAAATGCTCTTCATAATTCTGTTGAATTGACTATTTTCTTCCTTTGCAAAAGAACTTCATTTTACTTGATTCTCATGTCTGTTTGTTTTAATTTTCCGGTAACTTGAAATCCAATGTCTATAAAGCATTCCCTACAAAATCGAGCAAAGACTCATCCCGGTTAATACTCCAAGTAATATATTGATATGATCAATGGGTTTAGGTGTTTTTAGTTAAAGAGATTTGGTGTTTTTCCTTTTTACAATTGATTCTAGAGGTTTTCCTTTTTGAATTAGGTTTATGTTTTGGATTGTCGTGGCCTATTTAAAGGTCTCTATTGATTAACAAGAAATCAACTTCCAAGAATTAACCTTAAGGCTCCAAAGAGAGTTTAGGGTTAAGAGGAAGCCTAGCTAAATACTCTTTCAATCTCTTGAGTTCATCATAGCTTGTCTAGGAGCAACTACAAGATCTAGAGCTAAGGCTTTGGATCATATCATATATATGTGTTGGCTATTCGAATCTCTTGTTAATCTCTTTTGATTTTTGATCAGATCCGGTTTTTTCTTTTCGTCTCTTTAAAAAGACACAGATCTAAAAAAAATGCTGGTTCTGACCCGACCCGTGATGTTGCTAATATTTGAGTTGATTAAATTTGTGAGCATTAAGTTCTTAAGATTATATATTGTATTCAAATAGTGTTTTGATTAAAATGTTGCTGTGAAAACATATGTTTCTTTATCATGGGTTGTTGTTGTTCTTATAAAGAAAATAAGTATGTTAATGATTCATTAATGAGATTGATAATTATTGATTTTTTATTAGTTTAAACTTTGGCAAAGACAATATTTTTTACCTCATCTTTATAAGACATGTGTCTATTATCTTGATATACAAAATCTATCTTAATTTTTATCATTATTGATTTTCTAATTTTAGTTACGGTTTTAATTTTTCTTTTCAATTTAAGTACAAAAACATATTTCTACCCATGGCCGTAAAAGTTTCTTCACTTAAGAAAGAAAAACATGTTATGATTCGTAGCCGTCAAAAAACTTTTCCACTTAATAACGAAAAACATATTCTGACATGTGGCCGTAAATTTTAGTAGAGTTATATTCTTTGTATTTATGTTGATCTTGTTCGTTTTCTTTTCGGAACCGTATATATATTTGTATAGATTTATAAAACACCAAACAAATAACCATATTTGATATTTCTAAAAAAATGTTTTAAAGTTTATACAACAAAAATTCAGTACATAAGGAAAATATTTTAATCCAATATGTTTCATCTATTTACTTCTTTTTGAATTTAGTAGGTAGCTAAGTATTTTCTAATTAGATTTATAAGTTATAATACTCGATTAGTTAAACAATTAAAAACTATTTAGAAAAAGAAAACACAATTTGTCTAATTGTGACTCGTGGAAACAAATGGGCCATACTGAAGGAATGAGTATAAGCCCAAAATGTATGAGCATGTGATATTAGTGGCTTCATCATCTCTAAAAACAATTTTTCCGATCTGTTTTTAGAACACAAATCGCCTGACACGGAGCTTTGTCAGCTATTCCGTGCAACTTAACTAAAAATCGAAAATTCTTCACTTTCACAATCGAAAATTAACTTAACATCAGTTTTTTCAATTTCTTCTTTTAAACTTCCATCAAGAATTTCTTTCCTTCCAAGTCTCTGCTCATGGGATTTGTCTCTCGCACCGACCCAACATAAGCGAGTAAGTTGAAAATGCTGGAACAATATCCAGAACCCATTGATTTAATGATAGGATGTAATGAGACTAAGAATTCATTCAATGGATTTCATAATTCGTTTGCCGTAGCCAAAGAATCAAAACTCAATCCCAGATTTCTCCAACAGAAATTGTCATAGTCATGAGTCGTCTAAACGCTGGAGATATTTTTGGAAGATGATGCCGAAGCTAAACTTTGATTCCAGGTATTAACTTTCACATAAATTCGGTTCTAAAATGATTGCATTTGGTTGTTAGAGATGAATATGAACCTTGAGTGTTACTACTTTGATGACCAAAATTAACGGAAATACTTTGACATGTTTCTGGTTAATCTGCTACCTCATGCTGTTAATAAGGAAAGGAGTAGACAAAAAAAAACTCATCTTTATCTACATTTGAAAGATTTATGGAAATAAGTACATAGTTAGCACGTAAATTAAGTGAGTGTGGTGTAATTTTTTTCAGAAATGGGATCTTTGTGATGATTTATGGAAATTCTTTGATGATTTATCAAAGAATCATTGAGCTACTCCGATCCCTCTCTTTGAAAGCTTCGCTCTGTCTCATGGTAAAAAATTCTTTGTTTCATGGTTTGTTCAGTCTTAGACTTGTTTATTTTTTATGCTTTGACAGTAGTTTGTTGAATGTTCGACTCATTTTTTCAGAGCTTTTCTGCTTAGAATTATGAAGCTAATTAAGTTACTTTATTATGTGTTTGGGATTTCTATGAATGTTAGACTCGTTTTAGAGAATTTCTATGTGCTTTTCTGCTTAGAATCATGAATCTAATTATCTTAGTTTATCTTGTATTTCGTAATTCTATGAATATTAGACTCGTTTTTCAGGCGTCTTTGTGCTTTTATGCTTAAAGTTATGTTGTTAAGTAACTCGTTTGATAGTAGCTTTGTTTCGTGCTTTGATAGTAGCTTTGTTTCATGCTTAGAGTTATGTAGGAAAACACAGGTAATGTCAAAGTTTCTTTTGTTTTTCTTTCAATGTGTGTATGGTTGATTGTCTCTGAGTTTGCTTCTCAATTTGATTGTCTCATTTTGCTCTTGAGATTTGGTTTTGAAATCATATATTCATATGTATATTTTCTATGTGATTTTGTTTTTCAATCTTTTTTGGAAGTCATATGTGAGTTTGAGCTCGAAGGTGTTTAATGAAACACCACGGTTTGTGTTATGTCTTCAGTTTCAGGTCTCTTAGAAGTTTGAAAGTGCCGAAGATGTGAGATGAAGCAAGAGTGAATCAACCCAATCTTTGGTTAATTTGTGTTTTTTTTTTCTGTTTGTTTGAAAATTCTGAACTTATATTAATGGATTTATTATTATAATTAAATTATCAATATCATTTTGTAATATTATTGTGTATTTCCAATTTAGGGTAATGTTATTTAAAAAACATATTGGTGTGAAATCGGTGAAAATATTTCCGTCAAAAATCTGTCGCCTACTTTTTGTAAATTTCGGTGAGAAAACCGTCACGTGATAAAATGGTGAAAAACAATTCGTCAATAATCAATCAATAATCCGTTATAAATTTCCTACGGATTTCTCACGGATATTTTTGACTGCATTTATCACGGACTATTCGGTGAAAAATTATTCACGAATTTTTGACCGATTAGGATTTTTTTATCACGGACTATTCGGTGAAAAATTATTCACGAATTTTTGACCGATTAGGATTTTTGACGAAAGCTTTTTGACGGAAAAAAATGGTCAAAAATTGGTGGATAAAGGCTATTTTTCACCAACTTTTCACCGAAATGGCCGTAGTACTTCGGATTTTTTCTTGTAGTGTTCGTTTGATAGAGCTACTTTCAGAGCGTCTTTGTGCTTTTATGGTTAGACTTGGTTATCATGCAGTTGTTCGGCTCTTATATTAAACCCATAGTCGGGTAAACTGTATGCTCCGTGATGATCTCAGGTAAACTGTATTATCTCTTATGTATCTGTATCAATACATTAGTTAATTTCTAGAAAAAAGATATGAAAAACAGAACATAACTCGGTTTCTTTTCCCTTTGTTATTGCTGAATGTCAAAAGGTTTTAGAAACCAAAACTTTGAGAAATACTTTGACATGTTTCTGGTTAATTTTGTTTACATAAACCAATCTTCTACCGTCATGGTGTTGATACGGAAAGGAGTTCAGATTTTTCTCTTAAGATTGCTATGAGTCGACAAATACAAACTCATCTTAATTTGAAATTTTTTGAAAAACCAAGGGCTACTGATGCAGTAGTAGATCACAAACTGGGACGTGGTTTTCTCTACAAAGAAATATATTACTAGAAACTTCTTTAAGATAAATTACAAGTATATGCTTAAACAAATTCAGCAATCACGATCTATCCACGATCTTTGTTATTCTAGTAACTCTCATGTTCTCAGATCTATCCACGATCTTTGAACCTCTCAAACCCTAGTCCCCATTGTCCTAACTTTCTTACAAGAAATCTAAACCCAAATATGCTAAAGCTCTCAAGTTTGTGATAGCGGTTCCAAGCAGCCAACTCTCTCTATTTATTCTCAATAGACGAGCTGTGAAACCCTACAAGCATTCGGCCTTGGTGATTACTCCAAATCTCCAAGGGAATATTTCCTTTCCTTATTTTTCTCTAAGAATAGGAAATATTCTTTTGTATTGATAATTCCAAATCTCCTCATCCAGCTCAGTTACCACCTCTTCTGGATTCGTCCTTAACCGCTACAAGCTCGCATACAGCTCAGCAACATTCCTTTAGCTCTGTTAAGCTCCAATTAGCTCCGCTACAAGTCCGTCCACACGTCCTGATGCACTTCCTGGCTGATTCACGATCTGCGTCAATCCAGCTGCATCTTCAATCTCCCCCTTTTTAGCTTTGTGTCTCTCAAACACCTGTAAAACTCAAATCCACAATGCATATACCAGAGATGACCAGAATACTGGAATGATCTGAATACTTCAATGTTAGTGATAGAAATATTAAACATGATTCAGAACATAGAGTTAACTCCAAAAGATCAAAGAGCTCTCAATTCTCAACTCCCCCAGAATTGTAGATCGAAAATTACTCAAAACAGAGCAAACAGAAACAAAAGTTTGCTCCCCCACAATTCTAGCTTAGATCCTAGTTTTCGTTCTCTGATACATCCTATTTTTCCCCCTGCTTGTGAGCACACACAAGTTAAAAACACAAGATGGATAAATAGATTGAAATAGATTGTGCAGAAAGACAACTTACCTTGCAGATTGACGATGATCAGACCCTGAACTATGTCAGTGAAACTCCAAAGGGACCTGTTTCCTGAAGAACTCTCTTGTTCCTTGGCAAAGGAGAAACATCCGCATCACTCTGTTCTTCAACACTCTGAGGATATCAAGTCTGATTAAGAGCGGATGACGAAACCTCTGACGCTGTGTCAGCTGGCGGATCAATCGATGGCTGCTTCTCGAATTGAGGAGACTACTTCGCTATAGTTCGAAATGGTTGACCTAGTTGAAGTTCATCAAGAGACTCTGTTTCGCGAGCTTCGTCAAGAGGGTGAAACGGCTTGTTTTGGATCTGACAGAGACATTGATGCGTCGGTCTGTTGTACCTCCAGCTCTGCTGGTTTAGAAACACCATCGGCGGTCATCGTTGGAGATGTAGTGGTCGCTACTTCAGTCGCTTCGTCAGTCGACGGCAGTGCTTGGAGATTGCTGGCTTGTAGATCTGATGGCTGTTTCAAACACCATTGAATTGAAATCACATAATCAACATAAATCAGCCGGATTAATTTATTTTAGAGACCCAGAAGCCCTATTTGATTTCCTGTAACACTTAGCACCAATATCAGCAGTACAACACAAGGATCCAAAATTTGAAAAAAATATAAGATTCAATTCAAGATAGAATCCAAACAAGTAATACTCTCCCATGTGTCACATCTATTAAGCTAAAAAACACTTTTTCTCAGTTTATCTCAAATTAAATACCTTTCATTTTTCGTGAAGGAGACATTGACTGAGTCGGCACTTGCATCAGGATGTATTACAAATTCTCAACAGATTCATAGCGCATTTTGTTCAAGGCCGAACATGTGATTAATCTCTGTCGTTGGATGTAGTTCTTGTGAAACATAATCCTTCGAGAAAGCTCATGGACCAAATCAGCCTTGTGAGCTGTTGTCGTCAGTCCATCCCCTTTCCTATTAAGCTCTTAGTTCTGTTGTCAGACGCTGTTCTTGTGAAACATTGCCTTTCGAGAAAGCACATGAACCAACTTAGCCTTGTGAGCGATTGTTGCCTGTTCATCACCTTTCCTCTTATGCTCATTGAATCACTTTTTAGTTCTTGAAGCAGCAAGCCATCTCCATCATATTACGTTCATTTGGAGTTGGCTCAGCTGCTTTTTGACCTTGAACATTGATACGCCCTTGGAATAGATCGGCTTGAAGGTTAAGTGATTGAGCGGATTGGAACACAAAGGATCCAACGTTGGATGAAAGATGAATGGATCGAGTGGCTATACTAGAGAACCCGCGGAATTGGAACTCTAACACCACCTTCGACTTGTTGATATTACGCACAACAAGTGAAAGGTTTTCTCTGTGGACTTGATTGATATTACACACAATAAGTGAACAGAGTGATTGATCAAGCATAAAAGAGGTTGTTTGATTTAAAATGATTGATAAACTTCAAAGAGAGAAAGGGTTTCAGTTTTAAAGGAAAATGAGAGAGAGAGAAGGGAAGAGGAAGAGATGTGGAACAGACTCCAAACATCTCGAGAAAGCACAAAAACATAAATGAAACAAAGACTGAAAAACGACCCTTCAGTTGCTTTGGCGCTCCCTTTCAAACTCTTGGGCCGGACCTTCACAAATGAGAAAAGAGAGGATTTGAAAGTGTGCAATGGGCCTCGTTAAAAACCTTGTCAAGAAAACCCATAGGGACAAAACTTGACAAGGGAAAAAGAGCACACCACAACACACTTGTCTCTTTATTCCATTCGTAAGGCCTTCAAGCAAACTAGAGTAGTTGGCTTGGCTTCTTGCTGACTCAAACAGCTAAGGACTTTGCCAATCACTTGGTTTAGTGCCTTAGTTTGTGAACGAGTGATTGGGCCAGTTGGAATGGCTATGCTCTCCTCAGGTACAAGCTGCGCGGCTTCAAGTCCCTCCTCGGCCAAGAGCTGCTCCATTCCATCTTCTTCCTCGGCCAAAGGCTGCTCGGCCTGAACCTCCTCGTCCATGATCGCATCAAACATGCTTAGAATCACTGATGTACTTGCATTTTTCATAGTTTTAGTACAACTTTCATGCATCTTTTGCATGGTTTTAGTGTCCATTAGCATCATATCTTGTTCCTTTTCCCTTCTTGTGCATTGTTAGTAGTTTTAGGTTGCATTTGCATACATATGCATGTTTGGTCCTTTGAAATAGGTCTTTTGGAGCATTTTGGAGCATATGGGATTAGAGGAGCAAGGAAGGACTTGGTGCATGGACGCAGCTCAACCGGATACGCAAAGGAAGAAGGAGGAAGTCATCTTGAAGATCAGCTCGACCACTAGCTCGACCGGATGGTCGAGCTCCTCAACTCGACTGGCCAAGCTTCAACTCGATCGAGCTGAGAAGTCAACAGTCAAACCCGAAAAATGTTGCTTCCCCCTTGACTTCCCTTTGACCCTAAACCTATTTCCCTTTGTATTTAAAGGCTCTAAGCCACGAAAAAGACAACAATCTTTAGCTTATTTTTGTTTTAGCTTTCTTTTAATTAATTGTCTTTACCTTGAATTGGTACCTCCCATCCAATTCCTTGTGATCTATGAGGAGGTTGATCTTGCAAAACACAATCACAATCAACAATTCCCCTTAACCATCATAGTCATTGTAGTATAAGAGGTTATCAATCCATAAGGGTGAGATGTTGCTCTATGAGAATATGCAAACACAAGAAAGTCAAGCCAAATGATTAAAAGGAGGGATGTAACAACTAAACAACCTAATATAACGAAAGCAATGCAGAAAGTAAAAGAAAGCAGCTAAATGCAAGAAATTAACAAGAACAAGCAGATGCAAGGGAGCTCGACCAAGAGCTCGATCGAGTTGATGAGCTCGACGAGCTCGATGAGTTGGTCGAGTTGGTGTAAAAACAGAGGAAATGCAATGAAAAGCGATAAAGGTGCAAACTTTAAGATGCTAATGCGAAGATTAGGGTTAAAGACAGGGTTTTGCAGCTAAAGGGAGGCTATACTTAATCAGTCTTGCTCTTAAACAACTTGTACTCAAGCTATCTCTTGATATTGAGCTTCTCAAGCCTAGCTAACCCTTTCCCAAGGTGAAAGCTATCATCTAAGGCAAGATCTCAGAAACAGGGGGTTAGCCAGTGAGAATCAAGCCTTGAGGCAGTAGGATCATTGCTCAAACTAATCCATCCAACACCTATGAACTCCATTTCGAGAGCAAGTTTATTGGAGCTCTTAGTGGACCTTTTCAAGCGATTTCCCAACACTTCCATGTGGAAAATCGCCTAGACTCATACAAGCCAGGGATAGTGGTCATGTAGCCTTAAGGTTTGCCCAAAAGAGAGAGATTTTAGATTAAGAACATAAAGCAAGAGAGATTAAGCATAAACAACCTCTAACCTATCCCATCTTAAACCCTAAAGGGAACTACTCACTACACATGATGAAATAAACAACCAAATGCAATAAAGGAGACATAAAAGATAGAGGAGATAAAGATAAACAACTTTTATTGAAATAGCAAAGTGCAAATACACAATAACAAAGAGATCTAGGGTTCTAGAACATGAGCTCAAGAACACAAAGAGAGGCTAAAAAGTAAAAAAGGGAAATGCAAATACAAGATTAATAAAAGTTGAGCAAAGCTGTGTTTAATTCGTGGCTCAATGCCATTTATAGTAAAGCAAACTAGGTTTAGGGTCAAAGGGGAGTCAAAGGGAAGCAACATTTTTCGGGTTTGACTTTGACTCCTGGAAAAGCAGCTCGATCGAGTTGGAAACTGGCCGGTCGAGCTGGTGGGTCGAGTCCAACCAAAATCGTCGTATCTTCTGAACCGCTGGTCCGAATGACATGAAACCACCTCCAGACGAAAGCTAACTCAATTATCCACAACTTCCAAGAAGAAGTCAGAGGCTGAATCGGAGTGTAAACCCTTCATTTGATACGATACTTCGGACGCATCTCACTAGCTCGACCGAGTGCGGGTCCGTACATGGGGCAGACAGAGTCTTTCCTTCCTCAACTAGTCTCCAGTGATAGGCAATGTTCCAATTAGCTCCAAATGACCTGATTAAGACATCAAACGTGCATATGTATGCAAATGCAAGCCTAAAACTACTATGTATGCAAAAGAAGAGAAAACATCAAGAAATGATGCTTTGGGTGAATGAAACTATGCAAAAGATGGTATAAAAGAAGGGGCTAAAACTATGTAAAATGCAAGTACATCAGTTACCATCTTCCTTTCTCCCTTTGCCAAGAAATTAATCCATCCCCAGCCTTGGTCCAACACAGCTCGATCGAGCTCATCATACTGGTGATACCTCATCGATGCCAAAAACTCACAAGTGAGCTCCTTGTAGACTCCATGCGGTGAGAGAAGAACTTGCCAAGTGCATGTTCTTGAGTACCAACTCCACATCCTCAAAGATTCCAAGGCCTCATTGTGTCATCATGTGGGTACTTGGTCTCCACAAAGTCCATGGAGAAGAGAGCATTGTAGTGCTCTTGGTACATGGGGAGTTCTTCCTCCTCCTCTTGTGGCTCAGCCTCCTCCATGGGCTCATCTTGGTTACTCTCTTGTCACTTCTCAACCAATTGATTCACCTCTTCACCCTCTTCTTCACTTGGAGAGCCATCACCTCCTCTTGAACAAGGTTCACCCCAATCTCAAACTCTCCTTGCTCACTCTCACTACTAATGGGGTCATTCCTCTTCTTGGTCCTCCTCTCCTCCCTCAATCTCTCGCTCTCAGACTTCCTCAGAGTAGACATACTCCTCTGCATCAGACTCTTCCATCCTTTGATTCATTCTTTCCAAATCGGCTTGCATCTTTAAGCCTTCTCTCCCTTGCATTGCTTGATTCACCCTCAACCATTCTCCTCTGTGAAGCACGGCTTCCCTCACTGTTTGTCATCTTGTTACTGTTCTTCACTAAAGTACCTGAAATGCATCAAAGATTACAAAGAATTAGAGTTGTAATGATCGGTTTGGTCAACTCGACACTCAGCTCGATCGAGTCAAAAAACTCGAGTGACAAACTCGATCGAGCTAGGTGAAAACAGAGTATAACCGAACCTAAATTAAGTATTAAGAGCTGGAAAGGATGCTAACAATCAAATTGAACCAAGAACAACAAGTAATGGAACAATGAGCAATTCTAGTGAAAACTAAGCATCTTAACCAATACCAAACTCAAATTCAATGTTTTAAGCACATGCAACAAGTTTAATGGTAAAACAGAGGTGAGGTGAGGCAAATTCACAAAACTATATAGCAGGAGAAGGATATGAAGCAATTACTCAAGAACAATCCCACAAGGGGCACATGCAATCAAAAATCAAAGAGAAACAAGCAATAGAGAGGAATCGAGATGAAGGATTCAAGGGTTTTAGGGTTCATACCTTGCTTGAATGATGATTGAAGACAGTAAGCTAGAACCAAAGCAAACAAGAAGAACAAGAGAAATCGCAAAACTTAAGAGAGAAAGAAGATTTCGGATTTTTCTTGTGGTGAGAGAGAGATGATGTTTCAGAAAATTTTAGAGTGTGGGAGAGAGGAGAAGGGGTTCGATCGAGTTATGGGGAAGAGGGAGTGTTTGAGATGTGTGGTTGAGATTAAAAGGTGAATTAAAGAGGGGACAAAAGGCTAGGGTTTTTCTGATCGATTTCAGGAAGTGGGGGACCAAAATTAACTTGTGGGACCCACTCCCTTGACCAAGGAAAACGGTTGAAATTTGAATTCAAAACTTACCTTGGTCGAGTTGTGGAACTCGATCGAGTTGCCCTTGTTTCTAGCTCGATCGAGCTGTCGGTCGAGCTGGCTCCTTTGTCACCTAAACTTAACTTATTGAAAGGTTAAAGACACAAAACTAGATAGAAATTGCATAAAAGTATGTACAAGGATAAACATGGGACTTCCTCCCAAGTGAGCTTGTTTAAGGTCCCATAGCTTGACCTTTACCTTCTTAGGCATTGGTTGAGCTAGTCCCACCATCAAGGGTGATAGTGAGGACTTGAGACAGAAGCTCCTTTAGCTTGGTTGGGTCCCTGGATTGTTCTGAAGTCACCAAGGCCTTGGCTCTAGAGAATGGCCTTGATCTCCCCTTGTACCTTATCTTGTACTCAATCTTCCCATTTTCAAACTTGGTGGGGAACAAAGTCATTGTGAGCTGAGATGGCTTGAATGAAGGGGCCTGAGCTGGTGGATCTTTCTTTTATCACCTGGTCTTGCCTTAGAGGCTACATCCTCCCCTTCTTTTAGAGCCCTTCCTAGTGGCTCATCAAACAAAGCTTGAAGGCTCTCTTCATCAAGCACACAAGGGGCTTGAACAAGTCTATCAGCTCGTGGCCTATCAGACGTGGTTTCTCAACTCTAGCCCTCTCAAGACGTGGCTTCTCAATCCTTGGTCCTCTATCAACTCCTTTCCTCAACCTTATCCTTCCCAACTCTTGGTTCTTTGTCAACCTTTCCTTCACAACCTTTGTAGCTCATGAGACTCTTAGAACTGAGAGGTACTGTCAATTGTGGCACAAAAGTCTGAACCTCTAGGCTGCAAGCGATATGACACCAAACTATTCACCTTGTGAAGGATCACTTCTTGCTTGTGAAAGTCTATTGAAGCGCCAACTGTACTAAGGAAAGGGGTTCCCAATAGCAAAGGTAGATGATGTACTTGCATTTTACATAGTTTTAGCACATCTTTTATGCATCTTTTGCATAGTTTTAGCTTCCATTTGCATCATATCTTGTTCCTTTTCTCTTCTTATGCATTCATGTTAGTTTTAGGTTGCATTTGCATACATATGCATGTTTGGTCCTTTGAAATAGGTCTTTTGGAGCATTCTGGAGCATATGGGACATGAAGGAGCATGGAGGGACTTGGCACATGGAAGCAGCTCAACTGGATACGCAAAGGAAGAAGGGAGAAGCCATCTTGAAGACCAGCTCGACCGTCTACTCGACCAACCGGTCGAGTTCCTCAACTCGACCGGCCAAGCTTCAACTCGATCGAGCTGAGAAGTCAAACAAAAATGTTGCTTCCCCCTTGACTTTCCTTTGACCCTAAACCTAATCCTCTTGTATTTAAAGGCTCTAAGCCACGAAAAAACCACCAAGCTTTAGATTACTTTTGTTTTAGTTTCTTTTAATTTATTGTCTTTTACTTTTTAGAGCTCTAATCCCATCTTTGTGTTCTTGAAGCTCTTGCTTCTTGAATCCTAGATCCTGGATAATCTCTCTTGTATTTGCACTTGCTTATTTCAATAAAAGTTGTTTAATTTCATCTCCTCTTTCTTATGATGTCTCTTTTATTGCATTTGCTTGTGTTTACATTCATGTGTAGTGAGTAGTTACCCATTGGGTTTGAGATGGGATAGATTAGAGGTTTCATATGCTTAATCCTTCTAGCTTATGGTCTTAATCTAGATTCTCTCTCTTTTGGATAGATCTTAAGGCTACATGACCACTACCCCTGGCTTGTAAGTCCTTAGGCGACTCCCCACACGAAAGTGATGGCATTCGCTGGAAAAGATCCACTAAGAGCTCCAATATCTCTTGCTCTAGACAATAGAGGTCTAAGGGGTTGGATGGATTAGTTTGGGCAATGATCCTATAGCCTCCAAGGTTTGATTCTCACTGGCTAACCCCCTGTTTCTGAGATCATTCCTTGGTTGATAGCCTCCACCTTGGGAAAGGGTTGGCTAGGCATTGAGAAGCCCAATATCAAGAGAAGCCTTGATACAAGGAGTTTTAAGAGCTAGATTGATTAAGTGTAGATTCCTTTGATTGCAAAACCCTGTCTTGAACCCTAATTCTCTCTTATCTTGTTAAAGTCGTCACCTTTAGCTTTGTTTGTCTCAACTCGTCCCTAAACTCGATCGAGCTGGTACTTTGTTCCACTCGACTCGAGTCTTGGTCGAGCTGCTACTTCACTGCTTTGTTTACTTTTATTGCACTGCATTTTCATTTTATTTAGGTTGTTAGTGTTACTTCAAATCTATTACTGCTTGCTTGACTTTCTGGTTGTTTCATATTCTCATAGAGTGACAAGTTTCCCATTTTGGATTGATAACCCTTTGTACTACATCACTATCATGGTTAAAGGGAATTGTTGACTGTGTTTGTGTTTGCATCTTACCACCTCATCATATACCACTGTTGCATTCCACTCATCTCATTTCATATCTTTTCACATCCACACACAAATCCTATCATCAATTTGGCGCCGTTGCCGATTTGGGAATATTTTTGTTGCATTTGAGTTTCAAACACACTTGGACGATCAAGCTATACCACCCCTGTTCTATTGTACTGCTGGGTTTTTGTCTCTTTTTGCAGGTGTATGCGAACTCGATCGAGTCGGTCTACTGAGGACTTGGTCGAGCTAGACTTACAACGGGTAGAAAGAGGGTTCAGAGGTCACAGAGGGTACAAGAGGAACCTGAGGTGCTTGTTGCTGATACAATGGATGTACCAGAGGGGAATGGAAACCCTTTGGGAATGGACTCGGTCGAGCTAGGCAAACTCGACCGATTGGTCAAGGAGATGCTCCAAACCGCCACCAACAGAGACAAGGGATTGTTCCACCACCAGTGCAGAACCACAACTTTGAGATCAAGCTGGGAATGATCAACCTTGTCCAGAACAAGATGTTCCATGGATTGCCAAGTGAAGACCCCATTGACCACCTTGATGAGTTTGATAGGCTTTGTGATTTGACAAAGATCAATGGTGTCTCTGAAGATGCCATCAAGCTGAGACTCTTTCCTATGTCTCTAGCTGACAAAGCTCACCAATGGGAGAAGAGCTTGCCCCATGGCACAATCACCACTTGGGATGAATGCAAGAAGGCCTTTCTTGCTAAGTTTTTCTCCACCGGTCGCACAGCCAAGCTTAGAGGAGAGATATCCAGCTTCATCCAGCGAAACAATGAGACATTCGCAGAGGCTTGGGAGAGGTTCAAAGGCTACACAAGTCAGTGCCCACACCATGGATTCAACAATGAATCACTACTCTCCACTCTTTATAGAGGATGCTTGCCTAGGTATAGGGAGATGCTAGACACAGCTAGCAATGGGAACTTCCTCAACCAGGATGTAGATGATGGCTGGCAACTTGTGGAGAACATAGCTAACTCAAATGGAAGCTATGGAGAAGAGTATGATCGCACCAACGGAGCTCGACCCACCACTCGATCGAGTCAGACGAAAAGTTGAGAAAAGATGTTAAGGCATTGAATGAGAAGTTGGATAAGCTGATCCTAGCTCAGTCCACAATGAAGAAAGTCAACTTTGTGTCTGCTGAGGAGATGGAACCAGTCCAAGAAGGGGAGGATACACAATTTGCTGAGGTGTGCTACATGAGCAATGGGCAAGGAGGTTACAACAAAGGATACTATAATTACAAGTCCAACCCTGCCATGTCATACCGCAACACTGATGTTGCTAACCCTCAGGACCAAGTATATCCTCAACAACAAGCAGCTCGATCGAGTCAGGTGCCACAACATGGGTATGGTCAAAAGAACAATTACCAAGGACCACAAGGCACTTTCCCTGGACAACAAATGAATATCCCACCAGGCTTCCCCCACCAACCGCCCCAGCCTGCACCTTCACAAGAGAATGAGCTCAAGGCAATGCTAAAGCAACTACTTCAAGGGCAAGCTGATGGGGTAGTGGACACAAGCAAGAAGCTAGCTGAAATAAACTCTAAGATCGAGAACCTCAACACAAGGGTTTACTCTCTGGAGAATCATGCTTCTTCTGTTGCTGCTGCTACAAAGCAAGGACAACTACCTGGTAAAGCTATTCAGAACCCCAAGGAACAGTGCAAGGTCATCTTCACTCAAGAAGGACTTGTTGAAGAAGAGGATCAAGAAAGGGTCATTGAAGATTTTTGTTTACTGCTGAATGATGAAGAGATTGTTGCTGCTGAGGCTCCTGGAGTCCAGATTGATCAACCAGAAGTGCATGCACCTACTGTGGCCATTCACACTTCACCAGTTGAGCTCGCACGGCAAGCTCGATCGAGTCCAACTCTAGCTCGATCGAGTCCGACCTCTTCTGTCCGACAGCCTGTTTTGCTTGATCCTTATCAACCGGTTGCCGCTTCCTCGTCTCGCCTACTTAGTCAAGGTCACAAGGAAGTGATTCACAAGTTCAGAAGAGATCTCAGTGGGATTGGAATTGAGTTGCCTCCTATGGATAGCATGAGTGAGGCATTTGATCAAATGCAAATGGTCAAGGATGTTCTAGCCAACAGTGATAAAGTTTCAGAGGTCCTACAAGAGTCTACTCATCAGTTCAACCTGCTTACTTCACCCACCTTCCTACCAAAGGTCAAGGATCAAGGGAAATTCACTCTCCCTTGCACACTTGGGCATCTTGAGATTGACAATGCCTTAGTGGATTCTGGAGCAAGCATCAATCTGATCTCTCTCTCCATGGCAGAGAAGCTAGGCATTGCTGGAGCCTTGCAGCGCCCTACTACTTCAATCATGTTTGGAGATGCAACTTCTAAGTCTCCTCTTGGAGTGTTCAAGAACTATCACTTGAAAATTGGAGAATGCATCATCCAAACTGATCTCACTGTGATGGAAATGGAAGAAGAGAAGGATTTACCTCTGTTATTGGGAACCCCTTTCCTTAGTACAGTTGGCGCTTCAATAGACTTTCACAAGCAAGAAGTGATCCTTCACAAGGTGAATAGTTTGGTGTCATATCGCTTGCAGCCTAGAGGTTCAGACTTTTGTGCCACAATTGACAGTACCAACTCAGTTCTAAGAGTCATGGAGCTACAAAGGTTGTGAAGGAAAGGGTTGACAAGGAACCAAGAGTTGGGAAGGATAAGGATGAGAGAGGACCAAGGATTGAGAAGCCACGTCTTGAGAGGGCTAGAGTTGAGAAACCACGATCTGATAGGCCAAGAGCTGAGAGACTTGTTCAAGCCCCTTGTGTGCTTGATGAAGAGAGCCTTCAAGCTTTGTTTGATGAGCCACTAGGAAGGGCTCTAAAAGAAGGGGAGGATGTAGCCTCTAAGGCAAGACCAGGTGATAAAAGAAAGGATCCACCAGCTCAGGCCCCTTCAGTCAAGCCATCTCAGCTCACAATGACTTTGTTCCCCACCAAGTTTGAAAATGGGAAGATTGAGTACAAGATAAGGTACAAGGGGAGATCAAGGCCATTCTCTAGAGCCAAGGCCTTGGTGACTTCAGAACAGTCCAGGGACCCAACCAAGCTAAAGGAGCTTCTGTCTCAAGTCCTCACTATCACCCTTGATGGTGGGACTAGCTCAACCAATGCCTAAAAGGTAAAGGTCAAGCTATGGGACCTTAAACAAGCTCACTTGGGAGGAAGTCCCATGTTTATCCTTGTACATATTCTATTTATGCAATTTCTATCTATCTTTATGTTTTTAACCTTTGAATAAGTTAAGTTTAGGTGTCAAAGGAGCCAGCTCGATCGATCGCTAGAAACCAGGGCAACTCGATCGAGCTACACAACTCGACCGAGGTAAGTTTTTGAATTTCAAATTCATAACCGTTTTCTTGGTCAAGGGAGTGGGTCCCACAAGCTGATTTTGGTCCCCCACTACCCTAATTTGATCAGAGAATCCCTAGCTTCTTGTTCCCTCTTTATTTCATCTTTTAATCTCAACCACACATCTCAAACACCCCTCTTCCCCATAACTCGATCGAATCCACTTCTCACTCTCCCACACTTAAAATTTCTGAAATCATCTCTCTCTCTCTTCACCACAAGAAAAATCGATTTCAATCTCTCTCTAAGTTTTTGCGATTTCCATTGTTCTTCATCTTGTTTTGCTTGGGTTTTGTTTACTGCTCTTCAATTTCATTCAACAAGTACTTTAGTGAAGAAACAGGTAACAAGATGACAAACAGTGAGGGAAGTCGCGCTTCACAGAGGAGAATGGTTGAGGGTGAATCAAGCAATGCAAGGGAAAGAAGGCTTAAGATGCAAGCCGATTTGAAGAGGATGGATCAGAGGATGGAAGAATCTGATGCAGAGGGATATGTCTACTCTGAGGAGAAGTCTGAGAGTGAGAGATTGAGGGAAGAAAGGAGAACCAAGAAGAGGAATGACCCATTAGTAGTGAGAGTGAGCAAGGGGAGTTTGAGATTGGAGTGAACCTTGTTCAAGAGGAGGGAAATGGTCTCCAAATGAAGAAGGAAGTGATGAGACTGAGAGTGAAGAGGAAGGAGAAGAGGTGAACCAATTGGTTGATGAAGATGACAAGAGGAACCAAGATGAACCTATGGAGGAGTTGAGCCACAAGAGCAAGAGGAGGAGAAGAACTCCCTATGTACCAAGAGCATTACAATGCTCTCTTCTCCATGGACTTCATGGACACCAAGTACCCACATGTTGACACAATGAAGGCCCTTGGAATCTTTGAGGATGTGGAGTTGGTCTCAAGAACATGCACTTGGCCAAGCTTTTCTCTTATCACATGGAATCCTACAAGGAGCTCACTTGCGAGTTCTTAGCTTCAATGAGGTACCACATGTATGAGAGGAAGATAGAGCTGATTTGGACCAAGGATTGGGATGGATCACGTTCTTGGCTAAGGGAGAGAAGAGAATGGTGACCTTTAGGCAGCTGGAGATCTTGTTTGGGTTCAACTATGGAGAGGGTACCAAGTGGAACTTCAAGGAAAAGGAACTCCAAAGGGTTTGGGCTACAATCGCTGATGGAGTGTACTCTTCCTCAAGGTCCAAGGCAGCTCAGATCAGGAGCCCAGTCTTGAGGTATGTGCACAAGGCACTTGCCAACACCTTCTTTGCAAGGAAGGCACCGGGACCATCAACGAGGGGGAACTCAAGTTTCTTGACATGGGAATCAAGCCCATTCTCTCACGCACAAGCGATGGCAAGAGGATCAGGGGAGATAGATCTGACACAGGGAACTTGATGCCTTTCCTTGACCATCTCCTTACCTACAAGATCACAGCCTACAACACTAGACATCAACGAGGGAAGGCGCTAAGTGTTGGAGGGCTCATCACCCTATCTTGTGTGCTGCTGGAGTGAACCCAACTGATAGGAGAGCCACTGAACCAGGTTGGATGGACATCAAGTTTTGCAAGACCAACCTTCTCATTGAGCACAAGGAGTTGGATGGGAGATTCCAATTCAAGTTCACACATCCATTGGTTGGACCCTCCAAGCTTCTCCTGCCTAACCCAGAGCTCACCACAGTAGTAAGGGGTGAGAACATTGACTTCAGACCCCCTGTGTACACATTAGTTGGGCATGAGGATGATTTGCGAGAAGAGGAGCCTGAGCTCGATCGAGCTGAGTCGAGCTGAGGATCGAGCTGAGATCGAGCTGAAGATCAGGCCAGGAAGTGCGGATTTGGGTGAGCCTGAGTGCTATTACTTTGAGGAGTATGAGGCTCCAAGGATGAACCCCTCTGTTGTGGCTGCCACAAGAGGATTGGACTTCTCCAAAAGTTCAACAAATGGCAAGGGAAAGCCATTGAGAAGATGCAAAAGTCCATGGACAAGATGGTGAGCAAGATCAAAAGTTTGGAGAAGAAGGTTTCTGGTTCTTCAAGCAAGAAGAAGAAGTCCAAGGCCCCCACATTCCCTAGGAGTAGATCTCTTCTCACCACTCCAAGGAGGCTCCCTGCCCAAGAGCCTCACAGAGCCTCTTCTTTCGAGCCAAGGGAAGGAGAAGACAACACGCAGAGAAGGAGGAAGACTTCCAAGGCCAGACGCTCCAGCTCGACCACCGGACTCGATCGAGTCCAAACAGAGGAAACTCAACTCGATCGAGCTGAGGTCGAGTGACCTGGAGGAGCCCCTGTTTGAGATCCGGATTCGAGTACGATCCAACGCAGTACCAGGACTTCTCCAGACCATGGACCCCTACAACAGCTTCGAGCAGCCAGCTCCACCAAGGCCAAGGGAGCCACACACATTTCAAGATGAAGAAGAGGAGGAAGAGGAGCCGCAAGCTCGATCGAGTGAGCCGCAAGAGGCAACCCCAGTTGCATGGAGTGCTCCTGATGGCCGTCTACCATCTCCAGACCACGACCTAGCCTCCCAGTTCTTTGGGGGGCACTGAGGTATCCAAACACCAACCCTTGTATATACCATTTCATATTTTCTTGCATTTGTTCTTGTTTTTTCTTGGTTTTGCCCTCTTGAATCTTTCACTAAATTTTTCTCACACAAGGGACTGTGTGATTTAAGTTTGGGGGAGGGTTCAAGAGATGATTTAACCTTGTTTTCTTTGTTCTTAGTTTTTCATTTATCTTTTGCATAGAAAAACCAAAAAAATCATAAAATTTTCAAAAAATCCAAAAATATTTTCATCTTTTTGCATTCATATTTGTTAGACTTGTTTAGGATTGCATTTTTCACTTGCATTGTTGATTTGACTTTGAAAACTTGTCCATCTTTTGCGATTTCTTGAGTGCCCTGTTTTTAGATTCTTTTGTGCATTAGGGTGAGATTGATTGAGCAGCAAGAACCATGTTTATCTTGATCATATCACTGCATGCACATCTCATTCAACCATTGCTGTGATTTGATGCATTTCCCTATCTATTTGAACCATAACTTGATCTTTAATTACCAATGCTTGCATTTGATTTCAACTCATGGCTACCACATACATATCTGGACATTCTTTACCTTTTCATATCCCTTTTGCTTGTCCAGATAGCTGATCTCTATCTTTGAGACAGTTACCACACCTTAAACCTAAGCCTTTTCATTTCAAACCCCATTTTATCTCTTGTGCGAATGTGAGAACCTTTCTTGGCTTTGCTTAGCATAAGGTGTTGTGTTTAAACCGGCAGGGGCAGTAGTTCTAGTTGTCTAGTTCTCTTGGGATTGTTTTCAGGCTAAGTTTGGGGGTGCCAACTCGAGCTCGATCGAGTTGGGTGTAAAAACCAGAAAAGTGGTAAAAGTTGGGAAAAACCCAAAGGAAAAAGAGTTTGGTTAAGTCCAGGGAGTTGGCAGTGTTAAAAAGGGTCTAGTAAAGGTTTGGGAAGTTAAAAAAGGAAGTAAAAAGGGTTCTAAGTAGAATGAAAAGAAGGCAAAGCCTCAAGTGTCCAAAAAGGAAAGAAAAGTTCCCTAAGTGTTTAGAAAATCCCAAACCGCTAGATGTTACCTCAAGAAGCCTCTCCCTAGGAAGTTCTTAAAAGAAAAGTGAGCAAAGCTCCTCAGTTTCAAAGGCGAAATGCCAAAAAGGGTAGTTAGGATTTTGTTCTAAAAAGCTCTAAGTGTTGAACTCGATCGAGTTAGGATTAGGCGGCTCGAGCTGCTGTTCTTGCATCATCTTTGGTTCTAACACTTAGCCTTCTGCCAAAGCAAAGCCACTTTCTTGAGAGATCCCTGTTACTAAACCACCATACAAAAGAGACCCTCTTTGTCTCTTAACCCATAAACCCTTGAAACCAAATGAGTTGATTGATCTTGCATGTTTTTGGTTCACTGTTTTTGCTTAATGAATGTTAAAGGGATTTGCTGATTTGAATGCATTGTTTGAGTGACTGTGAAGTGGGATTGATGTTGATAAGCATGGTTAAATCTTAATGAATATCTCTCACCTTGTTGCATTCTAGAATCTCTAAGTTGGACATTTAGCAAATCGCTTTTGAGGACATGTTTTTAAGTGTTGAATCAGCTATTTTCAAACCTCATCTCTTTCTTGTTCTATTTGTTTGCTTGAGGGCAAGCAAAGTTCAAGTTTGGGGGTGTTGATGTACTTGCATTTTACATAGTTTTAGCACATCTTTTATGCATCTTTTGCATAGTTTTAGCTTCCATTTGCATCATATCTTGTTCCTTTTCTCTTCTTATGCATTCATGTTAGTTTTAGGTTGCATTTGCATACATATGCATGTTTGGTCCTTTGAAATAGGTCTTTTGGAGCATTCTGGAGCATATGGGACATGAGGAGCATGGAGGGACTTGGCACATGGAAGCAGCTCAACTGGATACGCAAAGGAAGAAGGGAGAAGCCATCTTGAAGACCAGCTCGACCGTCTACTCGACCAACCGGTCGAGTTCCTCAACTCGACCGGCCAAGCTTCAACTCGATCGAGCTGAGAAGTCAACAGTCAAACCCGAAAAATGTTGCTTCCCCCTTGACTTTCCTTTGACCCTAAACCTAATCCTCTTGTATTTAAAGGCTCTAAGCCACGAAAAAACCACCAAGCTTTAGATTATTTTGTTTTAGTTTCTTTTAATTTATTGTCTTTTACTTTTTAGAGCTCTAATCCCATCTTTGTGTTCTTGAAGCTCTTGCTTCTTGAATCCTAGATCCTGGATAATCTCTCTTGTATTTGCACTTGCTTATTTCAATAAAAGTTGTTTAATTTCATCTCCTCTTTCTTATGATGTCTCTTTTATTGCATTTGCTTGTGTTTACATTCATGTGTAGTGAGTAGTTACCCATTGGGGTTTGAGATGGGATAGATTAGAGGTTTCATATGCTTAATCCTTCTAGCTTATGGTCTTAATCTAGATTCTCTCTCTTTTGGATAGATCTTAAGGCTACATGACCACTACCCCTGGCTTGTAAGTCCTTAGGCGACTCCCCACACGAAAGTGATGGCATTCGCTGGAAAAGATCCACTAAGAGCTCCAATATCTCTTGCTCTAGACAATAGAGGTCTAAGGGGTTGGATGGATTAGTTTGGGCAATGATCCTATAGCCTCCAAGGTTTGATTCTCACTGGCTAACCCCCTGTTTCTGAGATCATTCCTTGGTTGATAGCCTCCACCTTGGGAAAGGGTTGGCTAGGCATTGAGAAGCCCAATATCAAGAGAAGCCTTGATACAAGGAGTTTTAAGAGCTAGATTGATTAAGTGTAGATTCCTTTGATTGCAAAACCCTGTCTTGAACCCTAATTCTCTCTTATCTTGTTAAAGTCGTCACCTTTAGCTTTGTTTGTCTCAACTCGTCCCTAAACTCGATCGAGCTGGTACTTTGTTCTGACTCGACTCGAGCTCTTGGTCGAGCTGCTACTTCACTGCTTTGTTTACTTTTATTGCACTGCATTTCATTTTATTTAGGTTGTTAGTGTTACTTCAAATCTATAACTGCTTGCTTGACTTTCTGGTTGTTTCATATTCTCAAGAGTGACAAGTTTCCCATTTTGGATTGATAACCCTTTGTACTACATCAACTATCATGGTTAAAGGGAATTGTTGACTGTGTTTGTGTTTGCATCTTACCACCTCATCATATACCACTGATTGCATTCCACCATCTCATTTCATATCTTTTCACATCCACACACAAATCCTATCATCAGTAGATCCTTCTCTTCTTCCATCTCCATGACAGTAAGATCAGTTTAGATGATGCATTATCCTATTTTCAAGTGATAGTTCTTGAACACACCAAGAGGAGACTTTGAAGTGGCATCTCCAAACATGATGGAAGTAGTAGGGCGCTGCAATGCTCCAGCAATGCCAATCCTTTATGCCATTGTGAGTGAGATGAGGTTGATGCTTGCACCAGAATCCACCAAGGCATTGTCAACCTCAATATGCCCAAGTGTGCGAGGGAGAGTGAACTTCCCTTGATCCTTCACCTTTGGTAAGAAAGTGGGTGAGGTAAGCAGGTTGATTTGGGGAGTAGACATCTTTAGAAGCTCAGAAAACTTGTCCTTGTGAGCCAGAACATCTTGAATCAACTTCATTTGCTCAAAGGCCTCACTCATGCTTTCCATAGAAGGCAACTCAACTCCAATCTCACTTAGGTCTCTTCTGAACTTGTGAATCACTTCCTTATGGTTTTGACTGAGTAGGCGGCCTGATGATGTATCAACTGGCTGGTAAGGGTCTAGCAAAATCGGGTTGAGGACAGATGAGGTCGGACTCGATCAAGCTAGAGTTCGACTCGATCGAGCTGCCGATCGAGCTTGTTGTGCGAGCTCAACTGGTGAAGTGTGAAAGGCCACAGTAGGTGCTTGCACTTCTGGTTGATCAATCTGGACTCAGGAGCCTCAGCAGCAACAATCATCATCATTCAGCAGTAAACAAAACTCTTCCATGACTCTCTCTTGATCCTCCTCTTCATCAAGACCTTCTTGAGTGAAGATGACCTTGCACTATTCCTTGGGGTTCTGAATGGCTTTACCAGGTAGCTGTCCTTGCTTTGTAGCAGCAGCAACAGAAGAAGCAAGATTTTCCAGAGAGTACACTCTTGTGTTGAGATTCTCAATCTTGGAGTTGATTTCAGCTAGCTTCTTGCTTGTGTCCACAATACCATCAGCTTGTCCTTGAAGCAATTTTTTCAACATGGCCTTGAGCTCATTCTCAGGTGTAGGTGCAGGCTGGGGTGGTTGGTAGGGAAAGCCAGGTGGTATGTGCATTTGCTGACCAGGAAAAGTCCCTTGAGGTCCTTGGTAGTTGTTCTTAGGACCATACCCATGTTGTAGGGCTTGACTCGATCGAGCTAGCTGTTGTTGAGGATAGACGTGGTCCTGAGGGTTAGCAACATCAGTGTTTCGGTATGACATGGCTGGGTTGGACTTGTAATTATAGTATTGATGTACTTGCATTTTACATAGTTTTAGTACATCTTTTAGCATCTTTTGCATAGCTTTAGCATCCATTAGCATCATTTCTTGTTCCTTTTCTCTCTTTATGCATTCATAGTAGTTTTAGGTTGCATTTGCATACATATGCATGTTTGGTCCTTTGAAATAGGTCTTTTGGAGCATTTTGGAGCATATGGGACGTGAGGAGCAAGGAAGGATTCAGTGCATGGACGCAGCTCAAGTGGATACGCTAAGGAAGAAGGAGGAAGCCGCCTTGAAGACCAGCTCGTCCACCTGCTCGACCATCCAGTCGAGTTCCTCAACTCGACCGGCAAAGTTCAACTCGATCGAGCTGGGAAGTCAAAGTCAAACCCGAAAAATGTTGCTTCCCCCTTGACTTCCCTTTGACCCTAAACCTAAATCCTCTTGTATTTAAAGGCTAAAAGCCACGAGAAAACCACCAAGGTTTAGATTACTTTTTGTTTTAGTTTCTTTTTAATTATTGTCTTTAACTTTTGAGAGCTCTAAATCCCATCTTTGTGTTCTTGAAGCTCTTGCTTCTTGAATCCTAGATCCTGGATAATCTCTTTTGTATTTGCACTTTGCTATTTCAATAAAAGTTGTTCATCTTTATCTCCTCTTTCATATGATTTTTATTTCATTGCATTTGCTTATGTTTATATCCATGTGTAGTGAGTAGTTACCCATTAGGGTTTGAGATGGGATAGATTAGGGGTTTCATATGCTTAATCCTTCTTGCTTATGGTCTTAATCTAGATTCTCTCTTTTGGATAAATGTTAAGGCTACATGACCACTACCCCTGGCTTGTATGTCATTAGGCGATTCTCCACATGGAAGTGATGGAAATCGCTAGAAAATATCCACTAAGGGCTCCAACAACCCTTGCTCTTGAAATTGATTTCAAGGGATTGGATGGATTAGCTTGGACAATGATCCTATGGCCTCCAAGGTGTGACTCTCACTGGCTAACCAGCTGTTTCTGAGATCACATTCTGGGGTGACGGAGGGATCATACCGTTCGAGCCTTTTTTCATGCTTTTCCCGGGGGTCTGGAGAAAGCTGCAATCATAACTCAGCAGTAGAGTGTCACCTTGACGTGGTGGAAGTCATCAGTTCGAGCCTGATTATCCCTAAACCCAATGAATGTGAGTAACTCCTTGGTTGATAGCCTCCACCTTGGGAAAGGGTTTGCTAGGCATTGAGAAGTCCATTATCAAGAGAAGCCTTGATACAAGGAGTTTTAAGAGCATGATCGATTAAGTGTAGCTTTCGCTTGTTAAAGTCGCTGCCTTTACTGCTTTTTACTTCAACTCGACCCTAAACTCAATCGAGCTCGGTACTCTGTTCCAACTCGACTCGAGTCCTTGGTCGAGCTGTTGCTTTACTGCTTTTCTTTTTATTTCTGCATTGCATTTCATTTTATTAGGTTGTTAGTGTTACCCATATCATTTACTGCTTGCTTGACTTCCTGGTTGTTTCATATTCTCATAGAGTAACAACTTCTCCCATTTTGGATTGATAACCCTTTATGCTATAATGACTATCATGGTTAAAGGGAATTGTTGACTGTGTTTGTGTTTGCATCTTACCACCTCATCATATACCACTGTTGCATTCCACACATCTCATTTCATATCATTTCACATCCACACACAAATCCTATCATCAATTTGGCGCCGTTGCCGATTTGGGATTATTTTTGTTGCATTTGAGTTTCAAACATACTTGGACGATCAAGCTATACCACCCCTGTTCTTTGTACTGCTGGGTTTTTGTCTCTTTTTGCAGGTGTATGCGAACTCGATCGAGTCGGTCTACAGAGGACTTGGTCGAGCTAGACTTTACAACGGGTAGAAAGAGGGTTCAGAGGTCACAGAGGGTACAAGAGGAACCTGAGGTGCTTGTTGCTGATACAATGGATGTACCAGAGGGGAATGGAAACCCTTTGGGCAATGGACTCGGTCGAGCTAGGCAAACTCGACCGATTGGTCTAGGAGATGCTCCAAACCGCCACCAACAGAGACAAGGGATTGTTCCACCACCAGTGCAGAACCACAACTTTGAGATCAAGCTGGGAATGATCAACCTTGTTCAGAACAAGATGTTCCATGGATTGCCAAGTGAAGACCCCATTGACCACCTTGATGAGTTTGATAGGCTTTGCGATTTGACAAAGATCAATGGTGTCTCTGAAGATGCCATCAAGCTGAGACTCTTTCCTATGTCTCTAGCTGACAAAGCTCACCAATGGGAGAAGAGCTTGCCCCATGGCACAATCACCACTTGGGATGAATGCAAGAAGGCCTTTCTTGCTAAGTTTTTCTCCACCGGTCGCACAGCCAAGCTTAGGAGGAGATATCCAGCTTCATCAGAGAAACAATGAGACATTCGCTGAGGCTTGGGAGAGGTTCAAAGGCTACACAAGTCAGTGCCCACACCATGGATTCAACAATGAATCACTACTCTCTACACTTTATAGAGGATGCTTGCCTAGGTATAGGAGATGCTAGACACAGCAGCAATGGGAACTTCCTCAACCAGGATGTAGATGATGGCTGGCAGCTTGTGGAGAACATAGCAACTCAATGGAAGCTATGGAGAAGAGTATGATCGCACCAATCGGAGCTCGACCCACCACTCGATCGAGTCAGATGAGAAATTGAGAAAAGATGTTAAGGCATTGAATGAGAAGTTGGATAAGCTGATCTTAGCTCAGTCCACAATGAAGAAAGTCAACTTTGTGTCTGCTGAAGAGATGGAACCAGTCCAAGAAGGGGAGGATACACAATTTGCTGAAGTGTGCTACATGAGCAATGGGCAAGGAGGTTACAACAAAGGATACTATAATTACAAGTCCAACCCAGCCATGTCATACCGAAACACTGATGTTGCTAACCCTCAGGACCAGGTCTATCCTCAACAACAGCAGCTCGATCGAGTCAAGCGCCACAACATGGGTATGGTCAAAAGAACAATTACCAAGGACCCAAGGGACTTTCCCTGGACAACAAATGAACATACCACCAGGCTTTCCCCACCAACCACCCCAGCCTGCACCTACAAGAGAATGAGCTCAAGGAATGCTGAAACAACTGCTTCAAGGGCAAGCTGATGGTGTAGTGGACACAAGCAAGAAGCTAGCTGAAATCAACTCCAAGATCGAGAATCTCAACACAAGAGTTTACTCTCTGGAGAATCATGCTTCTTCTGTTGCTGCTGCTACAAAGCAAGGACAACTACCTGGTAAAGCTATTCAGAACCCCAAGGAACAGTGCAAGGTCATCTTCACTCAAGAAGGACTTGTTGAAGAGGAGGATCAAGAGAGAGTCATTGAAGAGTTTTGTTTACTGCTGAATGATGATGAGATTGTTGCTGCTGAGGCTCCTGGAGTCCAGATTGATCAACCAGAAGTGCAGGCACCTACTGTGGCCCTTCACACTTCACCAGTTGAGCTCGCACAACAAGCTCGATCGGCAGCTCGATCGAGTCGAACTCTAGCTCGATCGAGTCCGACCTCTTTGTCCCAAAGCCTTTTGCTTGATCCTTACCAACCGGTTGCCACTTCCTCGTCTCGCCTACTTAGTCAAGGTCAAGGAAGTGATTCACAAGTTCAGAAGAGATCTCAGTGGGATTGGAATTGAGTTGCCTCCTATGGATAGCATGAGTGAGGCATTTGATCAAATGCAAATGGTCAAGGATGTTATGGCCAACAGTGATAAAGTTTCAGAGGTCTGAAGGAGTCTACTCATCAGTTCAACCTGCTTACTTCACCACTTTCCTACCAAAGGTCAAGGATCAAGGGAAATTCACTCTCCCTTGCACACTTGGGCATCTTGAGCTTGACAATGCCTTGGTGGATTCTGGAGCAAGCATCAATCTGATCTCTCTCTCCATGGCAGAGAAGCTAGGCATTGCTGGAGCCTTGCAGCGCCCTACTACTTCAATCATGTTTGGAGATGCAACTTCTAAGTCTCCTCTTGGAGTGTTCAAGAACTATCACTTGAAAATTGGAGAATGCATCATCCAAACTGATCTTACTGTCATGGAGATGGAAGAAGAGAAGGATCTACCTCTGTTATTGGGAACCCCATTCCTTAGCACAGTTGGCGCTTCAATAGACTTTCACAAGCAAGAAGTGATCTTCACAAGGTGAATAGTTTGGTGTCATATCGCTTGCAGCCTAGAGGTTCAGACTTTTGTGCCACAATTGACAGTACCACTCTCAGTTCTAAGACTCATGAAGCTACAAAGGTTGTGAAGGAAAGGGTTGACAAAGAACCAAGAGTTGGGAAGGATAAGGTTGAGAAGGACAAAGAGTTGATAGAGGACCAAGGATTGAGAAGCCACGTCTTGAGAGGGCTAGAGTTGAGAAACCACGTCTGATAGGCCACGAGCTGAAAGGCTTGTTCAAGCCCCTTGTGTGCTTGATGAAGAGAGCCCTCAAGCACTGGTGGTGGAACAATCCCTTGTCTTTGTTGGTGGCGGTTTGGAGCATCTCCTTGACCAATCGGTCGAGTTTGCCTAGCTCGACCGAGTCCATTAAAGGGCCATTCGGTAATCATTGTATCAGCAACAAGCATCAGGTTCGAGTTGAAGTAAAAAGCAGTAAAGGCAGCGACTTTAACAAGGAAAGCTACACTTAATCAATCTAGCTCTTAAAACTCCTTGTATCAAGGCTTCTCTTGATATTGGGCTTCTCAATGCCTAGCCAACCCTTTCCCAAGGTGGAGGCTATCAACCAAGGAATGATCTCAGAAACAGGGGGTTAGCCAGTGAGAATCAAACCTTGGAGGCTATAGGATCATTGCCCAAACTAATCCATCCAACCCCTTAGACCTCTATTGTCTAGAGCAAGAGATATTGGAGCTCTTAGTGGATCTTTTCCAGCGAATGCCATCACTTTCGTGTGGGGAGTCGCCTAAGGACTTACAAGCCAGGGGTAGTGGTCATGTAGCCTTAAGATCTATCCAAAAGAGAGAGAATCTAGATTAAGACCATAAGCTAGAAGGATTAAGCATATGAAACCTCTAATCTATCCCATCTCAAACCCTAATGGGTAACTACTCACTACACATGAATGTAAACACAAGCAAATGCAATAAAAGAGACATCATAAGAAAGAGGAGATGAAATTAAACAACTTTTATTGAAATAAGCAAGTGCAAATACAAAGAGATTATCCAGGATCTAGGATTCAAGAAGCAAGAGCTTCAAGAACACAAAGATGGGATTAGATCTCTAAAAAGTAAAAGACAATAAATTAAAAGAAACTAAAACAAAATAATCTAAAGCTTGGTGGTTTTTTCGTGGCTTAGAGCCTTTAAATACAAGAGGATTAGGTTTAGGGTCAAAGGAAAGTCAAGGGGGAAGCAACATTTTTCGGGTTTGACTTTGACTTCTCAGCTCGATCGAGTTGAAGCTTGGCCGGTCGAGTTGAGGAACTCGACCGGTTGGTCGAGTAGACGGTCGAGCTGGTCTTCAAGATGGCTTCTCCCTTCTTCCTTTGCGTATCCAGTTGAGCTGCTTCCATGTGCCAAGTCCCTCCATGCTCCTTGTCCCATATGCTCCAGAATGCTCCAAAAGACCTATTTCAAAGGACCAAACATGCATATGTATGCAAATGCAACCTAAAACTAACATGAATGCATAAGAAGAGAAAAGGAACAAGATATGATGCAAATGGAAGCTAAAACTATGCAAAAGATGCATAAAAGATGTGCTAAAACTATGTAAAATGCAAGTACATCAACACCCCCAAACTTGAACTTTGCTTGCCCTCAAGCAAACAAATAGAACAAGAAAGAGATGAGGTTTGAAAATAGCTGATTCAACACTTAAAAACATGTCCTCAAAAGCGATTTGCTAAATGTCCAACTTAGAGATTCTAGAATGCAACAAGGTGAGAGATATTCATTAAGATTTAACCATGCTTATCAACATCAATCCCACTTCACAGTCACTCAAACAATGCATTCAAATCAGCAAATCCCTTTAACATTCATTAAGCAAAAACAGTGAACCAAAAACATGCAAGATCAATCAACTCATTTGGTTTCAAGGGTTTATGGGTTAAGAGACAAAGAGGGTCTCTTTTGTATGGTGGTTTAGTAACAGGGATCTCTCAAGAAAGTGGCTTTGCTTTGGCAGAAGGCTAAGTGTTAGAACCAAAGATGATGCAAGAACAGCAGCTCGAGCCGCCTAATCCTAACTCGATCGAGTTCAACACTTAGAGCTTTTTAGAACAAAATCCTAACTACCCTTTTTGGCATTTCGCCTTTGAAACTGAGGAGCTTTGCTCACTTTTCTTTTAAGAACTTCCTAGGGAGAGGCTTCTTGAGGTAACATCTAGCGGTTTGGGATTTTCTAAACACTTAGGGAACTTTTCTTTCCTTTTTGACACTTGAGGCTTTGCCTTCTTTTCATTCTACTTAGAACCCTTTTTACTTCCTTTTTTAACTTCCCAAACCTTTACTAGACCCTTTTTAACACTGCCAACTCCCTGGACTTAACCAAACTCTTTTTCCTTTGGGTTTTTCCCAACTTTTACCACTTTTCTGGTTTTTACACCCAACTCGATCGAGCTCGAGTTGGCACCCCCAAACTTAGCCTGAAAACAATCCCAAGAGAACTAGACAACTAGAACTACTGCCCCTGCCGGTTTAAACACAACACCTTATGCTAAGCAAAGCCAAGAAAGGTTCTCACATTCGCACAAGAGATAATATGGGGTTTGAAATGAAAAGGCTTAGGTTTAAGGTGTGGTAACTGTCTCAAAGATAGAGATCAGCTATCTGGACAAGCAAAAGGGATATGAAAATAGGTAAAGAATGTCCAGATATGTATGTGGTAGCCATGAGTTGAAATCAAATGCAAGCATTGGTAATTAAAGATCAAGTTATGGTTCAAATAGATAGGGAAATGCATCAAATCACAGCAATGGTTGAATGAGATGTGCATGCAGTGATATGATCAAGATAAACATGGTTCTTGCTGCTCAATCAATCTCACCCTAATGCACAAAAGAATCTAAAAACAGGGCACTCAAGAAATCGCAAAAGATGGACAAGTTTTCAAAGTCAAATCAACAATGCAAGTGAAAAATGCAATCCTAAACAAGTCTAACAAATATGAATGCAAAAAGATGAAAATATTTTTGGATTTTTTGAAAATTTTATGATTTTTTTGGTTTTTCTATGCAAAAGATAAATGAAAAACTAAGAACAAAGAAAACAAGGTTAAATCATCTCTTGAACCCTCCCCCAAACTTAAATCACACAGTCCCTTGTGTGAGAAAAATTTAGTGAAAGATTCAAGAGGGCAAAACCAAGAAAAAACAAGAACAAATGCAAGAAAATATGAAATGGTATATACAAGGGTTGGTGTTTGGATACCTCAGTGCCCCCCAAAGAACTGGGAGACTAGGTCGTGGTCTGGAGATGGTAGACGGCCATCAGGAGCACTCCATGCAACTGGGGTTGCCTCTTGTGGCTCACTCGATCGAGCTTGCGGCTCCTCTTCCTCCTCTTCTTCATCAAAGTGTGTGGCTCCCTTGGCCTTGGTGGAGCTGTGCTTGCTCGAAGCTGTTGTAGGGGTCCAGGGTCTGGGAGAAGTCCTGGTACTGGTTGATCGTACTCGAATCCAGGATCTCAAACAGGGGCTCCTCCAGGTCAGCTCGACCCTCAGCTCGATCGAGTTGAGTTTCCTCTGTTTGGACTCGATCGAGTCCGGTGGTCGAGCTGGAGCGTCTGGCCTTGGAACTCTTCCTCCTTCTCTGCGTGTTGTCTTCTCCTTCCCTTGGCTCGAAAGAAGAGGCTCTGTGAGGCTCTTGGGCAGGGAGCCTCCTTGGAGTGGTGAGGAGAGATCTACTCCTAGGGAATGTGGGAGCCTTGGACTTCTTCTTCTTGCTTGAAGAACCAGAAACCTTCTTCTCCAAGCTCTTGATCTTGCTCACCATCTTGTCCATGGACTTTTGCATCTTCTCCATGGCTTTCCCTTGCCACTTGTTGAACTTTTGGAGAAGTCCAATCCTCTTGTGAGCAGCCACAACAGAGGGGTTCATCCTTGGAGCCTCATACTCCTCAAAGTAATAGCACTCAGGCTCACCCAATCGCTTCCTCACTGGCCCTGATCTTCAGCTTGCAGCTCTCAGCTCGATCCTCAGCTCGATCGAGCTCAGGCTCCTCTTCTCGCAAATCGCTTCATGCCCAACTAATGGTACACAGGGGGTCTGAAGTCAATGTTCTCACCCCTAGACTGTGGTGAGCTCAGGGTTGGGCAGGAGAAGCTTGGAGTCCAGCCAATGGATGTGTGAACTTGAATTGGAATCTCCCATCCAACTCCTTGTGCTCAATGAGGAGGTTGGTCTTGCAAAACTTGATGTCCATCCAACCTGGTGGAGTAGACCTTCTCTTGTTTAACTCCAGCTGCACAAAGATAGGTGTGATGACCTCCAACACTTAGCTTCTTCCCTTTGATGCCTAGTGTTGTAAGCTGTGACTTGTAGGAAGGAGCTGGTCTCAAAGGGCATGAGTTCCCTGGTGTGCCTATCTCCTCTGATCCTCTCCATCCTTGTGCGTGAGATGATGGGCTTGATTCCCATGTCAAGGAGCTTCACTTCTCCTCATTGATTGTCCCGTGCTTTCCTTGCAAAGAAGGTGTTGGCAAGTGCCTTGTGCACATACCTCAAGCACTGGGCTCCTGATCTGAGCAGCCTTGGACCTTGAGGAAGAGTACTCCCTCAGCTATTGTAGCCCAAACTCTTTGGAGTTCTTCTTCCTTGATGTTCCATTCCCTCTCCATAGTGAACCCAAACAGATCTCCAAGCTGCCTAAAGGTCACCATTTCTTCTCTCCCTTTGCCAAGAAAGTTATGTGATCCATCCCAGCCTTGGTCCAACTCAGCTCGATCGAGCTCATCACTCGTGATGCTCATCGACGCCAAAAACTCACAAGTGAACTCCTTGTAAGACTCCATGCGGTGAGAGAAGAACTTCCAATTGCATGTTCTTGAGCACCAACTCCACATCCTCAAAGATCCAAGGGCCTCATTGTCATCATGTGGGTACTTGGTCTCACAAAGTCCATGGAGAAGAGAGCATTGTAGTGCTCTTGGTACATAGGGAGCTCATCCTCCTCTTGCTCTGCCTCAGCATCCTCCATCTGCTCATCTTGGTTCCCCTCTTGATCCATCTTCATCAACTTGGACCTCACTTTCTTCCTCCTTGTTCATTTGGAGAACCATTTCCCTCCTCTTGAACAAGGTTCACTCAAAACTCCCCTTGCTCACTCTCACTACTTATGGGTCATTCCTCTTCTTGGTTCTCCTTTCTTCCCTCAATCCTCTCACTCTCAGACTGTTCCTCCTCAGAGTACATATTCCTCTGCATCAGATCTTCCATCCTCTGATCATCCTCTTCAAATCGGCTTGCATCTTAAGCCTTCTTTCCTTGCATTGCTTGATTCACCCTCAACCATTCTCCTCTGTGAAGCGCTTCCCTCACTGTTTGTCATCCTTGTTACACTGTTTTTCACTAAAGTACCTGAAATGTATCAAAGATTACAAGAATTAGAGTTGTAATGATCGGTTTGGTCAACTCGACACTCAGCTCGATCGAGTCAAAAAACTCGAGTGACAAACTCGATCGAGCTAGGGAAAACAGAGTATAACCAAACCTAATTCAAGTATTAAGAGCTGGAAAGGATGCTAATCAATCAAATTGAACCAAGAACAACTAGTAAATGGAACAATGAGCAATTCTAGTGAAAACAAGCATCCTTAACCAATACCAAACTCAAATTCAAATTTTAAGCACATGCAACAAGTTCAAAGGCAAAACAGAGGTGAGGTGAAACAAATTAACAAGACTATAGCAGAGGCGAAATATGAAGGCAATTAACAAGAACAAGTCCACAAGGGACACATGCAATCAAAATCAAAGAGAAAACAAGCAATAGGAGGAATCGAGATGAAGGAATCAAGAGGTTAGGGTTCATACCTTGCTTGAATGATGATTGAAGAACAGGAAACTAGAACTAAAGCAAAACAAGAGGAGCAACAATAGAAATCGCAAAAACTTATAGAGAAAGAGAAATTCGATTTCTTGTGGTGATGAGAGAGAGAGAGAGATGAATTTCAGAAAAATATTCGATCGAGTTATGGGGAAGAGGGTGTTTGAGATGTGTGGTTGAGATTAAAAGATGAAATAAAGAGGGAACAAGAAGCTAGGGATTCTCTGATCAAATTAGGGTAGTGGGGGACCAAAATCAGCTTGTGGGACCCACTCCCTTGACCAAGAAAACGGTTATGAATTTGAAATTCAAAAACTTACCTCGGTCGAGTTGTGTAGCTCGATCGAGTTGCCCTGGTTTCTAGCTCGATCGAGCTATCGGTCGAGCTGGCTCCTTGACACCTAAACTTAACTTATTCAAAGGTTAAAAACATAAAGATAGATAGAAATTGCATAAATAGAGTATGTACAAGGATAAACATGGGACTTCCTCCCAAGTGAGCTTGTTTAAGGTCCCATAGCTTGACCTTTACCTTCTTAGGCATTGGTTGAGCTAGTCCCACCATCAAGGGTGATAGTGAGGACTTGAGACAGAAGCTCCTTTAGCTTGGTTGGGTCCCTGGACTGTTCTGAAGTCACCAAGGCCTTGGCTCTAGAGAATGGCCTTGATCTCCCCTTGTACCTTATCTTGTACTCAATCTTCCCATTTTCAAACTTGGTGGGGAACAAAGTCATTGTGAGCTGAGATGGCTTGACTGAAGGGGCCTGAGCTGGTGGATCTTTCTTTTATCCCTGGTCTTGCCTTAGAGGCTGCATCCTCCCCTTCTTTTAGAGCCCTTCCTAGTGGCTCATCAAACAAAGCTTGAAGGCTCTCTTCATCAAGCACACAAGGGGCTTGAACAAGTCTCTCAGCTCTTGGCCTATCAGATCGTGGTTTCTCAACTCTAGCCCTCTCAAGACGTGGCTTCTCAATCCTTGGTCCTCTCTCATCCTTATCCTTCCCAACTCTTGGTTCCTTGTCAACCCTTTCCTTCACAACCTTTGTAGCTCCATGACTCTTAGAACTGAGAGTTGGTACTGTCAATTGTGGCACAAAAGTCTGAACCTCTAGGCTGCAAGCGATATGACACCAAACTATTCACCTTGTGAAGGATCACTTCTTGCTTGTGAAAGTCTATTGAAGCGCCAACTGTACTAAGGAAAGGGGTTCCCAATAACAAAGGCAAATCCTTCTCTTCTTCCATTTCCATCACAGTGAGATCAGTTTGGATGATGCATTCTCCAATTTTCAAGTGATAGTTCTTGAACACTCCAAGAGGAGACTTAGAAGTTGCATCTCCAAACATGATTGAAGTAGTAGGGCGCTGCAAGGTTCCAGCAATGCCTAGCTTCTCTGCCATGGAGAGAGAGATCAGATTGATGCTTGCTCCAGAATCCACTAAGGCATTGTCAATCTCAAGATGCCCAAGTGTGCAAGGGAGAGTGAATTTCCCTTGATCCTTGACCTTTGGTAGGAAGGTGGGTGAAGTAAGCAGGTTGAACTGATGAGTAGACTCTTGTAGGACCTCTGAAACTTTATCACTGTTGGCTAGAACATCCTTGACCATTTGCATTTGATCAAATGCCTCACTCATGCTATCCATAGTAGGCAACTCAATTCCAATCCCACTGAGATCTCTTCTGAACTTGTGAATCACTTCCTTGTGACCTTGACTAAGTAGGCGAGATGAGGATAGCATTCATGTATGCTTGATGATTGATCACAATTAGGGTTTTACTTATAATCTCCATCTTTGCTTATACTTAATGCTTGTTGTTAATCTGGCCAATTAGCATATGCCTTTAGGTTGATTTGAGCCTCGACAGTGCTGTATCATTCGCCTGAACTAGTATTTGGTGGGCAATCTCTTTTAGACTGCGAAAGTTGATCTACTTGTAGGTTGTGAACAATTGAACTTAATCGAACTAATGCTTGATTTAATCACCTAGGGACATACCAAAAGTTTAGCGACTAGGTAGATTAACAAAGGGGTCGGAGCCTCGACAGTGGAATGATCATACCATAGTGTTTCAAGTTCTAGATTAGCACCTAATGCAGGTAACCCTAATTGATTGATTTCATGCTTCATGAATTGCTTATCTTAAGACTATCCTATTGCTTAGCCCTTTTCTCCTATTGATCTCACTTTCTTTATTACTTGCATGCTTTACTTTCTCTGCACTCAACCAACTTATACTTTTGCCCTAGCTTGATCTCAATCTCATAGTTGTAGTGTGCAATCTGGTCCTCGTGTTCGATACCCGTTTACTACTTCTGACCTGTGCACTTGCAGAATCAGGGATAGGAAAGGGAAGACCTGATCCCGCGATCAAGTTTTTGGCGCCGTTGCCGGGGACCAATTCGCACCTACAAGCTCTTGCAAGAGAGCTAGTCTAGGGTTTTTCACTTTTCCTTTTTAGTTTTGTTATTTTTCCTTTTTCTTTGATTTTGTTTTTCCTTTTTGTTTTTGTTTTTAGCTTTTCAGGTTTTCCTAGTTAGATATGGAGAAGGAGCCACAAGCCTTTCCCCTATAAAGGCGATTCCCTTCGCCACATACCACCTCAAAGACCTCTTGAGCGAACAAGAGATGTCAAGCCCTCAAGCACCACCACCTTCATGGGATAGTCCTCCAAGACTATCCCTTTGAAGACAAAGAAGAAACTTCTTCCTTACCTTGAAGCAGCCGACCTGGAGACGTCTAGCCAAGCCGCATCACAGAGAAGAGACACCTTCTAGCCACACCAGAAGAGGAGATTAACCCTGAGCTGATCGAGTTCGTGAAGAGAGATCAATTCCATGATCTGTTTTCAGAGTATGCGCTGGAGCACATAGATCACTTTGACAATCTTTGTGATTCCTATGGAGTTTTTGACTTTGAGAAGAAGATGATGCTATTCAGCACATCACTAGCTGGACCAGCACTAGATTGGGCGCAGCATGAACCACTCTCTACAATCGAGTCATGGATCGATTTTAGAGAAGCTTTCTTGAAGAGATTTGCAAGGACCACCTTTCAAATCCAAGTACACCACTACTCTCATCAGCTGGAGAGAGAGCGTGATGAAGAAGAATGGGGAGGCATACCACCCCATCCTGAAGTCTGAATGAAGAGCTAATCAAGCATGTGGAGAGGAATCCTTTCTACAATTCTACTTCAGAGTGTGCAAAGGAGCATCTATGCAACTTTGAGCAGCTTTGCCACGACTATGGACTTGGAGACAACCCCAAGAAGATACAACTTTTCCAACTATCACTAGCTGGACAAGCCAAAGAATGGGCTAAGTTCAATGCCCAACATGCTTTCAAGACTTGGAATGGATACAAAGGAGCTTTCCTCCACAGATTTGCTAAAGGTCCTATTTATGTCCCACCACCACGCCCAAGCTATTCACAACACCATCCATCATCACCAGACATAAACAAGACACCACTTTTCCCAAGGGAGAGCTATCAAGCTGCGCCAAACCAAGATTGAAGAGATGCTTCAAGAGTACTTGAGAAATCAAGATGAGAGTACAAAGAAGATGGAGAGAAGAATCGATTTCATCCATGAGAGCCTTGGAAACAAATCTGAAGTCCTATTCAAGCAAGTGATCAAGCTTGATGAAGACATTAAGAAGTTAAGAGAGGATCATGATCGATCTCTGACCCTAGTTAAGCTTGATGTTGCTTCCAAATATCAAGAGTTGCTGAACAAGAGCATGAGAATTGAAGATACTAGCTATGGCAATAGCAAGCATCTTGGATCATCTACAACCGCCTACAAGCCCTTGAAGGATCATCTCATGCCAATTACAAGAGAGAGAGGAGTCCAACACCCAACCACCCTCCCTTTTATTGCAATGCCATCACAAGAAGAAGCAATACTCAAGTCCATGAGGACAATGAAGAAGAAGAAAGAGAGTATGAGGAACAACTTGAATGATGAAGATGAAGAGCAGAGCATCGACATCAATGCTTCCCCAAAACAGAGCAAGGATACACCTAGCCCTAGAGACCCTCGTTTCTCACCAAGAAGTCAAGCTTCTGCACTTCCAAGATTGGAAGCAATGCAAAGACCATCACCACCTACTGAAGAAGAAGATACTTGGCAGTATGATCCCATTGATCCCAACAAGATAAGCCCCATGAAGCTTAAGAGTTCAATGCTAAGGTGAAATCACTTCCATTCTATGTCACTTTTGAAGAAGCTTGGGATAAACATGGTCTAGTGGAGTTCTTTTTCACAACTAGTGAAAACAAAGAAGAGATACACCAACTTTTCAGGAAAGCTCGATTTCCCCTTGCCCCTCATGCAGTCAATCAACCACCATCACCACCATCATCACCACCACCCCAAGTGGTATGTCAATTCCATATCAAGAGAGAAGCTTGCTGAGTTCAATCAGTTTGTCCAAACTCTTCCAGCCAGCATGTCTTTCCAAAAGCTTGGCGCCACTACCCATTCACCACCTTTCTTCCACAACTGCAAGAGACACCTGAGACATAAAGAGCTTTTTGAGAAAGCTAAAGTTCAGCCTACCTTCAAGACCCTCTACAAGATTGAAGACCCAGGTCAATTCTCTATTCCCTGTCAAGTAAATGGTCATTACTTTGATAGAACACTATGCGATTCTGGCTCTTGCATAAACCTCATGCCAACCCAAACCGCCAAACTCCTTGGCATCACACGCTTGCAACCTGCTCAAATTAGTATTGGACTTGCTAACCATACTATAGCCAAGCCAAGAGGAGTTGTTGTTGATGTTCTTCTAGAGATTGGAGATATCAAGATCCCGGTGGACTTTCATGTCATAAACATTCAAGGAGGATGTGACACACCATTGATACTAGGCCGACCCTTTTTGGCCACTGCTGGAGCTGTCATGGACCTTCCAAACCGGCGAATGTCCTTAGCCAATGTGGACAAGACAGTCTTTTACAAGACCATACCATTCATTGCACCAAACAAGCTGTCTTACCTCATCACTGCCCAAGGCCGCCCAAGAGAGCCACCAGACCACACTCAAGGTCACAATGAGACAAGAACTAAAAGACTATGTCTCAGGCCGTGCCCTTACCCCATCTCCAACTAAGAGATCCTATCAGTCAAGCTAATGACTCAAAAGAAGCGCTGCATGGGAGGCAACCCATGAAAGGTGTTTTTCTTTACTTTTCTTTTCAATTTGTTTTAGTTAATGTCTAGTTTTGTTTTGAGTTTTGGAAACAGGAATCTAAGAACCACACAATGGTAAAGAAGATATACCACAAGAAGAATGTTCATAGTTGGCGCGACTTAGATGGCCGAGCAGAACCTCTCCACGCTCGCCCATGTCCTCTCAAGCCGCCCAACACACCATCCCATCTCATTCCATCTGCATCTCACCCATCCCACCTCACCACACTTGCATTCCATCACTACCATCATTCCACTGCATTCACCATTCTTCAAGTAACACCAAATCAGGTTACATCTTTCTTTTTACATTCACAACCACTTTATTACCTCTTTCTTTAACTCCCTTAATTGGATTTTCTTTCACCGGGACGGTGCAAGTTAAGTCTGGGGGGATTGTCGGTACTAATGTGTTTGTTCATGGTTGTTTTGATCTTATAATTGGTTTTTCCTAACCCACTTTTTCAAAACTTCTGTTTTATTGAGTCAAAACCAGTCCGGGAACAATGA